CGTCAATGGTATTCTATAAAGGTTTTCAAGATGTGTTGCTATCTAATTGTAGAAAAACCCGATGATGTTCGTCGGAATTGACGTGGCCCACGATCCGTTGAAGAAGGACGCCTCCGTTCTCGGGCTGGTTGCTACTCTCAACAACGAGTGCACTCGTTACGTGTCTATTTGTCGCGTGCTTAAAGTGCATCAGGAGGTTGCAGACAACTTACGAAGTGCTTTTGAAGAGGCTATGGAAGCCTTCAACGTGGTATGGATATTGTGACATGAATCTATTTCTCGTTCAATTATGCTTAATTAACGTAATTAATTTTTCATTAGGAACAAGGATGCTATCCAGTAAGAGTCATTGTTTGGCGCGATGGTGGCTTGGCGGATCCCAAGACATTTAATCAACACGAGTCTAAGCAAGTGCTGGACGTTGTCAAAGAAAAGTGTGTCCCGAACACAAGTTTCAGCTATGTTGTTGTTCAGAAGCGAATTCCGCAAAGATTCTTCCAAATTGTAAGATGTTCTCTGACCTCTGAAGTGTGCTGGATTGCTACATGCGTATTTTTTAAATTAATTTTTTAGACTGGCCGAAACTGGGAGAATCCACATCCTGGAACGGTCATTGACCACACCGTGACAAGATTCGACTCGTATGATTTTTATATCGTTTCTCAACTTGTGCGACAGGCATGCACATTTTCATTCAACTACTTTACTAGTTTAAGCAAAATATAAATAATCAACTAATATTAACTTTTTTTAAATTATAGGGCACCGTGACTCCAACCCACTACACCGTGATCGAAGACGTGGGTGAAACTAAGCCGGATTTGAGCCAAAAATTTGCATACGTGTCTTCGTTCATGTATTACAATTGGCCAGGAACAGTCCGCGTGCCAGCCATGACACAAGTAACTCTATTCTTTAACATATTCAATATACTCAGATTGATGAATGAAGATTATTAATTTTGTAATTGAATTTCAGTATGCCCACAAGCTGGCGTCCCTGGTCGGAGGCAGTATCCGCGCCGCACCTGGAACAAGTCTTCGTGAATCGCTATATTATTTGTAAGCTAGAAATCTGTCACTATCGTCATTATATCGCTATTATTATTACTACTTGTACGATTCGTTTGTTCGTTCGTTCTTCCACGATTTTAACTTTAAAAAAAGTCTATGCAATTTTAATATGAGAATATAAATTTGTAAAAATTATTAATAAATTAGTATACTAAAATATTAGCACATTAAAATGGTTTGTTCAAATCTCTGTAATCCATTGAAATTCAAGTTGGCTAGGCCTGGCATCAAACCAGCATCAGTGGCGTTTTTATTATTTTTATACTACTACCGATATTTAGCAGGCAAACGTATCTATGTATTCACTTGTAGATCGGAAATGACATTAGCGCATCAGCAGTATTGATCAAGAGAGCTTGCATATACCTCATTCGAAAGGACTGTTTAATTAAGAAAAACCTATTTCCGAACACTCCGGTTTCCAGACACATTGGAATTATCGCCTTCGCCCTCCTACTGGCCACCTTCTTATTCCAACTTCCACCCCCATAAAACTCAATTTTTCGTCCCAACTCTGCCATCAACTCGTGTGACACCATATTTATTCGACTCATGAAGGAAAGTGTCTTATCGATTCCAAACGTCAGCATTACCGTCCAGGAAAGACAGCATAGGGACACTAACGAGTAGTATGGTCTATGTGACCCACAATGTGAATATGAGATAAAGATCATGTAGCTGAAAATTGTATGAATCAGAAGAATAAATCCAAACCCGACGCTTATCAAGTGTTGAAATGCCACCATCCCGGTTTGCATGATAAGCTGGCCGTGTACCAGATTTCGAGACAACGTTCTTTCCGACTTGTCAGAGTTGGTCACATTGTACAAGAAGCAGTTTAACATTTTCAATAAAGACATCCCAACCAGGCAACTGATGGAGAAATGTGACGAAGTTTCGTAATTGCAGATGAAAAATATGAATATGCGAACGGATAAGAATGCGTTGGATATTAAAATGTTGTCACTTTTTGGCATAACGTAATAAAGTGGGTCTCCTTCTATAATGGTGCCCAAAACGGTATAAATACAAAGGAAGTAGAATGCGAGTCCGATAACGAAAAAGTAGACATAGTAGTCCAACTGACCGTGTGGATTCTGATTGTCATGTCCTAGGTCAAAATTTGAACAAAATTAATTATTTTCCTTTCACAAGGAAATACTTAATTATGGTTTCGATAAAGCAAATTTTGCATTACCCTTTCGTAGCTTAATCTCAGCATTGTCAACACACTTCCAGCTATGCACTAAATTTCTTCCATGAACGATCAGAATATAATTTAAGATTTGTCCCAAAACTAGTAAAGTTATGTAGAAAATTAGCAAAATCATGCGAAGTGGGTATATGACCGTGAGGCGTTGAAGTTTTATATAAATCGGCAAATAAAAAATGCAGAAAGATATCGCGAGTTTGACGAAAAAGAAAGTTTTATTTTTCAAGAAGTGATCAAAAACGAGAGTGTGACCCATGCCATCCCATTTTATGGGGGCTGTCGCAGTTCTCGAATAAATAACGGCGTTCAATTCAAAAGCTTTGAACAGTAAGGGAGATGTCATTTTTAGTGTCGTTAAATCAGAGTATGAGCATGATCTGGAGGGTTGTTCCGTTGTTTTTTAATGGGTTTAATTTAACGGTCGTATCCTTAGTTTTGAAGTGGTCAAGGAAGCTTTGTAATCATAATGAACAAGTAAAAAATAGGCTTTTCTGGTAGTTAAATACATATATACGGACAAAGTATGCATACATCGACGAAATAGGTTAAGGTTTTTAAAATTTAAATTAGTTACACTTGTGTGTGGCGCAGGTCATTTAGATTTTCTAAATGACGATGTAAAATTATGATAATGCGTACAATTTATACTCCAATGAATAAAATATAGAGTTAAGCCATATACACAGAAACATATTTACATGCACATGTATTTATGGTCGTCTAACTGCTGACTTTTTGTCTGCTTCGTTCATGTTGGAGGAGATTTAGGAAATACAACTAAAAAAAATCGGATAAAATATTTTTTAGTTACAAGGACGATGCGCACACATTAATTATCAAGCACAATTACATATGTTGCAGGGCTTGAATTAGTTAGAATAGTTAATCGGTTCGAATTATAATTAAAGAGCTTGTGGGTATGTGAATATAGTACACATTGTGTACTTACATAAAATTACCCTGCGCTATGATATGGGACAATTAATTGGCATAGGAAAATCTTGCAACTTTGGGTAAAAAAACTGTTTTCATATAGTTATTTTCTGTAATATACACAAACCTCACGGATGACCCCAAAGCTGTTCCTTATGCACATTTGCATAAATGAGAGTAATAAATGCTAATGTCTAACGCAGAGATTATCATTCTTAAGTTTTACTGATACATACTTATATTTAAATATGTGGATAATAATATACGATTCCCGAAAGGTCATTGCAAAAGTAAACTATGTAAATATCTAAGTACATTAATTTGTGATTCTTGCTTAATAAAATTCTTCATCTGTGAAATATTAATATAAATATATCAACCCTTAAAAGTTTTGTTTTCAAATCGTCCATTATAAACTGGAAATGAATGAAATGAGTGTAGCATATAAATATTTATGTATTTAAAAGCTAATTCTTACCATGTTGTAACTTGGAAAAACATGACCAATGACTGACTATGTCTCATTCTTTAGTATTTACATGGTCCCAGAAATTGTCGTCAAAACCCATAAGAAAATAATGGTATGGCTAAAGAGGCCTCTAGCCGCGTCGACTATATAATCATAATCAAGCTTGTAAATCTACTCAAGGAACGTGACCCTTTGTATCTTAGCGAATTTGGTTCGCTGTTATCACCGGCGCGGATATCATCTATAGAGTACTTTAAAGTACTCTTGTCAAGGTGAAAATTATTGGGGGACATGAACATATCATAAACTGGTTGGTGGCTAACACCAATTATTTACTTGGGGGCGAATCAGCAAAATATTTTGCAAGAATCACGAATGAGGTGGGTATAAACAAATACATAAGTGAGTAAAGCCAGATTTGGTTTTGTGTATCAAGATACATACAAATATGCCTGTTTAGTGATGCATTGATTACTTTGGGACTAACATGCAAGCCGTCCCCACAACACGATGCATGGAGTACATTTCCAGTTCTAAAAAATGCATAGGTAAATATAATACATCGTTAATGTCTGGTTATAATACACGGCATATTTTCAGATATTTTATTATGTGTCTCAGATACAATAATTCATGGGGATCCTTACCCCTGGGGATTTGGCTAGAAGGTCAAACTTTCTCAGCAAATTCGGACTCTTGGACCTATATACGTAGTGGACTTTTTGTGAATATTTCTCATTTGCAGAGAAACCATAAATATATGCTGGAATTTCCTACGAGTGACGAGACTGACTTTCTTAATGGGTTAAATACCAGCGGATACACCCCCCTTGAGATCAAAATAACCTTACGCAAATCATACAATATTTGACAAGTAAAATGGTGCCTTTTGTTTTACAGGCATTTAAAATGAAACTTTGATTTTGCGATGCAGTCTCCATATGAGAAAATGTTGGATCTCAAGCCAGCTAGTAATTTAGTGCAGATGACTTTTAATATGATCTCGCTATCAAAAAAAATTGTTTCTTAAATTACAACTTTTTTGTATTAATTTTATTCACTGGAAATATGCTGAACCAATGAAATTATTTTAAAATGAATATATGTATATAGTTATTTGATGACTAGGATCACGATAGGCCTATAGGAATTCAATCTACATAACCTGCCATTCCACAATAAATAGATCAATCCACAAATAAACCCAGTAATAAAAGTTATACTGAAGATAAGCATAATTTCTTTCGCGTAAAAATAGCCAATGTGTTAAATAATTTTTAACCAAATAATTTTTCACTGGGTACATCATACATGTAAAAAATATTTTGGGAACATTTATTTCTGAAGAAGCAACAGATTATAATGGAACACAAATTACCAAAAAAATTGTTTAACCGGATTTTTCGTAGAATATATAAAGTAGAAGTCAGTTCTTCAAATTTGTAGAGTTTAAAATGGTAGAATATAGAATATTTTGTGGCACGAAATAGTTATCCATTTACTTGCACATTTTCTACAATATTAAACACATAATTTTGAAACAATTTATACAAAAATTCGCTCGATAAATGCTTATTAGTTGATCCTTACGTTATACCAATCCAGAAAACATGTAGCTGCTGGCTCGCACGTCTTTCCACTTGCATCGTCCTATAAATGATTTAGAACCAATTACACTCAAAATTGCATCAATTAATCCATTTTTTGGCAAATTTTTCATTTTCGCTCAATATTATTTAGCTGGGTTGGACAGGACGTGTCTCACTGAATAGCTGCATACTACTTGCAAAATGATGTGTGCTTGTGTACCTTTTCAGACTTGCATGCCTTCACTTTGGAGGCGCACGGTGCCAAATCCTTATCGCAATTAGCCTTTGCCTTGGCTGGTATAACACTTTTCAAGTACTTGATACATGCAGCGTAGTCCATGCCCTTGTCAATTGTTGTAAGGATACAACGGCCGGCTTTCTGAAAACGTTTGAAAAATTACTTGCATTTCATTAATGACTTGATCCTATACTGCTTTCCACCTACCCCCTTTTCTTTGGAGTGTGCTGCGCACTTCATAAACTTGGTGGCAACACCGATAGGGTTTGGCTCCTTCTTGGCCTAATATTTAACAGTATTTTTAGATAATTATTAGATAAGCATCGTCTTATTGATGAACTTACCGAGCAAGTGATTCCAGCACCTTCCACCTGCAAAAATCATACTTACAAATGTGTAATAAATATTATGCAAAGATATATTTTGTAAACCTACCACGACGCCAACAAAGGCGACGAGGGCGAGGGCGCAAATGAGTTGTCGGAGCATGTTGTGGAGATTTGGGATAGGGAAGTATTAGTGATGGTAATTTTGAGTGAGGAGTGATTCTGGTGCTGAGAGGGTTTCCGTTTTATAAAGGAAGTCTAATTGAATTTGAATTAAGTTACGTGACCATTCAACAATTCGAATGATAACAAAACGTCTTTGAGTTTATGACCAATCGTTTCATACCATTTTTTAGTAATAGAATTGCATAAAAATGCGCAGCGGTGATGATGGGTACGAGATTGTATTCAGTCGGACACGATTCTGGATGTGGAGTGAATTTCGTGGAGATAAGATCATAAAGTCTCATGACTAAATCATATTAATTGAATTTAATCACAAGTGACACGCAAGATTAATATTGCAGAGGTTGGTTATTTCCTGGAAATATTAAAGCAGGATGCTAAATATATCGTGTTAATAGGACAAATACATTGGTGAAATTGCGCATCAAACAAGTGATTAAATTCATAAATATTTTAATGCCAAGGTTAATAAGGTTGTAATTTGTAATATGAATTGACAAACTAAGGTGAAATAAAACGCGTGGAAATGGTTAACAAGTGTATGTACATCGATTGCGATGGAGGTGTATAATAGATAGGTTTGGAATTTTTGAGTTCCGATTAAATAGACTTGTAGAACACTAGTAAATGCTGCTACTATTATTCCTCAAGGCAGGATCACATTGGACCAATTGCCGAAAATTGCATCCCTTAATGGCATCGTCATAGTGAAGACCAGGTGCACATTGCAGTAGTACAGGATTTCCCCCACAGGCACAAAGCATGTAAAATTCGCACATGCCGGGTTGCGGATATGGGGAAAAGACGACCTCGTTAGGACCACAAGATCCCCCGGGGGACGGAGTCGTGGTGGTGGTGGAAGGGTCGACAGGAACACAAGTAGGACTGCGGTGACATTGCATACAAAAATAGTAATTTGTACATTTGTTTATTTAATGCTGCGAATTTAATTACCAGTCCAGAACGCGATGCATCATTTTTTGTACTGCTGCCATTTGGGCTCCTTGTTTCGTTACTGTGTAAAACAATGGTTTGTAAGCATATAGAGTACTAAAATTATAACTTTATGTATGTAGATATGTTGCTCATGCAGAAATTTGCGTGAAGATAACCCCACCAATCGAAGCATGCGTTAGGGTTTGTAGTCCCCATTGCCACAGTTTGAGGAAAGATGACGATTATATTATTCTCCTCGGCCGCGTGGATATATCCCGTTTTTGTGGCGTAAGCGTCCCCAATACCCGCCGTGGTCCTACATAGATATGATATTTTCAAAACAAAATACAACCCTGGGAACTTAAGTTTTTTAAAATAAACTAACCTGGACTGAACACAACCATGAAATGCGATATGCAATCTGCAAGTCCTACTCCTGTCCTTACACCTTGTCGGAATATAGGCAAAGCCAATCGAGTCCATACTGATGGAGGCTGGACTACCGGAAGTGATAAACTCAGCCTGGTCAAACTCGAGCAGGTCGCCGGGCGGGAGACCCCCACCAGTCACGGGCTGAATAAGGCCACCTCCGTACAAAAAGTCAAACATGGCAAATGCTCCGTTGTAATTGCAGTTGTTAATGTACTGCGTTGCGGCGGAGGAGGCGGAACATGCAGCGCCATAAAAGTCAGTGGGCTAAAAAAAGATAAGGTTTTGCAAAAAATTCAGCTAATTTTTAATGATATGATACTTTTTTAAATGTAATTTTATCATACGAAGCCGTGATTCGCATTCATTCCAAGATTGCTTTCCACTCTTGCCCCGAAATGATTATACATTTGCTCAACTTTGACACCGTTTCCTTTATTGACCGTGAAGTCAGCCGTTCCATGGAAAACGTATACTGAACTATTGGCAATATTTGAGATGTGATCGATTGTTCCCTGGTCGGAGATGGCTTGTGCGGCGGCGATGAGGCTGTTGATAGGGGCGAAAAAGTCGGGGATGGACATGCACTGTGAAGCGTCAGCGATGCCACCTTTTCCGCAAGTGTATGGGACTGGGTGATGATAAACATGGGTCAATTTACAATTCACTTTTGGTCGAGATATTCTCGAGGTGCATATTCTTATAATCTTACGCCCTGCATAGACTCCAGCACCAGATATTTCAGACGAAAAGGCGAAATGAAACTGCGTCGCCATAGCCCCACCGGCGGAGAGACCAGATACTGTGACGCTGGTGGGGTCAACATTATATCCCTCTGAGAGGATAATTGTGCAATAATAATGATCTGCATATATGTACAAATGTTATAATTTTGACATACCAAGTTGGACCACTGCAGACACCCCAAGCCCAAACCAGCCAAGAACGAGTGAAAACGCAAGTGTGTGAAGAAGGAGTGGTTTAGTCACACCCATTTTGAGTTCAACTAATTGGGAATAATTTAATTTATGATAACCGTTCTTTAACAATTACTAAGAGTGATACACGAAGCTGTATATAGATACTTGAATCAAGCATATTAATTTGCATCTTTCTTATCTAGATCAAGCTTATCAAAGGTATTTGTAAGTTACATGTCGGTGGAGAGTGTCAATTTCGTATTGATTTTGTATCAATAGGCAATTGACAATAAGAGTATATTTGTATTACGCATTGTTTAGATATGTAACGTATATCTGTAATTATTTTATCGCTTTGCACCTGTTTAGACTGAAGACTCATTAGTTTAAAAATACACTAAGGATAAAAAGGAAACGCAATATGTTTAATAGTATCTTCTCATTTTAGTGTCATGATGTTTGTGAGTTTATGTAGCAACATATTTATGTCAGTATTAAAAAAATTACCTAATTTTAAATTAATTAGATAATTTGGGGCCAGCGCAATTATTTGTAGGCAGTGACAAATTTTTCCTGATCACACTTTCTGGGATACTTATTATAGTTGCTGAATTATATATGATTAGCATATTTAAATGAGTTTGATTTTCAGAATTTCTGCACAACCTACCCCAGTCAGGAAATATTCAAAAATATTCTAGAAATGTCATAGTTTTATAAAAGTTCGTAGTTTTCTGTCACATACATATTTATGTACATATATATGTAATTCCTTCATAATGCGCACAATAACCTCAAATAAAACTGGCGTAATAGGTAGAATATACCTTGCCAATATATGGGTATACATAATGCCAATAATTAGCTTAAGAAAATAATAGATACGTGCAAAATATTTGACATTATGGGAGCCGTTTATCATTCACCACAAATTTTAAAGCAAAGGATGGAGAAGTGAGAAATGTGCACATTTTGGAGTTTGTCTTCTTCCTGTGGAACTTCAGAGTGTGCATTCGGCAGGGGAAAGTACAGTATGTATGTACATGTTGTAAATGGAATTGAGCTATTCAATAAGCGTTAAACTGGGTAAGGAGAACTTCCGAGTTTTTGGGCGAGGAAGAACTTGACGTGAACTTGTGGTTCAAAAAATGTTCAAAAATATTCTAAAAATCAGAACAATTTGATTTGGTGGTGAAACATGAAAAATCAACTTGATATCTATTTTACAAATTAATGAGAATATTTTCATATGTTTTTTTAAAAAGAAGTCCTTTTAAATATGACGGAAAAGATAGCCTCAAATAAAAGGGCAAATATATATGTACATCTAGTGACATTTAATATTTTTACCATCACAAACATTACCAATTATGCTAGAATTAGTTTATGCAAATAATGTTCAACTTCAATATGAACACCCAAGTAATTTAATACCATTAGCTACATATTTTACGGACAGCTTGGAGAAATGGAAAATAAAGTAACCAGTATTATTTTGGGTTTTCTCCAAACGTGCAACCAGTAGTCGTGGAACTACGTATGTATGTATGGTACAAGTATTCGGCAGATTCACTGCGAAATGAGACATTCGAGTAGGAGTTGAACGGGTTGTTCGAGAGAATATTCCGGGTTTTCCGTCCGAATTTTTCTGGATTTTTCGGAGATTTTACATGAACTAAGGTTCCTAATACTTGTGCGGATAAAGAACTCTACAAAAGGCTTCCGTCTCATTTATCATATTCTCAAATGCGCAGAGAAGTGAACTTTCACTCGGCTTTCATATTTAGACTTTCACTCCACTTGAAAAGACTAGCATTTACCCAATAAGACTTTCTCATAAAAAATATGCTCTACTAAATGTGCTCTACTTTTAAAATGCACAGGATGCAAATTTTAAATTTTAAAATTATTTAGGTTACTGGTATAGTATAAAATTGTTTAAATTGTGTGAACGGTAGTGAAAAAGTAACCATAACCGATTGATTCAATATTTTTTCAGGATCAACCTTCCTGAATTATACAAAAAGTATATACAGATATTTATGATGATATAAATTCATATTATTTAATTTGAGCTAGAATAATTAACGATATTAAATTTATTTTAAAATATTTGCTTTACAAATTCTAAGTTCAACTTAATTTTGTCATGATTGGGATACTTGGGATATTTTCATTTAAGTATCTATCTAAAATCCCATGATTTTATCTCGTGCTCTAAATAATGTCGCATCACTGTTAAGTATTCTTTTATTGTCTATTTGTAGTAATAAACTAATAAATAGATGAAAATCAAGATAAGCATTATATGTACATATTTAATACCGTGTGCGGTGAAATTGCATAATTTTTTTTGCATAACACCTTTATCGTATAATGCCATTTTGCATACTTCCCAATTATGTAAACAGCAAGTTCGCATAATCCCATTTAGTATAATTCATAAATTAGGAAGGAATTAGGTAGAGCAAATCTTATTATACCTAAATATGTATTAGATGACCCTGAAACTGACCCATAATCGGCTGTGCTTCAAGCATAACAAGTAATACGAACACTTCGGAGATGACATTACCTACCGAGAAGTGCCCGGGTTTGATGCCCTTTGGATGTGTTGAGTACTATGTAGGTTACTGTACCAAAAGTGAAATAGTATTTTACTCCAAAGCCCAATTTGCGCCCACCACACCCAATCAAATTCACAAAATGCTAAACGCGAAAAATCCGTTTTTCCCCGCTCATCATTAAAAATTAAATAATTTTCATCAAAAATTGAATTTGAAAAACTACCTTAATTGTTAATGTTGAACATGATAAAACAACTATTTATGTAGGATCAAGAAAATCTAAAGAGTACCAAGATCGGGCACTCTTGCCCAGTTGACAAGGTCTGCTCTACTTCATAGGCGAGCGAGAAACACAATTATTTAGGAACTTGTATCCTCCCCGAATGCTTAAAAATCATCAAAAAACACCTTGGGTACATTAGATTCTACTGGTACACTGGTCTTTGCATGCATGATCATGACCAATCGTGCATTTTAACTTGTTATGTGAAATGGAGTTATGTAAAAAGCTCTCTTATGGTAAGTGGTAGTTATGCAATAAATTTTATGCCATAAGGGTGTAATGCAAAAGTGTTTTATGCAATTTCACATGGAACCATTTAATACATCTAAAATTATCCATACTTCCCTTTAATGTTATCAAAATGTGCCACTTCATAGCATTACTGGTACTGAAACTGAGGACCGTGTACTTATTTATATTCTTAGCATGACACAGTCTCTGGATATGTAAGAATTTCCTTTCTTTTCCAATTCCTTCACACATCATTTCCGACCTTCCTTAAAGAAACGAGTCTCATCTTGCCTCTCCTCTCTCCTCGATCTTGTCAGTTACATATACCACTTTTCTCCACTACAGATTCGGAATCAAATTCGCCATCAACATGCCTTTACGTTACGAATGTGCCAACGTACACCAAACCATTTGTGACCGAGTTCTTAAATTTCTTCGAGAAACAAACCCGGTTTTTCCATTTACCATCAAGGGTGGGGCAAAGTTTATCGTAATTTTGCAAATGGTGAGAATTAGTAAATTTTCGTAAATTTCATGCGATCCCGATGTATGTATCTTGATGGAATTTTGTATTAAAATAATTCAGTTTAATAATTGTTACAAATATTCCGACAGGTCTTCTCCCTGATCATGATCCTGGGATTGACCGTGTTCGCTTATATACTTCATTCCTCGTCCCCTCATAATGAGATTGCCCGTGCAAATAGTACTGACCCGAATCATCCCAATAATGCCCAAAATTCGTCTCCGGGTCGTCATCCTGTGTTTGGTGAGTTTTATTAGATTTCTAGTTTCTTAATTATTCACTCTAGTCTGTGCTAACTAAATATTTTGCTACTTTCACCAAAAGTTAAACTAAATATAAGGTCATTTCTCGGTATATGTTATAAATTGAGAAACACGAAATTGAGATCTAATGGTTTTATTTCGTATCTACAGGAATTATAACGCCGGGTCACGTGTTCGTTTCGCTTTTGATTTCTGTGTTGGAGTTTATCCTTTACGTATACCTGCTCAGAGGGATCAAAACTGTATGTCTTCTATCTTCACGACACAAAACATTTGAATATTTTTGAATTGCATTAAGAAGGTTTTATATATTTTTACTACAGGAGGCCTATGACGTTGTGAACAAGTGCTGGAAGATTATGGCGTGGTACACCGCAATTTACTTGCTAGGAATAGTTATAATTTCCATCCTGGAGTTTGAGCTCTTTTTGGACACGATGGAAATGGTCGCCGAAATTTGTAATTTATACACCATTTGGATTTTGTATGCTTATAAGCATACCTTGAAAAAGGATGCGAATGTGATGGCAAGGGTTGATATTGACAGCATGATTTAATGGATTTTAAATAGTTCTCTTTTGTCCAGCAGTTTTACAAAAATAAATAAAATATTATTTTTTAGAATATCAGCAGTGTTGGTAATTACTAATAATAATAATAAATCAGTCTATTTCTAAGTATAACGTTAATGGAAGTTGAGAGTCTCAACTTGAGACACAAATTTTATTTTATGTTTTGTTCTAAAACATCTGAAATTTTATTTTCATACAAGTTGAAAAACTAGGATAATGAACTTGAAATTATATTATTTCGATTAAAAAATAAGAACCTATGTAAATATATAGATGAAAATAAATTTAACATGCGTATTTGAATATGTACATTATAATTCAAATTTATTTTAACATTCGTAACTCCCAAGTATATATCAAGTTAGAATTTGTTACCGCAATCTGAATCTGTATACTAATGCGAAAATTAAATTAGTCGAAAACCAATAATCAAATCTACTCATAGTTCCCGAGCTTGTGGTCGAAGTCGGGGTCACGGTTGTCCTTGTCGTCGGAACTGTTTCTCCCGTACAGCCGTATTTTACAGCCCCTACAACATGATGCACTGAAGCTTCAAGGGTAAACCCGTACCCTTTCTCACCCACGCTAGGTGCATAACGGACACAGTTTCCATCTGGGGCATCCTTCGCCGTTTTATGTTCCCAGGTGTTGACTCCAGTAAAGAAGTAGGATCTGATTGGGCTGGGAAGGGTAAAATTAGCCCCGACCTTATCCACGAAGAAAGATAAGCCTCCAAAGTACGGTTGGTCAAAGAAAGTTATACGTTTCTCAATCTGGTCAGCATCACCGAACCGTTTCACGTGTAACCTGGTATTTCCTATCCCAACAATTCTTGGCAAGCAGACATCATTAGCTCCGTACTCGGTATAAATAGTGTCACAGGGTCCGACATTTTTGCAAAATTTAATTTCCCATCTAGTCATTTTCAATTCAATAGGAAAATCAAATTTCAAAGCATTTTAGAAAATTTCGTAATTATGAATGTCTTACAATCCATTAACTCTTGAGTATACATAGGTTAAGTCTGGCAAAGGTAGAGTGAAATTTGCATCATTCGTAGCACTCGCGAATGCGTCTCCCGTACAGGTTGAGGAAAGCCAAAAGTTTATGAATTGCGTTTGTTGCCGCTGGGCAGAGGAGAAGTAGCCCATTCGAAAGTACGATTAGTGAAAGCACTGTAAAAGTTGACATTTTAAAACATACAAATATTCCGAGTACCTACAAATACTTATGTATAGCTAAGTAAATAATTAAAAGTGTTTTGCAAGCGTGAATATCAACTAATTTTTCTGAAATAAGCGAATACAGAGAGAAACAAGGTATTATATTTGCTCACCAAAAGGTTTGGCTTTGGTCGCGACTGATGAAGAAGATAAGGAACACAACCAGTAACATTGTACATACATGATGTGTAACAAGCATTGCTCATCTCATTCATACACGTCATCACTTTCAGTGTGGTCGATAAGATAACGAGATTGTTGGACATGTTTTCTTAATTTACCAGTTTACGTCATACACATATCTATTGAGAAACGTTGTTTAAATGTACTTATTATAAGTACAAACTAATTGAACGATATTTCGATTTTCCGGTATAAGCTGATGCAATGTTGTCGAATTTTTGGTTCACTAGTAAATTATATTGTAGGTAAAGTAATGCTATGTTTAGCACGTGGTTGCAATTATTAAGGCTTTCTTTTCCTGTACAACGCACTCATAAGTAGTACTTCAAACCATTTACGAAGTGACGGGAATAAAGTGTCGCAAGTTTTTCTTCCCAACAAAATTTGGAATATTCGGGCCATTATTTTACAATTATAATTAGCTACATAAAATATACATTTTATATGAGTTATAAAGATTTCACTCGATTTCTTCGTACAATACATTTTTACGGGCATAACCAAGCTGAGTCATTCTCGTCTACTTCTTATCATTAAGATTTAACGACGAATTTATGAAATTGGCAGTAATATGGCCTTAAACCTTGGTACGTACACATTTATACCCAAATTCAGTATGCAAAATTAATCCATCAGCATTTTAATATATGAAACTTACATAAAGTAAAAACAAACCCTTTCAGCTACATAAATTTAATGGGAGTAGTCTAGCATTATGTGAATAGCTCATCTTTCCGCTAAGATTATACTTAATTTATTACCTATTATATGTACTAATCCTAAATATCTGCAATGCGACTGTAAAGTAAGCTACATTATAAATACAAATCCCACGGTTTCAACTCGTAAAGTCAGAATTATCTAAACATAGGAAGAATGTTAGGTACATAGCTCACATGAAAAAATCAATCCTAAATAAATATGTACCTATGAAATATGACAACTTTGGCCAAGAACTGAGTCATAGGACCGAATACCAAATTTTATCACTTTCTTGTCGAAAATAATGGGCATCTTAATGAACCACCAGTTATCCAGGGTTGTTTACAAATAATTTCCTGACGAGCGATTTTTATTTACATAAATATTTCTACTTGAAATTCTAGGAGTTTTCATATTGGTGTTAAAGCTAGGAAAGTTTTCATGCACCCATGGGATTTACTTCCTTTGCAGCTTGATATGTACAAATGTGGTTAATTTGTACATAGACATATTAGTATTTTATTTTATTCTTATTTCACATTAAGAATATTTGGATCATGTTAATATTGACACGTCTGTCTCCTCATTGCGCTGCATGAGTCACCAACCAAATATGTACCACCCTTGAAGATAATTGTTGTCTGATTATAACTTGAAAATATCAGTATGTCTACATTACAGAACGACCACACTATCTCAGGAGAACTGGACACGTTCTCATCTTTTATCTATACAGATGACTAGATATTGTACTTATCTCAGTTTATGTATAGTATGAATGAAATGGGAAGAGACATACAATTTACATATTCATAATAAAATTCGTACATGGGTAGCTGCTTTGTGATGAAAATGTATGTACATACATATGTATATGTACACATATGTATGTATTTATATGTATGCAGCGATCTATGTATTGCAACCTTTGGAACGCTGATGCAAATGTGACATCAACATTTCAAAGGTCAAGGGATTCAAAATACATAGATGTAGTTTTCATATGTATCTCGCCTCTCATGTGTGTCCAAACCATATTGTGTGCAGGAGGAGATCACGAAGGGGAAGAGAGGATAGGAATGAGGAGCACAGAATGATGCCTACGTCATCATGATCATCATGATCATGAGGGCGTAGTTTGTGCATATGTAGCGTAAGTAAAGGTAGTGATCAAGTAGGCGTGGCTTATGTGATCACGTATATATAGAGTAAGCAGAGAGAGAAGAGAAGGAAAGTGTAGTTTTAGATTCAGGATCAGCAGGTTAGATTTAGTGATCATCAAGATCAAGTTCAAGGTTTAAATCTTCGGAAACTTAATAATAAGTTCCTGTCTAGATAATTAGTTAAAATTAAAATAATAGCATTAGCTCTCCCACGTATTCATAATACGAGCATTTCTGTAAAGTCAATATTTTTCAGTCGGTATTGATGTAAATAAATTTATTCATTATTCTTGTAAAAAAGTGAGTTTCTACTACAAATTTCTTGCACAACGTCACAAAGAAAAGGGGCATCCGCGAAAGTGGATGTGAATCAGGACACGCAATCCCATAATCGAATAGGGAGCGTTACAGTATGTACAGGGTAACTTCCTGTTTTAAACAAATGAAAGAGTGAGACAATTCGCCCAGTCCTTGATAACGTATGGTAAATGATTTTACGGACAGATTTTACTAAAATCTATCCATTTTGTAAAATTATTTTAGAAACTTTTACAAAATAAGAAGGTCCCTGATCTGCCCGAGCTTGCAAAATGTAAGACCATGCAGATTTATAAACCGTTCCAGTGTATTAGTACATGTATGTATGTACATACATATATTTAAAATAAGTGAGTGTCACATGGACAATGCCCAAATTTCAATATAGGTACATACACCCATAACTGACGAATTTTCCTTACATATGTACTTAACAGTTGGTAAATATTATTCATAAAGGGAACATATCATTATAACTGGTCGTTAAGATCAGTGCGAACAAGTGGCGCCGGTTAGACGCTCTAGCGAAATATGATATTTCATCCACTTCTGAACGATGGGTAAATTCATTAGTCATCATTTCATCATTTCATTCTGATAAGTCAGAATAGTATACATAAATCCGAATGCAAAGTACGAAACAATTGTGGATAGATTTGCGCCCAGTATTTTTCTATGTGTGCATAATTTTGTATGTACAGGAAGGGAAATTTGCATACCTAAAATAATGGGATCTCGTGGGATTATTTTTTAGGAAAAGGTGAAAAGAAGGATTAATATTGAAGACAAACGTTTAATTTGAATACGTACTAACGTCAAGTCCATTCCTTTCATTCCCGAGTCATTGTTTAATGGTAGAATTTATAGCTCCCTGGAAAACGAAATGTACATGCCTACATCCATAAATATTATAAACAATTATGGCGTTTGATGAGGGTGAGAAATAATAATGTGGCAGTCTAGCCAACTGTCGCCTAGATTAAAATTAACGCTTATGATGAAGCACAGACATTATGACGATGGCGCAATCTCCATTTACTGGATTCAAAGAATGCGTAAACTGAGTCACGGATAAGTTAAACCGATCAAATTTGCTTTCCTAAGGTGCATACAGCTAGGCGTCTAGATTAGCTTAGTCGAGATTCGGCATTCAATACCCTCACACAACTCTTGGATCTGCTTCTCTCCGGATTTAATTCAGACCACAAAGACATCAACTCTACAATTAGCGACCCTAAATCAAGATCTAAGATATTTAACATTGCTACACTATGGCCGTGAAAATATCGAAGATCGATAATCAGATTGCAAACTACATGTACATGACGACAAAGGTTAGCCAATTTATTGTCATGCTTTATAAAAGTCCAGAGATTTGCATTTTTTGCAAGCTATTATTTTCCTGGAAGGGGCCAAATTGAGAAAATCTCAATTTGCCCATATGTTAAAAGAATACAGTGCTATTTTCGTTAACGCGATTTGCATAAATAATTTTAATTGATGACTTGGAATAATTTCATACACATATTTTAATTACAATTTTCGTATCCCCCAATTTATACAAATCATAAGAAAAATACAAGTATAAGTGTTGAGTTAAACAAGAAAAGCTCCTTTATTTTCAGGGAACTCTTGCAGACATTACAATTACTGGGATCGTCCTCACTTTAATTGTGCATCCCGCGGTCACTTTCTGGCAATGGGATGCTAAATTGGATGCTAAACTTGACGAATTTGTATACGCTTGGACTACGACCGTCTGGAACCATATTTCTGAAAACCCTTGGCCTGGCTTTGCTGTAGCTTGTTACTTTTCGTGCTACGATGCAGTTTGGTATATGAAACGGCGATTGGGGGGAAGGTTTAATGATGTAAGAGGTTCAGCCTGCGAGCTTAATTATTCTTTAGTAAATTAAAAAAAAACGTCATTAATTTTCTCCACTTGAACAACTTGTAGGGATTCATTGTGAAGCTTGCCGGTGGGTATTTCACCTGTATTTGGGCCGTCTTGTGGATTGTCATCTTATTTGGAAGCATCCCAAATTCAGGATGCGCCATTCCACTCCCGGACAATATTTCCTGCCTCGTGATCATAATGGCTTTGTACTTCAGAACAATTACCTTTGCCTCATGCAGGTACTTTGAATTCACTGCTGCCTATGGCTCGGCCGAGGGACAAATTGTATCACCAGGTAAGAAAAACGAAGAGCGTGGGAAAACTGAGGTGTGAAATGAATATTATTGAATTTTTACACTAATTTTGATTTGGATTAAATTTATATTTTATAAATTTTAATAGATACCATATGCTAATGATAATATATGTAACTATGCACTACGTCTTCTTCTACGTACCTTTTGCAAGTTTTTTAATAATATGAATATAATGTATGAGTGAGTATGGAAATAATTATTTATATTTAGTCATGATTATCGTAACTGCGTACTTGAATATTTACGGAAACGATAAAGTACTTTCTTTTATGCTGTAGAAACACTTTGTCAAAAAAATATTTCATTCTCTACTTTTAAGTATGTGTTCTTGCTAATATACATATTATAATTAATTATATTTAAGATATGTTGCAATTTCTACGGAGGATTTATATTTTGATGCAAAACCGTGCAAAACCTTTAAATTTGCATACTTCCTTAGATTTTGAAAACAAATTAATTAATCATGTTTATGTCTTGGAACGAATTGTAATCTCAAAACTTCATTATAAAACATTCATGTCTACATGTAATTGTAATTACTTAAGTGAGTTTTATTTTTATCCTAAATAACCTTATGTTACTGATGGTATGATTGTGTTGTACGATAATGAATACAGCTTTTTCTGAGGTGAGGAAAGTAACCAAGGGCTACCCTCACGACAGAAAAGCGCATGGTTACGGCGAAGCCAAGGTATGCTTTCAAGACAGGGTCCTAAAACTTCCGCCACGGCCACAGCTCGAACGGTTGAATTTAGTGAAAAATTGTTGAAACAAAAAAATCAGACAATCACGAAATCTAGTGTCTTTTCAATTTTCTTTTTGCAAAACTCTAGTATTACAAGAATTTTAGGACCTTTGAAACTTTAAAATGAACCGGAAATTCAATTTTACCATGCAATGATCATGTCGGATATTGATTTTATTGTGCGGGCACTGATTACACACCATTTAAGATACGTTCGAGCAAAATCGGTTGAAAAATGAGAAACTTTTGATGGAGGTATCTGCAGCCGTTTAAGCTGCTTAATCGCATATTATGATAATTGCACCTTACCTATCTTATTGCTATTGGTAACCAACAAAACAATTCCAACCCAAAAACCAGAAAATAAAACTACATTTAAAAAACAGCATTCTTCGGTGAGGGTGCGACTAAAAACTTTTAAACAAGAGCATTGAACAAATTTTAAAATTTAATATTACCAACTTTTGCCTCACCGTGGGCATTTATTTAAATGCAGAATCATTTTGGACCCACGGTGAGGCAAAAGTTGGTCAATATTAAATTTTAAAATTTGTTCAATGCTCTTGTTTAAAAGTTTTTAGTCGCACCCTCACCGAAGAATGCTGTTTTTTAAATGTAGTTTTATATTACTTTATTATCACAAGTTTAATTCTTGAATAACATGATTAATCTATATTATTTTTTAATCTTTTCAATTAATTAAATTATGGGAAATGTTAACAAGTGTCGTAATTATAACATCTTTTAATTGAAAGAAAAATGTAAGTGCTTTAATTTCTTAATACGTTTAAATAATGAAACTATTTGCATGCATGCATAGATTAAAAAATTCTGATAATATTTGGTATTAGTCTCAAAATTTAAGTTATGGGTTTTACTAATTAAAAATATGTAGCTACAAGTTAGTCAAGAAATAAAAACTGAATCAAATCATGTTTTTATGAGTACAAGGTTTTCTCAATCCACTCATCCATCGTAAATGTGCACGCCTTTCCTCCATCGGGCACACCTTCTTTGAAAATCTCGATCAAATATTTCAACCTTAGTCCGCACATGATAAAATCATCAAATTTTAAAACTCCATCCTTATCCGCATATCTCAGCAGAATCGTTTGCAGAGTTTTATGATTAACTTTGAACCCAGACGAGGTCAATGCTTCACGCAGCTCAGATGAGTCCAAGGTGCCACTCTTGTCCTTGTCAAACCGAATGAAAACCATTTTCCATGTGTCAATACTATTCCATAAATCCTGAAACTCATCAAACCCCAACTTGCCAGAACGGTCAGCATCCATCATGGAAATCATGGAGCGACAGACGTCCTTGGAGAATCCATGAAATTCAAATTTCGTCGTGAATGTCGAGTCCAGCAGCGACTTTAGTTCCTCCCAATTCACTTCTAGATCTGGTCCTGCGACTAGTTTGAAAAATGCGAGAGCTTTCTTGCTACCTTTTCCGTCGTCATTGTCGGTAGTTCCACCTGCGGGTGTTGCTAGTTGTTTTCTTTTGTTATCATCGTCCCCATTTTTCAGCTTTGCGTCATCGGGAAGAAAAACATCGACAGCTTCGTCGTTTTCCTTCATGTCAACCTTTGCCTCGGTGAAGACCCGGAGAATAAATTCGCATTCCTCGTTGGGGTTAAAGGTCGATGGGACGATGCAATAGGTGCCGGGCGAAAGTTTAAACCTCGCACTAACTTCGCGACAATTTGTGAATTTGAGGGGATTTTGAATGGGAAAATTGCGTCGGAAGAAGGTCTCATCTAAGGGAGTGGTCTGCTTTGGGTAATCTTTTTTTACAGGGTAAATAGTGAAGCCGATTGGTAGAAAGGATTGTCCCATTTTTCGGCGAAATTTTTGCATCAAAGCGACAATTACGGTGCAATCGGGGTCATCGTCATCTTCGTCTGGGTCGGTCAATTCAATTAGATATTGCGGGTTAAGGGGAAACGTATCACGGAAGTTGCGACAGCCACCGGCAGACACGCCTTTCACCCATGATCCTGTTCAAATATTAGTAAATGCATGTATGTACGTATTTTTTAGTCAGTTTTCATCTTAATTCTGCATACCTTGGAAGGAATTGGAAACCCACTTCCTCTTCTTGCCCATGGCGACATTCTCCTGTTCCTGCTTTCCCTTCAAATTATCCAATTCATCCAAAACATCCGCATCGAGGTGACAAATATCCAGATTTGTGAAATGAGTCTTGAAATCTGCATAACTTATCCAAAATTCTCCGTCCGACTTGAAAGACAAATCGATTTGGTGAGGTGTGTTTTTCAGCAGATCCCACTCTTTCGACGAGTCACTCCAAGCACCTTCCCACTCGGACTTTCCCCAAGGATTTCGTACTCGGATGAGCTCCACAGTTTTATTCTTCTTTGTTGTCGCTGGGACGTATCGGTTACCTGAATTAGTCAAGAAGAGGCTGTAGATTTCATTTGATACAATTTGTAAAAAAGTGCACTTTGGAGCCGATAACAATTAAATATGGATATTTGGCAAACTTAATCAATTTAGATGACAATATAGATAAATGTTACCCACTTGATAACCCATCCCCATACCGTCTCGTCCGAACTGCAGCAGTCGCGGTTGTCGGAATCTCTACAATTTTCACGTCCGTGATGGAGTATGCATGTCCTCTGATAAGCCCCAGCGGTCCCTTCCCCTCTATCACGCCAGGCTCCGAATCGAGCGAGCAACCCATAAATGACGACCTCATGAATGCTTTTGTCATCAGTTGAAACAGGTATTTTTCATTGTCCTCGGCGACTTTGCATATCTCAGTCACTCCTCCGGTAAAGTCCTCCATCGCCTCCGTCATATTTCCTCCCACTAATGCTTCATATGACCCGTGCTGTTTTGCATAAGCCTGTAATTCAGATTATTTATACATTTTTCACAAGCTAAAAGAAATGTAAATAATAAGCACATACTTTCTCTATGAGAGCACTCCAGAATTCCGTCTTATCTTGGGATTGCATGAAAACAAGGCGACCGTTTCTGGTGGGAAGACGGTCATCAATCACCACATCGACCCAGCGGCCAAATTTCCAGAAGCGGAAGTGGAACGCGCCATTGTATTCTGAAAATGTGTATGTAGAACATCACTTAATTTTTAAATTTCAAGTATACGCATCGAGCAAACCTTTGTCTGAGAAGCTGCCGTTGTCCTCAGGGACGACGAGGTGGAATAATTCCTTGTTGAGGGTGAGATTCGCCACGGCTGCGAGAAACCAACAGTTTCCGAGCTCACCTTGGCAGACATCGAATCGCGAAACACCGTCGGAAAAGAAGGCCGGATTTGAGACGATTTCCGACGGTCGTTTCCACTCAACGGGAGGATGGACGGGCGACTTTGGGAAGATGGAGGAATCCTCGCAGGGAAAATTGATGTCGGTAAATAATTTGTTGCCTGATGGGCCACAAGCTTCTGTAAAATTTCATTACACTTTTTAATATCAATTATATATTTATTGGATGAAATTTATGCATGGAATTTATATGAATTACCTTTTTTAATTTCATAATAATCCAGTACTTTCCCAGTTTTTGATCTGAAACCACTTCCCCTTTCACCAAAACGGTAAACCAGTATTCCTGATGGGAGTGAATAAGGCATTATTAACTTAGTCTTAATATTTCATTAATTCAATTTCAGACTTGTTAACGAATCTGAGGTATGAGAAGAAATGAGCTGGAAATTAATTATGCTGTTCGTATTAGTTTGTCCAGATTTTATGAAAAAATTAAAATTATTAGCCACTTAAAGTTGAATTTATTATATAAATAAATTTAGTCATCCTATTTTTGGAGTTGCCAATCTTTATCTCCTCCCCCTAAATGTTGAATTGTGTATTTATAAAATTTAAATATGCAGAAAAAATACCCATATGAGGCATGTCATGCATTCATAGAGAGCAGTTATTATTAATGAAGGTAATTTCGTATTGACAGTTGATTACTGTCTTAAATTTATGCACGCTTACTTATTTAAATATTATGCATGAAATCGAATTTGCGAATTTTGGAAATTCGTGATGGGCTGGAAAAGAAGTAATGAGCATGAATCTTGAAAATTGTAAATATTAATTTAAAAAAATGCACACGGTGCATGGAAATGGGACATGACTGGAGTATGTAACAAGTAATGTACTTCAACTTATACATACATAAATCACACGTTTTGGGTCAAGATCAATTTCAATATGACAACAAAATTAGACTGCTGTCCATTCTTCTCATAAGGATCGTATGTACATATACTGGAAGGTTTCATTATTCACAAACACACACCCTGTAATTATGGATTTGATTATACATACGTAGATAAAAGCATTAGTTTTTATCTGCTCAAATACGAACAGTTCATCAATCAAATAATAAAGGATTGTGCTCTTATTCTATTTTTCAAAAGTAAACCTTCCAAATTATTTGACACGGTTTTCGGCCAGGTTTCATCCTTAATAGAATTGTAAAAATATTCTCTTAAGGGACTTGCATCTATAAATTGCAGACTACATAAATTCCCATTAAGTAGGAGTAATCGTTAGGTACGGTTTACTTTTATAAAGATTGAATGATCATAACTTAAGGTTTTGTCACATTCTCCATGATGAATTTAAATCTCAAAATGTTTACCAAAGTACCAAAGTCTAGACTGCACTTCCATCTGAAAGATTGAGTGAAGTAAAGAGCAAACCCACTGCATTTCATGACGATCTTATTTGCACAAGTTAACAAATGATAATTGACAAGTTTTGTAGTGTTGATTGTACCCGACAATTTTTTCACGTTGTGTGAAGTTGTAACAGTTACGAAGGCTAATTAAGTGCATAGTAATCTGTTACACAGAAGTTTAGCTGTCATTGACACACTAAGCTAAATTATAAATACATAAACAGAGAAATCGAAAGGGAACATTACTACAAGTTATGCAATATATGGGGCATCTCCAATTACGCAATTCTACAAGTTTAAGTACTAAACTATGCATCTTCTCCATGCACCTGACAAGTATGTGGACAAGTGTCATGCATTCGGTCACTGTGGTCACAATTGTAATGTTTCGCCTGAGGAATTCATAATACAAAGATGTTGACCAATTCGACACTGGCACAAATTCGCTTCTTGGTCGTTCCATGCGTCGTTATGTTAATTGAAAGTACTTTGAATTTAAACCAGATAATTAAAGCACTTCATTACCTTTGATACAGTGTATTTAAGCACTGGTCAACAGCCCATTCAACATTCATTCAGCGTGCTCATCTTCTCCTTGTTTGCATTTGATTCCAAGAAAAACTGAAGATTTTGTTTCATTTTGTAGACAATGATGGATAAGGTGTGCAATATTTTGGATATTTTTCATACGGAAAAAATTGTAATGTCTAAAATCACATCTATTTCAGAGAGTACTTCTTCTCCTGGTGACCGTGGGTGTGGTGGCGGCTCTGCCAAAACCTCAATATTATGGCGGCGGTGGGGGTGCCCCTTCTGCAGCCGTGGCTGTTTCGAGCCCAAGCGGTGGCGGTGGTGGTTCTGCTCCAAATTATGCCAGCGCAGGTATGCACGTATCTTACGAATATTATGATTACTAAATTCTAATATACGATTTTTCATGATAATTAAGGTCCTGCCCCTCAACAACCGGCCCCCCAACCTGCCGCTGCTCAACCCCCACCATCCGCCCCAGCACCGAGTTACAGCTCATCATCATCATCCAGTTCTGGTGGATTAGCTCCGAGCTCAGGTGGCGATGGCGGAAGTAGCAGCGGCGGCGGTGGTTCTGGAGGAAATCTGCAAGTCCAATGCAAATCACAAGAGACTGCGCCAGGATCGGGATCCTTTAAATTTTCCTGTGAAGGAGTCGACCCCAACCAAATTTCTCTCCGCTCAGAACACATCTTGTGGTTGGAAGGACCTGCCGGACAGAAGCAAGTTATCGATGTCGATATCCCCAACTACAAGATTGAGGAACTCATCAAGGCCGGATTCAAGCCATCGCAAGGACAAGGAACGCAGATTAACTTGAAGCTGAAGAAGCCCGATCAGACTTATGAGGCTCAGAAGGATGACATCAAGTCTCAACAAGGGACACCAACGGTTAATTTGCAGTACGAGCCTGTTCAGAAGACAGTGGCTCATTTCCCGAGCGACAAGCCATACTCACCACTCCAGGGACCACTCCTCCCACCCGGTGGTGGTAGCAGTGGAAGCAGCAGCAGTAGCAGCAGTGGGGGTGCCCCACCTCCTTCGTCAGGTGGGAGTCGTTACCAGCGACAAACTTTCCACTCCAGTCCGTACTATTTACGAGTTTAAATGTTATGGAAAACTTGAAACTTTGCTGTTGTTGATTTTGTCTTGTTTATTACTTGATTTTGTAATGGGTTTTATAATTTTCAAAATTTTGTACATCTCTGTGAAGATTGAATAAATAACTGGTTTGATTGATATAAATATGTATATAAATCCATTTTGATGATGTAGTTGTATCATGTAATACCAATTCAAAGACCTGAGAATGCATTATTTAATTTTATATTCAAAATTAAAATTCAGCTTGAGCGAACGTGCATATGTACATTGGATACGCATATGCAGGACTCATCCTCAGAAAATGACTATCTCACAGTAAATGACTATGACAAATGAAAATCATATTTACATAAACCAAAAATTCGTTGAACTTGGATTTTGTCGTCATTGAATCCGAATGTGCAAATATTTAGTTCCGATCGTAAATTCTTATCTTAATCTCTTTAGCTTTTCTCTTGTTTAACTGAAAACATGCTCCGCAGAACCGTTTTGTTTGTCTCCTAAATATTTATAACAACCTTACACACATGTGCATACATTCATGTATTCGCTTTTGTCCTTGTCAAGGCAAACGTTTGTGTATCTTTCTACTCAATAGTTTTGTAATGCATTCAAATTGTAGTTAATTTAACTATAATAGCCTTTATTAGCAACAAAATATTTAGCAACATTTTAAAGTCGTAAATGAATTATCCCTTACTACTAAATTTAAAACAATGATTTTTGATTTATTAGACTACCAAAACTAACTCATATATACGATTACGTATACTTTTAATCTAACCACTCATGCCCTTTTAAACCTGATGTTGTGCATATGACAAAGTAAGTCACTATGGTCCCAACAATCTGCAAATAATGAAACGAATTACTTTTCCCAATATACAAAATGTGATATTCTGAAAATTACACTGAATATTGTTGTCCAATAAAGCTTAAAACAGATCCCACTAATTGCTACTGTATGATCAGAGGAGTCATGCAAAATCATCACAAATTCCTTCATCCTGATTCCATGGTTCTGTTCTGTTTGGATCTGGCATTGCAACCACCTTCTCATGCACCCAGCCCTTTCTGACAGATCACCACAAAAAAATAAAATTGTGCAAAAGTTGACAGCGTAAAATAGAGTAGAAAGCTTATCTGACGTAGAATTCTCTACTATAAAAATTAAATTGATGTAACTTGAGTAATACATAATTCCATTTAACACGAAGCCGAAAACTATGTTGGATGTCGCATCGTTAATCAAATGACAAAATTCTTTTAATGCGTCGTATTCTTTAATGACCAAATTTATTGACGTTGTTCCACCCTTCAGTTCCACCCACGTCTGAAAATTTTTAACTGCCGTCCACAAAGTGAGACACCCCATGAGAAGGAGACCCTCAGCAAAGTATGAATAAAATGCGGAAATCTGGGTGCAGATAAAGCTGGCGATGGCAGCTATGCAATCCAAGAAATTTAATTGTTCAATTGATGGCGGGATGGCGTAATTTGATGTCTCCAGAAAGAATTTAAATCGACCTAGAGCTATGTATCTAGATATGAATGTGGTCAAATGAGACTGTTCTACTTCGTCCAATAAGCGAATGACCAATCCCACAAGTAATGGTGTCATGCAAATGACATAGGTGCACCATTTTGATGTAATCTGAAGGGAAATTCATATATTTTGTTAGTTTGTAGTTTACAGATTCGATAAAGTTAGCTCATAATTTATGAGTCATAAAGTTACCACTCTTTTTGTTTTAAACGTTTCCAGATGTCGGTGATTTATAATGAATTGGAAAATCTTGAGAAATTTGGTCGATCCGAACCATAAACTCTTGATGAACATTATTTTGTAAATAAATTCACTCACTTCGGTAAAAATCTTAAAATATGCAACTGGGTGGATAGAACTGGTTAGTTTGTCGTATGGAAATGACCTGGCAGATGTGGAAAATCCGAAAAGTACGATAAATGTTTCTATCAAAGTAATAATCTGCAAAATGAAATAACTTCTTAATTTGTGCACGTAGCATTGTAAGAATTCTATTTAAAATACGTAACCTTTAGGAATGCTTTATGTCGAACTATCTGACATTGGACTAGTCGTGTAACCTGTTTGTATTGCACTACGTCCCAGACACGATAAGTACAACGGAATGGGATAAAGCAGATGTAGTATCCGATGTTGAAATACGCCGTGTACAAATTTAGAATATCTGAATATTCTTCATTCTCTTGAGCCATTCCTAATTCTACAAGATGCTCTGGAGTAAATTTCATTTTGTTCAACTTCGAGTTGTTTATTTATTATCTGGAAATATAATGGAACACTTATCACGATTTTATGCCTTTCATTTAATAAAATTTTGTAGTGAAGATCTTGGTATGAAAAATTAGAAAAATATGTAAAGCTAAATAATTGGAGAGTCAGAAAGTGAGATACCTTATAAATGACATTCATGTATACTGTTTTTAAGTATTTAATACTTCTTACTGATTTCTTATGGGTACTTGAGTTTAAAAATTACCTACTTTCCTAAAACCAGCTTTACTCTGGAAGTTATGTATGTATCCCCTGATTAGTGACTTGTTCACAGTGCTTACTATGATACCATGAAACAAATTATGACAATATATTGTCATATCAATATATTGCAATATAATTCGTTAAACCAGGTAAACAACTTATTGTCATCATAATGGATTACAATTTTTGAAATTCAATTTCAAATAATTACATAAATTTCCACCGCAAACACTTTTACACACTTGAGTTTACATATGCATGCCTATTAAAATAAAGAAAGATTTAACAATGATCGATTGAATTCCGTGTTAGAAATTCAATAAGTTACACAAGAACATGCTCTTAAGTAATTGAGTGATGTAAATATCTAGAAATAGAAATTAGGGTGTACGAATCGAGTGCTAAATATATGCATTGGGAATTTATTGAGCATGACGTTGTACTGGGAATTGTACTGTACTTATGTATATATAATAACTGTACGAAAGTAAATATTTGTTGGTGGGGGGGACGAATGCATATTTTTAAGGCCAATTTTACTTTTCCAAATTTAAAATTGCTTTATTACTATCAAACCTAAATTTTACTATGCTAAAAACAATTTGTTATTAGATTGTGGGTACGCTGATTGTAGATTTCAAGGCCTAAGAATCCTCCTAAGAATCAATGATTAATGAAAAAGCGTCTATGTAAATTAGTATGCACATATTTATAGTTGAAAATTTGTTATTCATTGCGGCCATTCTTTTCCCCTAAGGTCAGAAGTTCCGCATATGACAAAATAAGTCACAACCGTTCCAACAATCTGTAATATTTAAGAAAATACATTATGCAATGTGTAAGTAGCTCTTCATTTCAAAAAGTTCATATTAGATTTTAATTAATTACGCCGAAAATTGTTGCCCAATGCAAAGTGAAACACATTCCGTTAACTGCCACCGTATGATGAGACGAGTCGTACAAAATCATGATAAATTCCTTTACGCCAAGGCCACCATTTTGGTCCGTCCGAGTCTGGCCTTCTAACCACTTCTTTATGACGTTAGAAGGTCTTGCCGCTAGATCGCCGCATAAATATAAAATGACAATAAAATTAAAGACAAAGTATAGCGTAGAAAGTTTATCGGATGTCGAATTATCCACGATGAAAACCCCATTGATATAATTTGAATAATAAACAATTCCGTTTAAAATATATACAAAAACCAAAGGAGATATCGCGTCGTTTATTAGACGGCAAAAATTCTTTAAAACTTGGTACTCGTTGAGGACTGAGGTTGGCCTTTGACTTCCGTGATTTGTTATGAAGGTCTCGAACCCGATGACCGCTGTCCATAAAGTGAGGCACCCCATGAGAAGTAGACCTTCTGCAAAATAGGTTGATGTTGACGAAATTATAGAGAAAAATAAGGTGAGTATGGCCACCACGTAATCAAGTGAATTCATCGAATCCTGCATTCTTGAAGAACGGACAGACGCAGACGCCGCCTTGTCCAAGAAGAATTTAAACCGACCCTCTGCGACATAGCGAGATATGAAAGGGGTTGAGTGAGATTGTCCCGTTTCGTACATTATACGAGAAATTAATCCCACAATTAAAGGGGCCAGACAGATGACGTAAGTGCAGCATTTTGAAGTTATCTGTGGTAAATAAATTTGTTTTTAGCCCAAATTAGTTGAAATTGAACATCTGTTAAGAGTACCTTTTCTTTATTTTGAAATATCTTCATGTGTCGGTTGTTTGTGATAAACTGTGAAATCTTAAGAAACTTTGTCGAGCCGAACCACATATTTTGCATGAAGATTAATTTGAGAAGGATGTCGCTCAGATCGATGCATACCTTGAAATACGCAGCTGGATGGACGGTACGAGTTAATTTATAGTATGGAAATCTTCTTAGGCGCGTAATAAACCCAAAAAATACGACAGGTGTGAAAATTGCAGTTAATATCTGTAGGTTAAATGGGTTTTGTCATTAACAATGGTTTTGCATATGCAATTAATTTTTGCCAGACCTACCTTTTGAGCTTTATTCTGGTGCATGTTATAACAATGAGTTTTTCCTGCAACCGTAGATTTTTCCACATCGTTGATATTTCCTTTAATCAAGCGATAACGGAAAGGGACGAGGAAGAGGTGATAACCAATATTGAAATATGACTTGTAGAAATTTAAAATATCGGGAACGTCATAGCTTCTCTCAAACCAACCTGGTCCAGATACGACAACTGATTGATGTACATTAGGAAATTTTGCATGCAACTTTTCTATCATTTCTATATTTTAAAGAGTAAGATTAGGATTAACGAATACGTATCAATGGATTTTGATAAATACTGTGGTAATGGAGAAAAGTTCTGGGACTGATTGTGAGTCATGAACAGAGGGCGGATATGTATGTATTTCTAACTTTTTCATATCAAATCAGATCGTACTAAAACTTTGTATACTGACATCCCATCGAAGCGTGATCTCAAAAATTCAAACATGGTTTTCCATATTTTACATATTTTAGTATACTTACATATACATATTTTCATACATATTTTGAGGTTTTTTTTCGTACATGCACATATTTTTCTACATAATCGAGCCTTTTTCCAAAAATACATATTTTAATACATTTCAAGGTTTTTTATGTGAAAATATTTCTCTTTATTGAGTAGTTAAAGTAATGATAGTGGTGTTCAATTCATGTGAACGATTAGCAAATCCAGTTTGCCCCATTTTTCAAGTCAAAAAATTACCCCTGAAAACCTCTAAATATAACTAATGTCGCTTTATGGGTCATTAGCTGAAGATTAAAATGAAATATTTAATACTTCGTTGATAAGGGTGCTAACAATTTAAAAGGTCTGGACAATTAAATATAAATACAGTAGAAAATTGCAATTGAAAAATATTTTTTATGTGCATATTTTCGTGTTTTTTAAGCACATATTACATACATATTTTGAGGAATTTAAGTACATACATATCCGCCCTATGGTCATGAATATTAGTGAAATTTAGATGAATGAAATAGTGCTTGGTTAAATAAATTATGCTAAATGTTTGGTAACTTGTGAGCAGAGGGTCTCACCTTGTGTAAACATAATTCTTCGGGTACTGACTAATTCTGTAATGAAATTTTTTGATGTATATACAGGATACATCTATCTAATAATAACATTTTTCCCTATATTACTTAGGAAGACAGAAAATATCCATAAAAAACGAATTCGATTCATTTTAATCAGAAATATTTATACATTATACGTATTTATGGACACCTTATAATTGATTTTTGCGTTGGCCAAAGTTACCTTCTATTCGTACGATTTTTATTTGTCTGAAAGTATTTCAAAACGTATGTGCAGAATTCCGCAGTTAACTTTAATAAATTTGTACGAACTGTGGAAAATTTTCAGTGTCGATAAACGTCAAACATTTCAAGGTCAAAATAAGTATATTCATGAAGATAGTAATTCGTATACTAGTTAATGCTCATGTTGCAGAATTATTACCTTTCTTATCAGAAGATACGGTAGTAATATTGAGCTGATAATGTCGACCGACAAAAGTATATAATTTTAACCACGGGTTTGCCTCCAACTCATCAACATGACATGATCTTTGTTTCAGTTGTAAAAATGATTGTATTGTAAGAAGTCTTCTGGACAAGTTTATACCTTCGAAACAAACCCTTTCAGGAAAACTTCCTTAGAGTCATAAGAATATTAAAGCGACGTGTTTTAAATGAAACTAATGTTTTTTTTATATTATACATGATATGACCACACAGGGTGCATAACATTTTGTTTTCCGTGGTTTTTTCTAAGGGGGTGATGCAAGGATGAATTTTTTCACAAAATTAAAAGTTCAGAGATTGTATGCAATTTTCCCATGAATTTTGTTGTCGGTCAAATTTTACAAATTATAATATCCTGCGCCTAAAACTCTCACAAGTATCCCGAAAGTTAAATATATATAACTTATTTTTGGAATTTAGACTTAATTAGCTATGTACACAGCGTAAAACGAGCATATGTATATAATAAATCAGAGGAATTTTATAGGTTGATGTTCTATTTATAATATATTATCCTATCTGCTCGCATAATGAGTCAGAAGTAGAACTATTTATTAGATAACCTGGTTTAACAAAATGCTGAAGTGGTCCAATCTCCGTATTAGTAATGTCTGATAATAAGATGCATACATAATAATACATATACAATATACTATGTGTTACTTCACGATATGTGTATAAAAATTTTGACGCATTATCACTGCAATTGATTAATGGACACCTACAAATTATGATCAATGTTAATTATTCATCCTTTCTTACACACTTTTCAAGATTTAAACCAATCTGAAAATATAGCTCGTTATAATTATTTTACAACAGAAATAAAGAATTGGAAAAACTTATCAACGATTAAGGTGGGTTTATACTTCACTCCTTGTTAACTTGCCCTAATGTTATAATTTAACTATGGCGCAAGTTATGCAGGAGTAACGCATAAACGCAGCTTTAGGGAAATGAGAGCTAATTGAAAAAAAACAGGGCAAATCAATTGATCTTTGACCTTGATTTGCTGCCCAGCATAGAATATTAGGTGGCATGACAGCTTTTACTCGCGACCTCAAGGGCTACAAGATACATTTACACAATTTGGAAATTTTCACGCAAAACCACATGCCCGTCTCTTTGGGGCCTCTTCATTTACCTGCTGGTGATTCAAAACCTCGGTACACAGCAATGAATGATGAAGTTGAGCATAAAAAGGTGACGATGTCTGATGAATATTTTAATTGAATAATATGCATAGATTAAATTCCAGACGTCAATAAGTTTATGGATCTTCGAAATAAATCCCTGCAATAAATAACTAACAAATTTTACATCATGCTGACCATCCATCACAATTAGACGTACGTACTTATAAATAATCGTTTCTCGGAGCCTCCAAATATGCAAATGGTGACATCAGTCGCCTTGATCAACATTTTTATAATTTGCGTACTCGGCATCGTTAACCTGTTTAACCAGGAAGGGATTAAGGTCAGAAGCAATAGATAAAGTGGATGCTTACTTTTTCATGTGTATCATTTATCCTGACGGAATGGCGTATCATATTAAGCTCGGGGAAATCACGGAGCTTAAGATTACATTCAACACCAAAACAATAATTATCATTTTAATAAAATAACTTTCACGGATAAATCTCCGGACGCGATTGGGAATTATGAGAAATAGTTAACCTTTTCTAATTGGGCAGTGCGCATCGTTTGCAATAAAACGCGTTCAATTATAAGTTAAAAATGTTGAAGAAAATAATAGTATCAACTTCTCTCATTCTTACCTTTGTAACCTGTTTATCAGCACAGGTTGGTCATGCCGGTTTCAACGATTACGACTTAAAATGGGACATCCAAGGGGATAAAATTATTTTCAGGATTAGAGCAAGAACGAGAGGCTGGGTTGGAATCGGATTAAGTGAGAACAGAGGGATGAATGGTTCTGAACTAATGGTTTGCGGGGGTGGTAAAGTCATTTGACATTACGACAACTACAATTGTGCCAACAACAACAACCCCAAGTTCAACAACGACAACAGGCGCCCCACCAACTACAAACTCGCCACCAACGTCCGACACGCCCCCAACGTCCGATACGCCACCTACATCCGACACGACACCAACGTCCGACACGCCCCCAACGTCCGATACGCCACCTACATCCGACACGACACCAACGTCCGACACGCCCCCAACGTCCGATACGCCACCTACATCCGACACGCCTCCAACGCCACCTACATCCGACACGCCACCAACGTCCGACACGCCTCCAACGCCACCAACGTCCGACACGCCTCCAACGCCACCAACGTCCGACACGCCTCCAACGCCACCAACGTCCGACACGCCTCCAACGCCACCAACGTCCGATACGCCCCCAACATCCGATACGATACCAACCTCCGACACGCCACCAACCTCCGACACGCCACCAACGTCCGATACGCCACCGACATCTGATACGCCACCTACATCCGATACGCCCCCAACATCCGATACGCCACCGACATCTGATACGCCACCAACCTCCGATACGCCACCGACATCTGATACGCCACCAACCTCCGATACGCCCCCAACATCCGATACGCCACCGACATCTGATACGCCACCAACCTCCGATACGCCCCCAACATCCGATACGCCACCGACATCTGATACGCCACCAACCTCCGATACGCCCCCAACATCCGATACGCCACCGACATCTGATACGCCACCAACCTCCGATACGCCCCCAACATCCGATACGCCACCGACATCTGATACGCCACCAACCTCCGATACGCCCCCAACATCCGATACGCCACCGACATCTGATACGCCACCAACCTCCGATACGCCCCCAACATCCGATACGCCACCGACATCTGATACGCCACCAACCTCCGATACGCCCCCAACATCCGATACGCCACCGACATCTGATACGCCACCAACCTCCGATACGCCCCCAACATCCGATACGCCACCGACATCTGATACGCCACCAACCTCCGATACGCCCCCAACATCCGATACGCCACCGACATCTGATACGCCACCAACCTCCGATACGCCCCCAACATCCGATACGCCACCGACGTCTGATACGCCACCAACCTCCGATACGCCCCCAACATCCGATACGCCACCGACATCTGATACGCCACCAACCTCTGATACGCCCCCAACATCCGATACGCCACCGACATCTGATACGCCACCGACCTCCGATACGCCACCAACCTCCGATACGCCCCCAACATCCGATACGCCACCGACATCTGATACGCCACCTACATCCGATACGCCATCTACATCCGTAACGCCACCGGTCACGACATTCCTTCGGTTGGGGTTGAAGGATGGGAAAGCTCATCTTAGCAAAGAAATAGAACTGCTTCAATCTGACGAAATCTATACAGAAGTAATTGCATATATTCATAAAATTTATACACTCGTTGGCAACTGGTATTAAATTATTACCAGGCGGAGTACATATATAACTCAACCGGCATAGTAATAACGATCATTTCGGTTTGGTAATGTTGTGGAATGAAATATGTACCACTCAGAAACGAACTATTACAAATCTAGTGCGAGGTTATTAGAAAATCTATATCAGCGAGGAGTATATATGTGACTCTACCGGATGCTGTACAATGTATTTATTTTATGGCTTCATAAAAAGCAAAATTGTCATTATGATTATTTTTTAATTATTAGAGAAGAATCGGATCTGCAACCGGACTTGGCAGTCAGTACCCTGGAACTGCGTGGCAGTTCGTTAGCGCAGTCGAAACATATGACCAGTTTCTAAATCCGGAAGATCCTTTCGAGTGGTTCACAACGGTCGTGTGGGAGAGACAATTGACATCAAACGATACTAGGGACATTCAGATTGTTGAGGTATATTTTACTTTTGAATTTGTTGAATTCGAATACCCAACTATTTACAAATTTGCAGTATCAACGTGTCTACCTCTTGATGGCATTCGGTGTAAATGACGTTATCGCAGATCACGGTGCACAACACAGACTAGCTGTCGTAGTCGATTTCCTAACTTCGACTAATTCTGCAACGAGGACAATTTCTTCGAACTGGAGCTACAGTTCATTATTGCTACTTACTTCATGCACAATTTATTTTTTCAAACTTTAATTTAAGCAACTGAGTTTGCATTGCAGCTACTTTGTCATAATAATATTATTATTTTGTTTCTTTAATAAAAGTTTGTATCTTGATGATTCTCACTGTTCTCAGTTATTATTGGGTATTCATTTACGAAATAAATCTTTGTTAATATAGAAATAGATAACTTTTCAAAGAAATTTTAACGAAATTTCAAACTTAATTGGTTATTATCACGTTGCAAAGATTATATTAAAATAATATTTTTTGGTACGTGGAGGAGCATCTGCATTTCAGTCCAAACATATGTATGTATGACTTTCATTAATTATGCACAATTATGAACAAGTTAGTGACCCTTCAATGGGGGGGCCTTCATTCACTTCCTTCGTTGCCAGACTACTAATAATTAAGGACACTCATGCCATTAAAGACTAATTGCGAAGTTCCACGTCTCATATATACATCGCGTATCTGACTGGTCCAACAATAAGTAGCATCCTCACGAAATTTCAAATTAATTTATATTTAATACTCACTAATTTGAATCCAATAAAATTATTCCATATTGTGGTGATGTAATTGCTGGACGTGATGGACCACTTACCCACGAACTTAAACCTAAAGCCCCACAAACGAAGTGACTCACCAATTCATCGTCAGAATTCTACCTTATCTACATGCATAAGTGCATACTCCATTTTAGATTTAGTAATCCGAAATGTTTTTATTCAGTGAACGCCACATGATTTAAAGTTATTTTTATAATCTACGCTAATCCTCACTGAAGAAGAAGTCATATATCATATGTAGTGTACATAAATAATAGAAATTGATCACATGATGCTGCCATTGCTTATACCCTATCACAATGATTAAACGTTTCTCGTCATTACAACACTATTCAAACCATGATTCATCCGTACCTGCTTCTAATTATACATGCTAGCCAGAGGGTCCAACTGGACAATGATAAGCCAAGGAACAAAAGGCAGAACTCTGGGTATGAATAGAGATAAGAGGTGATTGAAAGATATATCTAAATATATTGTCAAAAGATGAATAAAACCTGGTACATGACATGATTTTAGGAACAGTTGCTAAATTTCTCTCGTCGTCCTATTACAGAAATAATTTAGTTTGCTCGACAAGAATAAAAATGACGAAATATTTGGTTTTCTCCCTTCTACTAGCAGTGATCCTTGTATCTTTTTCCTCGGCACAAGTTGGTCATGAAGATTTCGAAGAGTACGATCTCACATGGACCATCACTGGAGACAAGATTCGGTTCAGGGCGAGGGTGAAAACAGGTGGGTGGGTGGGAATTGGTCTCAATACGAAGCGAGGCATGGAAGGAGCTGAGCTTATGATTTCTGGTGTAACTAAGGCAAATGATATAACTACTCCCACCACTCCCACCACCACTCAAGCAACAACCACTCCCACAACGACTCAAGAAGCGTCCACTCCAACAACTACTCAGGAATCAACGACCCCCACAACTACTCAAGCAACAACAACAACCAGTCCCACAACGACTCAAGAATCAACGACTCCAACAACTACTCCAGAATCAAGCACAACTAGTTCATCCTCATCCTCAGCAATCCACATTCTTCAAGGAGGGGACCAAGCATATGATTACGTAATTGTCATTTAATTTCATGAGTAAATAAATACATTAACTGGCATGCACAATTTTCTCAATTTTGTATCACATTGCAGCGTTACGTCGGAATTGTTAACGATATCGGGGGCGTATATCCAGGAAATGCATGGAGATTTTTGACCGGAACTGAGCAACTCGAGCGAGAAGATGACGCCGACGATCCCCTAGAAACCTTTACCACGGTTGAGTGGGAACGAGATCTGACCACGTCGGACCAGTCTGATATACAAATTACTCGAGTAAGTTGGGCAGGAAGGGATTAAGACTTATCTTTGCTTTGGTGTTTAATTAATAAATTCTACCCACCAACAGGGACAACCAATTTATCTTATGATGGCATATGGTGTAAATGATGTAATAAATTATCACCAACCTCAGCACAGAGAGACTGAGATTGTTGACCTTTTCAACCCTAATGCAGCTGGAAGAGTCAACTTTAATATTATATACAGTTTAACATCGGTTGTAACATTGTTGTGGATTATGGCGTAAAGTGTTTTGAATAAGTCTAATGTGACTTGAAGGATTTGATAATAAAATGACATGAAAATGCATGAGATGATAAATATTACGTGTTTGGGTGTACCTTGCAAACATAAAGATCTGTATTTGTGTAGTATATCTAGTCTACCAGTAACTCGACGATCGTTCTTTAGTTAGTTGGTCGTCATTTATTCACATGCTATTCCTTGATCAGTGCAATTTAGTGACTATAAGTCGCTATTTTATGGTATCCGTACAGTTAATTAGTGTGTATTTCTAATAGTAAGTAGGACCACTCATTATTCTAAATTCCTACTGGGCTTTTGTAAGATAACTGAGTCCTAGAAGAAAAAGAAATTATTCGGTAGTAGTACATCCTTTGTAATAAATACTATCCAAAGTGTACACACGGTTCCATGTAAAATATATCACAATTTTTCTTATGTAATACATACAATGAGTCAATTTCAATGCAAATGATGAATAATTTATTTACTAGGCCATTTTGACTCTACAATAAAATAATTTTAAAAAAAACATTCTTAGGCGAGGCGCTGCTAAAAGTGAAAAACAAGGCCTATTTTTTAAATATCTCGTACCTTTATCTTTGTAACAGGAGTTGTTAGCTTTGCATTACCGCGAGGCCAAACATATTGACCGTGCAATATACCACTCCGTTTATTAAGTAGCTTCAGCTACTTTATGTGAAGACTTTGTCTGTCTGTCTGTCTGTCTGTCTGTCTGTCTGTCTGTCTGTCTGTCTGTCCGTCTGTCTGTCAGCAGGATATCAGGAGAACGGATCGAGATAATCGAAATCGGTTTTCGCCATCATACATAGGACCCCAGGGGGAGGATCCTATCAACTTTTGGGGGCAACCGGACCACACCCCCTTTGGCGACAGGGGGTGTGGTCGGGGCAAAATGAGATTTTTAGTGCAATTTAATCTATAGGTGAAATAGAGTAAAATTATGTGTTCCGGAGTTGTGCCACACCCCCTCGGCGCCAGGGGGTGTGGTTGGGGCAAAATGAGATTTTTAGTGCAATTTAATCTATGGGTAAAATTAGGTGAAATTGAGTGAAATTAAATGAAATTAAGTGAAATTAAGTGCTTCCCCGATTGTGCCACACCCCCTCGGCCCCAGGGGGTGTGGTTGGGGCAAAATGAGATTTTTAGTGCAATTTATTCTATGGGTAAAATTAAGTGAAATTGAGTGAAATTAAATGAAATTAAGTGAAATTAAGTGAAATTGAGTGTTTCCCCGATTTTGCCGCACCCCTTCGGCGCCAGCGGGTGTGGTTGGGGCAAAATGAGATTTTTAGTGCAATTTAATCTATAGGTGAAATAGAGCAAAATTATGTGTTCCGGAGTTGTGCCACACCCCCTAGGCGCCAAGGGTGTGGTTGGGGCAAAATGAGATTTTTATAAAAAATTAATCTATAGATGAAATAGAGTGAAATTAAGTGTTCCCGAGTTGTTCCACACCCCCTCGTCGCCAGGGGGTGTGGTCGGGGCAAAATGAGATTTTTACAAAAAATTAATCTATAGGTGAAATAGAGTGAAATTAAGTGTTCCCGAGTTGTGGTGGGACCGTTTGGGGTGAAGTACGTCTGAAGCTACTTCCGTATGCGCGTTTGCGACGGTTTATTACAAAAGCGAGTAGCAACACAAATAAAAATTTGCTGCTAAAAAATTCAATTATTGCTAATTAAAATAAACGAATATTGCTTCAAAAGGGTTATAAGTGGAGTTTGCAAAAACTATTGCAGAGGACCAATAGTATAGGATTTAATTTAGGTATAGGATTTCGTTCCTTAAATTGTAGACCCACGGTTTGCATTTACAATTACTGTTTTGACGACCTGTGCAAGGAAATCAAAGGTAATTGATACTGAAACATTAGCTATTTAAAATTCCCCTCTGTCTCAGGAGGCTGGTGTAATTAATGAATATATGTCCTAATTTCATGGGGGGATGCAAGGTTCTATAATGTGGATGTTGCGTGGGACTATTTCGACGGGTTTGTATTTGAAGAAATTAAAATGCCGACGCATGAATAAGGAGATAAATGATAATTTTGAGAACCCAGATTTTGTTCCTGCGAATTAATTCTCGCGAATATATTATTATTTGCTAAGAGCTTAGCGTAAAATGTTTGGCCTCGCGGTGATGCAAAGCCACCAACTCCTGTTACAAAGATAAAGGTACGAGATATTTAAAAAATAGGCCTTGTTTTTCACTTTTAGCAGCGCCTCGCCTAAGAATGTTTTTTTAAAAATTATTTTATTTCATGGATTTTAGGTGATACACATTTTGAGACAATTATTTGCACTCCTCAAAATTGTTACACTATTTTTTAAATATTGTCAGTTTTTTTAAATGAAGACATTTGATTGTTTTTCGTTACAAAATTAGTTGAAGGTCGCAAAATTATTTTCCCTCTAATTCCTCATTGGCCAAAAATGGCAATTTCGTAAACACAGCTATTTGTATCTAGAAAATTATATTGGTAGCTAGTAACAACTAGCTTGGAGTATTGAAATTCTGATGAAGAATGCTTAGCAACATAAATAGTTTCAGATGCATCCATCAAAACTTTTTCAGTTTTGGACCGATTTCAGTAGGATTTGTTTTAAATAATGCTCAATCGATTTCTGCGTGATAAAATCAGGTTTCTCGCACATGGTCCTTTGGCACAAGTCTCTCAAATTTTGATTTTAAAGTTTCAAATCGAAATTTGAGAGCCAAGGATAAAACTTTTCTATCGGGCATATTGAAAAACTGCATCTCCTCGTTCTCCTCTGCACGATTGCTCTTTACATCATTTGCGTAGGATTAACCGTTTAGGCTCTAGCCTCGCTGACAGTTTCAAAGGGTGTATACGAAAGCATACTTAGGCTTCGCCGTAACCATGGTGACGCTTTTTTGCGGGCACCCATGTTTACTTTTGCCTCACCTAAGAAAAATAGTTTATTAGCCGTGAGGAGAGCTTTAAATCAAATACTTGGTAACAAAATATAACAAATTTCTAGTAGTTTTTTATTCATTTCGTAACGCAAATTTACAGAATACAATTTTAACTCGTTTGAAAATATTTAGAATACAGATGAATATGCTAATTTTTTAAATTCTGATAATTACATATATGTTGTTGTGTACGTAACTTAAAGTTGATGTTTAGCTTGTTGGGTCAAAAATGGTCAAATATTTGTACAGTGTAGAAAAAACATGATATACAAAAAATGCGATCGAATTTGGGACACCATTATTATTTACTTGAGTGTGACATTTAAATTCTTTGATGAAGAATGTGAATACTTCGTAAAATGCAGTTTGATCGTTAACTTTTTAAATTAATTATTGTAATTTATTAGTTTTTCTAAATATTTAAGTGTCAAGTCCTTAGTTTAAGAACAAGCATTACTGTGGAATAGTTTGATTTATTAGTTACGTATCACCTATGATGTATATAATTGTAGACTTACGATTAATGACATTCTAATTTCTATACCATTCTCGACAATATAATAGCTATTTGAACAAGAAAAACAGTTCTGCCAAAAATTGTGGGTGCACTAGATTCCGTAGAAGTTTCAGTAGATGTTGGAACAGTCACGCTTGTTGGCGTCGTTCGTGCGGTCGTCGTAGGTACGGTGGTAGTCGTGGTCAGAACCGTTGTTGTTTGGAAACTTGTCGTTTGCACGGTCGTCATTTGTGTCGGTTGTGTAGTCGATTCGGTTGGAGTACAATCAACCAAATGCGGCAGATTGCATTTTAGTTCGATTGGATCAAACAAAAGCTGCCCAGGACATTGAAAAACCTGAGAATAACCTTGTTGACAAATGAAAAATGATGCACACTCTGTGGGATGCGGATAAACTCCATCTGGTCTTCCAGAACATTGCAATTCACAGATGACCCAATCGGAGAGGACGCATCGCAACTCAATGGGATGAAATAATAAAGGTTCCGGACATTGGTAAGAGGTGCTTGTTCCTCCTTCACAAATGGCAAACGACGCGCAACTTGAAGGGTGTGGATAAACACCGTCGGTGCGATTTGAGCAGTCAAATGTGTCGGGGACTAAAGTTGTGGTGGCGGAAGTTGGACCGCTGGTCGGATTTTGTGTAGTTGGACCGCTGGTTGGTTGTGTTGTAGGCCCTGTTGTTGCAGTTGGGTCGGTCACAGAAGGCCAACATCCCTCACGAATACTTCCCAAGGTACCGGACTCATCTGAACGATATGTGATACCATATCCCCTCTCGTCAACCACGGTTTCTGGCAAAATGCACCGATAATTCCCTTCGTAATTAGAGCTGTCATACAGAGTCCACACATGGTTTCCTGTGAGGAAGTATGAACCATAGCTGATCCCAACGTCCGCCGAATCCCCAGATAATACTCGTCGGGTTCCGTTAAGTTCAGTCTCCTGGTAGAAAGTAATTTGTTTTGCTGTCTGGTCAGCATCCCCGAATCGGGTGACGTAGACATAGGTACCGCTCTGAAATTCTCGTTCCACACAAATTGGACTGTTCGCTAGTACCGGTGGAAGGTATGGCTGATCACATTGGACGGGAGATTGACAGGGATGAACTACCCAACTATATAAAAGTATAAAGAGAATAAATTGAGTTTTCGGTGAATTGAGGTGCCGAAAATCATACTTACAGTCCACTTGCTTCAAACGATGCATAATTAGTAGTTCCAGGAATTGTGTGAAGTCCTCCAGCATTTGTCACATGAATGTTTTCTCCTCGGCAACCGGTTTCCAGGAATATCCGGACATATTGTTGTGTGGATGGTGCCGCCGTGGATGGGATATCTGTAGTAGTTGGACCGCTTGTAGGACCTTGCGTAGTTGGACCACTGGTTGGATCTTGTGTAGTTGGACCGCTGGTTGGATCTTGCGTAGTTGGACCGCTGGTTGGATCTTGCGTAGTTGGACCGCTGGTTGGATCTTGCGTAGTTGGACCGCTGGTTGGATCTTGCGTAGTTGGACCGCTGGTTGGATCTTGCGTAGTTGGACCGCTGGTTGGATCTTGCGTAGTTGGACCGCTGGTTGGATCTTGCGTAGTTGGACCGCTGGTTGGATCTTGCGTAGTTGGACCGCTGGTTGGATCTTGCGTAGTTGGACCGGTGGTTGGATCTTGCGTGGTTGGACCGCTGGTTGGATCTTGCGTGGTTGGACCGCTGGTTGGATCTTGCGTAGTTGGACCACTGGTTGGATCTTGCGTAGTTGGACCGCTGGTTGGATCTTGCGTAGTTGGACCGCTGGTTGGATCTTGCGTAGTTGGACCGCTGGTTGGATCTTGCGTAGTTGGACCGGTGGTTGGATCTTGCGTGGTTGGACCACTGGTTGGATCTTGTGTAGTTGGACCGCTGGTTGGATCTTGCGTAGTTGGACCGCTGGTTGGATCTTGCGTAGTTGGACCGCTGGTTGGATCTTGCGTAGTTGGACCGCTGGTTGGATCTTGCGTAGTTGGACCGCTGGTTGGATCTTGCGTAGTTGGACCACTGGTTGGATCTTGGTAGTGGCGGTAGTTGGACCGCTGGTTGGATCTTGCGTAGTTGGACCGCTGGTTGGATCTTGCGTAGTTGGACCGCTGGTTGGATCTTGCGTAGTTGGACCGCTGGTTGGATCTTGCGTAGTTGGACCACTGGTTGGATCTTGTGTAGTTGGACCGCTGGTTGGATCTTGCGTAGTTGGACCGCTGGTTGGATCTTGCGTAGTTGGACCGCTGGTTGGATCTTGCGTAGTTGGACCGCTGGTTGGATCTTGCGTAGTTGGACCGCTGGTTGGATCTTGCGTAGTTGGACCACTGGTTGGATCTTGTGTAGTTGGACCGCTGGTTGGATCTTGCGTAGTTGGACCGCTGGTTGGATCTTGCGTAGTTGGACCGCTGGTTGGATCTTGCGTAGTTGGACCGCTGGTTGGATCTTGCGTAGTTGGACCGGTGGTTGGATCTTGCGTGGTTGGACCGCTAGTTGGATCTTGCGTAGTTGGACCACTGGTTGGATTTTCTGTAGTTGAAGTGGGGCCATCTGTAGTTGGGGACGTGGGGGGTGTTGCTGTGGGCATGGTTGTCGGTGCAGTTGGATCTGTTACAAGAGGATCACACCCTTCTCGAATACTCCCGACGGTACCTGCCTCATTCGCTACATAAGTTATCCCGTAACCCCGCTCATTAACAGCAGGGTCGGCTGTGATACACCTCGAATTTCCATCGAAATTGGGACCTTCATACAACGTCCAACTATGATTTCCAGTGTGAAAATAAGAAACATAGCTAAGATTTAGTTCTTCAATCGACTCCGAAATTGTTCTTGGAGTTCCATCTAAATTTGCCGCCGAGTTAAATACGATGGACTTTGCAGCTTGGTTAGCATCACCAAAACGCGAGACATAAATTCCACTCCCTGTAGGAAATGTGTAATCCTCACAAACAGGTTCTTGTCCGAGTGTTGGAGGACTATCGAAGGCGTCGCATGACGGATACAAAGGACAGGGATTGACTATCCAACTGTATAAATCATAATTAAGCATAAATAAGTTATTATTTAGACAATACAATCCTTATAATGAAGTGCAGTACAAAGTACGGTGCATATTTCTTGCAGTACAGTGCAAGAAATGTCGAAAAGTTGTAAGATATCAAACACTGGACTGATGAAATATATGCAATACCATAATTTTTGGTTTTGCATTTAATTATGAGGTTAATCAAATTATTGTTAAAACCAGAGGTCGACACCCCAATTTTGCTGCGGCGCGGCGTCCTTATATTAAAGGAATAGGAAATCAAATTTATTAGCGGCGACGTACGAGCGGCGGTGTCAACCTCTGGTTAAAACATTTCCAAACTTGAAATAATTGCAAATAGTCTGAAACAACGTCACTAAATGCCATTGTACTTACAGTCCAAAAATTTGGTATGCCAAATATGCTGCATCAGTTGGGATCGGCCCGTAGCTATTGCCAAGATATGGCGTGCTGCTACTCCCTTGACAACCGACTTCGGTAAACAATCGGACAAATTGCTCCTGGGAAAGACTTGGTGCAATGTAGGAAAGTAAACCAAAAACGAGAAAGTAGAGGTGTCTCATTTTTCTAAAATTGCAATCACTCCGGTAATATGGTCGTTGAGTGAATTGTGGAAGACGAATGAAACATTGTAAGTAAAAGTAAGGTAATTTTTAGCGATTTACGTCACTGTCATTGTTATAAAGATTTTATCAGAAGAATCCGAAACTTTTGAAAGCATTAAGCTCCGTCAAGTTGGAACTATTTTATCGCATTATGTATTATGTATGTTTCCTCATCAGATGGGTATTCCATTACGGTGACTGTGATTGAAAAACGACATCCACGGAGTTTATTCATCATTATGATTCAGTATTTACTTTAGGATTATCCTGAACTTAAGGATTATGGTGCTCATTCTCCTCAGATTTGATGGATAACGAAACTAAAGCCATGGATCAATTTCCAGACCAGATAAGGGACGTAATTGGTGACTGAGAGGACACGCAAAATACGAAACAATGTGTTAGGAGACTGAATTTACAAAATGTTGATGCACAAAGTAATAAAATGTACTTATGTATTACTCATCCTAGGCTCTGATTTCGCATGCAATTCTTTCCAGAAGACCAATGCTGCAATCACTGTGAAGAGTAATTATCCACTTTTCGTCACGTGCAAAGACTTCATTTCATGAGTGCACGTTTGTAACGTCACAGGATATTTTTGGGCAACTAACGTGATTTTTTTCATACTCATACTGGATTTAAATTGTCACAATTGAGATATTTACAGTGACCTAATCAACGATTAACATGAAATAGCTAAATATTTACTAATCAAAGCCACTCTTGCATATTCTTCAACCATTTGCACTTTGATTTCACACATAACATTATCAAAGAACAATGTGGAGTTTCATTTCTGGTTTATCATAAAATTCCTAAGTCTACTAAACATGTATTGAACATACTTCTGCATACCTAAACTGATCCCATGAAAATTATCAACAATACTTACAAACTAGTGACACAGATGTGACGGCATAATCCACTGGCTTGATTTTCATTACAAATGTCTTCGTTATCTTGGTGGCTGATCCTGAGTGAAGTACTGTTCCACAATGAGTAATTTATGTAACTCGCCCGTCAACGTATGAAATAATGCAACTGTTAAGCAACTCCATATTACCGAGTTTTGTAAATAAAAAAAAATTCGTACGACGCTGGAACGATTTCCAATATTACTCGCTCATTCATGAGTTTTTAATCAATTTTCTAGAAATGGAGTATGTAAGACCTGCATGAGTACGCGCTAATTATCTTTCGTGTCAATTGCATTACTCAAGAATGCCAATAAATATTGATTGCAAACTCTTGCATGCATAGTGCAAATAAGTACAAAAGACAAATTTAAAATACACATTTATGAGCAATATGAGTATGTTTCTCCTAATAATCAGTTTAGCAGACATAACATAATTTAACACGAGATTTCTATGTAAAATATTTTTATTAAATTTCAGCTGAACGTTAATACAAATTTGTGACGCCTTTACCTGCCTTGTATTTCTACTGGCATTGACCCAGCAGCTTCCTAATATCATTGCAGGCCGAGGCTTGAGCAAAGACTCCTTTCACAATGTCCAGAATTGGAACTGATGACGGAAAATTTAAGGATGTAAAAATGCGTTGGGACTCGGATGGAGTCGTGGACGAAATTTGTGTCTTATTATTTTCACCAGTAATCAACCCCTCCAACCGGACGGTGGGTGGGACGGGACGCTTACCAGAGCCACTTGGGCGTGGGCTGGTCTGATAATTGAGAAAGGGTACAGAGTGAGGGCCAATGTTGATGCCCAGGGAGCCAAAAAGTCCTGAACTTATTCCCGAAGCGGTCGCAACAACCTGTAGAAAAGACGAATGGATGTGAATTTTGGGAATTAATGCTAACATTTTAGCCGGATTTCACACCTGATTAACGAATCCTCCATTATTAGTTGTTCCAGGCTTGGATCGAGCCGGAATTGGTACCGAAATTTGTGCTGAGGCGTGTGTGGCAGTTTTCTCCTCTTCGCCCAATACGATCAGTTCTGTCGTTGTTTTTATTGGACTTTCCTTCGGTTGTCCAAGAATTCCTTGAATGGAGTTGAGGAGCTACATGCATATTTAGATGTGCTTTATTCCAAACCATGATTTAGCATATCATGACGAAATTTGGAGATATAAATTACCTGGTCAAGAATATTCCGCTGTCTTTCTTGTCGTAGTATTGCGGACTGTGTGTTATTATTTGATAGTACGTTTCCTTTATTCTGCAAATAATTCCAACCAATTTGGTAACCTTCTTGGGCTTGAACGATTTCGAAAATTTAAAAACTCACCATCTCAACAAAGACTGCTAGCACGAGGATACATTTGAAAATTGCGAACTTCATTTTTAATTTGATGTCTATCGATAAGTATAATGGGAACAGTGCTGAAAAGCTTGTGCACACTTGATTTGTGTAACAACAGAAAGCGTGCTACTTCTAATATTATATGGGTCGTGTAGCGTGTTAAATTTGGCACTGGAGATCATATTTCAATATTTATGAGCATATGAGTAATTATGTTAGTTTTAACATCTGTTGATATGATAATGTGACACTAATATAAGAAATTGGTATATGTACAAGTTACACAAGTTAGATTATTTGTACCTTGGGTACATAATCGAAATACAATTTTGAGTATGTCTTTCTCAATTTAGACATTTTACTCGAATTTTCATATTTCGCATATAAATATGTATATAAATATGTACACAATGCGCAGAAGAATTAAGCCAAAACTTAAGGTAAATGGGCAGAAACGCACATAACTCAATAAGTTCTCCGGAATAATGATACTATTATGAAATAGAGAGACGATCATATTAATTAAGCAATAATAAATATGATGATATTTAAATGTATGCATTTGTTATTGCATTAGACCCATTGAACCAACGTATGTACATATGTACATACATACAATGTATGTACATATGTGGCCAATTAACTTGCAACGAGATGAGTGGCATAAGCAAATCTGCAAGGCAAATATTATTAGATAAGAGGTATTATTGTGGCTTGTGATGCTTATATATGTAGATCCTCGTATGCACATAAATATTTCGAATAGTTTGGAGCTTATTACTATTTTTTATTATTTTTGCATGCTTTCAATTGTTGCAATCACTTCATTTATCGTAACTCGAATTCAAATAATACGTAATTAGTAAGCATAAGTAGGGTTTTAATCAGTAATTCTCATTAGGTATATAAATACATTTCGAGGAACGGTGTACCTTAAAAAACTTCTCAAATTCACGAAACTCTAACCATGCTGCATTGTACACTTCTTTGGGCAATGTCATCAGCAAACCCATTTCTTGTTGAGGTGCTGGGCTAAAAATGTGTGTGATACGACATGTGACACATGTATAAATATGTAGGCGTTTTAATTAATTATCACCCCCAAAGCATTGAGTCTTATGTGTATGCACCCTTTATACTCTAAAGTTATAAACCTTTCCTTTGATAATTTATTTTGCATATTAGTGAATGGTGATACTTTTCGTCCTGTTCTTTTCTATAAAGTAAGGTATGCATTTGTATGAACATCTGAAATATACAATGGGGCACAAAGGTCTAATTACACGGAAATGACCAGTGTTACAGTATAATATAATAACAAAGATATAAAGGTTGTCCTAGCTTCCCTCTCAATGAAGAAGTAACGACCCACCGAAATTCTTAGCAAAGTGCAGCTCCTCAACTGGTTCCTTCTATATGTCGACATCTTCTGAAGTTTCCATAAACGGAGGAATGACCTCGATGTCATGCAAATGTTTGAAGCTATTGGGAACAAAAAATGAGCCGAGGCAATAATTATCAGAAAGAAGCATGCAGCAAGGAGCGTCAACGGGAGGGGAACTTTTGTACTCAACTTAACCAACAAATATCCTGCCGCACAGCAAGATAATAACCCACCCACTAACGCTAATGACAAAACATACGATAATACTTGGTTTTCTACCCGTATCAAAATTTGCAATTGACGATATTTTCGAAAATGGTGAACGAACTGAGATGTTCTACAAGATTGGTGCATTATGTCAAGACTTTGGTTCGTCATAAATTTCAAACAGCACAGAATAGGCAGCGTTGCATTTACGAGGTACACAATAAAACTCATAACTAGGTTACAGCTGTGTAAGATGGTAATTGCACCTAAAAGTACTCGTATATTTGCCCGTTGAGGAATACAGCGAAGAGTTCGGAACAGGAAATACGTTGGGTCGATATCGTTCAGGAAGGCGGGCACTGATCCGGCAGAAAGTGATGCTCCTAACGGAATAGGAATCATGATGTGAAGGAAAATTCCGAGAAAGAGTGCAGAGGTTTCTGGAAGTTCTTGTCCTGATAAAGATTAGAACAATTGATGAATAATTTCTATCCACACTGGAATATTTAGTATCCAAAAAATAACCAAATGCATACCTTTTGGTTCTAAGAATTCAGTAAGTGTTTCAATATTTCCAATTAGAAAACAAATTTCATCCACCTTTAGAATGTAGGTAAAAACCGCAGCGAGAGCCAAGACTTGCAAGCAGATGTACAACGCCAGTAACAGAACGTGTGTTGATGAAATATTGGGGTCTTTCTGATAAGCGATGAGCTCACGAATGGAGAAAAATATAAAGAAAAATAACAATATGGTGACAACTGTCGATGTTACGAACCAGAAGGTTAATTTAGCCCTTGGCGTTGGTAGTGGTTTCCAAGTTTGCCTATCCCAAGTGATAAATTGGGCATAGAGACTCTCGTAGACAAAAACGTACCGTTTGAGAGCATTAAATACATCTGGGTGGGGGAGTTGTAATTTCTTTATAAATTTCATTAATTTCTTGCACTTTGGGGATCCAAAATACCATTTTGTTGGTTATGAATACATCTGAAATGCAGCAGCAGAATTGAAATAAATAAAATTTTGGGATGGATATTCCGTCAGAGGTTGTTTATGTACAGCGGAACAAGTAGATATGTATTTTCATAACTTTGAGCCTGTACGTATAATCAATCGGTTATGAAATACAAAATATATCTAGATGACGGAGCAAGGGCTCGAAGTATGCACTACATACGTATCTATGTAGTTGTAGTTGTGTAGTAGATAATTTGCATGTACTATTGATATATTTACTTATTATTAATTCAAGTTGACATCAGGTAAATAAACATGTAGGATTTTAAGGGGTGGAGAGGTTGCAACAAGTATAACATATCAACCATATTTTGTGGTTCGAAACAACTCCTGTATCTTATGGATGTACATATGTAGTATGTACACATATTTGAATTTATTAAACAACTAGCCTCTAAGCCTGTCTTGAAGACAGGCCTTATTTGAATTTCTTTAACGTTGCTAAGAATTTTTTTAACGTTGCTAAGGAATTTTTCTAACGTTGCTAAGAATTTTTTTAACGTTGCTAAGGAATTTTTCTAACGTTGCTAAGGAATTTTTTTAACGTTGCTAAGGAATTTTTTTAACGTTGCTAAGGAATTTTTTTAACGTTGCTAAGGAATTTTTTTAACGTTGCTAAGGAATTTTTTTAACGTTGCTAAGGAATTTTTTTAACGTTGCTAAGGAATTTTTTTTAACGTGCTAAGAAATTTTTTTAACGTGCTAAGGAATTTTTTTAACGTTGCTAAGGAATTTTTTTAACATTGCTAAGGAATTTTTTTAGCGTGCTAAGGAATCTTTTTAACGTTGCTAAGGAATTTTTTTTAACGTTGCTAAGGCATTTTTTAACGTTGCTAAGGAATTTTTTAACGTTGCTAAGGAATTTTTTAAACATTGCTAAGGCATTTTTTTAACATTGCTAAGGAATTTTTTAATGTTGCTAAGGAATTTTTTTAACGTGGCTAAGAAATTTTTTTAACGTTGCTAAGGAATTTTTTTAACGTTGCTAAGGAATTTTTTTAACGTTGCTAAGGAATTTTTTTAACGTTGCTAAGGAATTTTTTTAACGTTGCTAAGGAATTTTTTTTAACGTGCTAAGGATTTTTTGTAACGTTGCTAAGAAATTTTGTTTAACGTTGCTAAGGAATTTTTTTAACATTGCTAGGGAATTCTTTTATTGTTGCTAGGGAAATTGTATAACGATGCTAAGGAAATTTGTTAATGTTGCTGAAGATATTTTTCCCCGAAATCATGACCGAAATCATAACCATAATCATAACCGAAATCATAACCGAAATCATAACCGAAATCATAACCGTAATCATAACCGAAATCATAACCGAAATCATAACCGAAATCATAACCGAAACCATAACCGAAATCATAACCGAAATCATAACCGTAATCATAACCGAAATCATAATGAAATCATAACCGAAATCATACCCGAAATCATAACCGAAATCATAACCGTAATCATAACCGAAATCATAACCGTAATAATGACGCTATCAAACAATCGTAACCGAAATCATAACCGTAATCATAACCGAAATCATAACCGTAATAATGACGCTATCAAACAATCGTAACCGTGTTGTAATTGGTGGAGCCGGAATGCTGATAGCCAATCAGAATGCTGGAATGTCACGGAAAATTTCACGGGACGGACTTTTTGAAATTATAATATAGATTATTGACAAGCTTTGCTATTCAGAATACATAATAATAACTGAAAAGCATACAGTTCACAGATATGGCCCGAGCCAGGTATTTTCTTCCTGCCATTCTTATTTGGATAAAATCAGTAAAGTTCAACCTGCATATATATTTTATTACAAAATTTACAAAAATTTTATAAAGTGGCATCTTCTATACATAGAGATTCCGTACTATATAGTGGCGATGGGGAACTTTGACCTAAAAATGGTCAAAAAATGATTATTGAAATCTTAAATTTTGGTATAACATGTCAAATATATTTGACCACGTGTCCTCAAAATTTCATAAGCTTTCCTTGAAAAACAAATTTCGTACGCAACTTCAAAGCGAGGAAGTCGGGAAACGAGTTTTTTGTAAGTACCAAAATCTGAGCGACAAAGACTCGAAGAAGGCTTGACTAAATTTCAACAAACGGAGGTGTGGCCGTGCAAAAATTAGGACATACATAAAAAAGTATGGCGAATCCGAAAATATCAACTTCAAATACGCACCACAAGAAAAAACCATCATACTGACCCCTTGAAAATGAAAAACGATTAAATTTATTTTTGGAAAGCACCGCTCCACGTTTGTGCCTAATGCGGCCATGAAGTCGAAGATTAATCCAGACTATGCGCATCATATGAGGGCTCATAAGTTGTGGGTCAAAGCGTATTCAAAGAAATCTGCAGCAAAGCATTCGGGAGGTCAAGAAAAAATGGTGAACGCAAGCCCTCCCAAGCTTTACAACAAAATTTTACCAAAATAGTTGGTCATTGGCGACGAGTCTTACGTCTTCAAAAACGTGACAGAAACTCCGGAAAGGAATTTTTTGTGTGGGAAATATATCTCTCAACTGAAAACCGAAAAGAAATTAAAATGTTGTTCGAAATTTCTCAAGAAATTTCATGTTTGGCAGGTGTTGGGTAGATTTGGGCATGTTTCGGACCCCTCAGTTCAAAATGGCTGTGTGGAGGCACAAGTTTGTTTTCGGAAATGTGAGATAGACCGTCTGATTCCTTTCATCAAGGAGTATCAGAAAATATAAAACGTAATTTTTCGGACCGACCTTGGACCAATCCATAATTCAATGACTATCAAGGAAGAAATTGAAAAAAAATTCAGTTTGACGCTGAAAAATGAAAACCTCACATTCAACCCTTATCTTCACGCAATAAAAAAATTTGGGCGATATGTAAGAAGACATACTCCCAGCTTTGTGAAACAGTCGAAACTTTAAGAAAATTTCAATTCAGGTAGGAGATAAGTACCCTTTAAGTTGCAAAGTCTTCCGAAAAAGCAGTAATGGCGGGCTCGACGAAAAAGACTAAATACGAGATGGACAATGGACTTCAGTCTTCTTTGTTCCCGAATATCTGTGGCTGGATATATTTAGGATATTATCCCAAAATTTGAGATTTCTAGAATCATTTTTTGACCATTTTTAGGTCAAAGTTCTCCATCGCCACTATATAGTACGGGATCTCTACGTCTCAATTTATCTAAAGCTTTAACTTTTCAAGGTTATTCATAAAACAAATATGTGACTGTCTCCATGAAAAGGGACCTTATTCACCAAATATCTACTTTAGCGACTTTAATTTGTTAGGAAAGTTCTTGCCTTAGGCTTTAATTTGCCATTTATTTCAGCTCAATCTGTCAACTGCAAGTAAAGTTATTTAAATTCAAAGTGCTGCATCGAGAATATGGCAAAACGACCTTTTGGCGAAAATTTTCATACTGATCAAATTTAGAATAATATTTTAAAATTTAATATTGTAGCTCATATGGCGCTAATATTAGATTTGTCTAGGCCAATACAAGCCTGAATGACATTAAGTTTTTAATTTGAGGTTTATCGCCCGAGGTTAAGTGTCTAGGTCACGTTAAGGTCCTGAAAAAAGTCAAGGCGCAAATTTTTTATTTTTATTAGGTAAGTCAACCCTGTACAACCTGAAGTTTTAAATTTGAAGTGGAATGATTAACATTAATGTTTATTTTGCCAATTCAGCTTTTTGACGAAATGGGTTTCGCTGAAAGAGCCCTGTTTTGGTATTTTGCCGCTTGTAGAAAATGAGAAAAGTATGAACAAGGTCCCTTTTCATGGAGACAGCCACATATGGATTTGGGAAACATGTCTTGTGACTTAGATTAATTTGAATAAGTCTGAAATGTACTTTCACCTTCATGTAAAATTTCGTGTTTCTACAAAAAATGAAATTTGATACGTTATCCCATATAACCATGCAAACTTTCCTAGTTTTGATTCTAATAAATGTATGAAAAATTTCAACTCGATCAGATAAGCCATGGTGGCACAGACGGACAGACAAACAAACTGAAACATGCAAATTACATATACATAAACGAAAATTTGCTTCAATACGCATGGTTGATGGTAATAAATTTTTCGAGTTTGAAATGTTTGCTTGTTTTGCAAGAAATAAATATGTATCACGCAAACATAGTATTAGCTTCACTACTTCTGACGTATTAAATTCTATTCCAATCGTTATCCTTGCCTCCGCAATAATTTTTATCCTTATTATCCTTTTTATCCTTATCCGATATGTTTTTGGGGCGTGAGCTGTCTGCTCATTGGGGGGATATCTCAGTTTGACCTCAGGAACTTATTGATGGCGTTGGGGGGTGGCTCCGTCTTATTATTTCTCTTTACTTGGAATTGTATTTTGTTTTATGATTATGATCACCTACTGATTTATCTTTACTTGTTTTTTATATTAGAATAGTTAAATATATGGTATATTGACCAGTGTGTCACCAATGGTAGACCATTGTTGTTGTACTTGTACGATGTATGCAATGAATTGGGAAAGACACAGTAATAAAGATATACATACATACATACATTATGCCGAGTTCGAAGTAGGCGTAAATGCACTCGTGCGAAATGATACGCGAAAACTACTTGAATTGGGCTTACAAACTCAAAACGGAGCTTTATTTTACATAGGGCGATTACTTTAAGGTTGACTTTATATCGACATGAGACCTTAGTTGTTTAAAAAATATCGAGAAATATTTAAAAGCTGGCTATTAGTTTGAAGGTAAGTTTCCTCCTCCTCGGCTCGATTGGGTCTGAATTTCTTTCTTCTTTTCCCTGACTAAAAACTCCTCTTTTCTTGATGCCACATCATTCTTACATTTACATTCATTGGCTAAAATAGTGGCCCGAGTTTACATACAACTTTGTCTTGACTTTTTGTTACACAAGCATTTTCCATCATACATACATACATACAAGAATTTCATATTCATAAAACTGTTTCATAACGTGTCATTGCCCATGCCCAATATCTCAAATCATTAATTTACATACAGTTAAACCTTAAATTATCAGATAAAAATTATATCCTTATTCAAATCATTAAAATTATTCACGGCGACAACACGATATTTAATTCTAGTTACTGTGATAAATTCTGATTTTTATGACTATTTACTCCAGTACAACTTTCCAAAACCTTATTTAAGTAATAGTATTCAAATGTAAATATACCAATCAAAATTGATAAATACTTGATATTAAATTTTACTAAAAAGTTTGGTTAGGACATAAATTCGTATGACGTTCTTCAGAAATTGTATGGCGAAAATAGTGTATGTAGGCCAATATGCTATAATTAATGCATTGAGAAAAAAATGAATGTGCATAAACCATTTTTTCATTTCTAAGGAATCTACCCCTGACTTAACTTGATTTTATTATTTTCACATGATTTAAATACTTGTTTGCAATGTTCGACCGTTCCAGGCATATAAATATCTTTGAACTTGGCATCCCAGATAACAATTCGAGATTTCGCTGTGGATTCCCTATCGAATTCGCAGCGAAATGTCCGCCGATTCGCTAGCGAATTCGTGGAGAGGAGTCGCTGCGACTTCTCTGCGAATTCATGTAGTCGCTACGAGTTCGCTTCGAATTCGCCAGCGAATCGGCGGACATTTCGGTGCGAATTCGATAGGGAATCTACAGCGAAATCTCGAATTGTTATCTGGGATGCTAGTATTTTATATGCATCTGTATTTATGCACATATGAATGGACATACATAAATAAATGAGTATGTATAGTATGAGGAACGTACATACAGAAAAGAGTTCATTTAGTAGAAATGGAACTTGGATGATTGCATGAGAAAATACATAGCAATACAGTACTCTTATCAATATCGTCACTCATCAACAATTTATTCTCATTTAATTTTACCGATAGTCCAGCATTAATTAGAACCATCACTGCGGTTAACTCAATGGTAGCTTCAAATGCATACATGAATTTGAAAACATGCAGAGAAAGTGCCGGATTTCATTGTGCGTCTTCTCAAGTTTGTCAGAGCTCCACCTTCTTCTTTGCATACTTGTACTGCAAATTGGTAATTCTTGTCTTTAGATTTCTTATCTCCCCAATGATCATGGTCGTCAATTCGTTAAATGGGGCTCTCTTCTCGTGTTCCTATTTTAATACGTATGCGTAAAAGTAAAAATTGGCCTTTTAGGCCCCTTTTGTAGTAAAAATGTGAGAATACATAAGTAATTTCAGAGCAACTTACGTATGACTTCATTTTTTCAATGAGCATAAAAATATTGTCCAAAATTCTGCCCTTGAGCACCCAAAATATTTTGTAGTAAACCATATTCTTCTTTTTTTCTTCATCAATGACCTCCTTCCACTTGACTAACTTTTGCATAACTGGTTCAATCTTTTCAATATCCTCATCCGACCCAGTTAGCAGAAATTCGAAAAATTCTGATCCTGATTCGAATCCCAATTCGACCGAGGTCTAAATGCAGATAAATGTATATGAAACTTCCCTAAAGTACACACTAATTTTTACATACTAACTTTTTCTACTATCCGTCCCAGTTCGTCGTACATCTCTGCTAAATGGTACAATTTCCGCATTGCTTCCTCCATTGTTGTGAAATTGCTGTTTGCCAATTTCTCAATTTCTTCTTTCTCGTCGTCCATTGGAATAAGGACGAGGTTCTCGATTATCATGACACGAAGAATAATGTCATCCGTGGTTTTCTTATTCTCCTTCACGATATTTTCACTGCCTCGACAGAGTTGGGAGATGGATCTGTACTTCTCAGCAATGGAAGTCAATGCCTGAATATGCAAATTAAGCAGTGATAATCAACGACTGAAGACGCACTTGGTATTTTGTGCAAATTCAAATCATTCAGTAGTTACATGGACTCACTTCAAAGGTTAGTTTGACTAGTTGAGTGCTAATTATGTGATCTAATTCTCGTATTGACGAATCGATAAACTGGGTTGGGCCACCTGAGATCTGATCCATTTTTTCATACTGACTCGTCTGCACCATCAAACTTGAGATTCTTTCCTGAACAGGTTTCAATCCATTCTTTACGATTTCAATGGTTGGATCCTCCGAGAGATGGGAACGGATCTGAAGGTTAAATACATATGTAATTATGCGCCTAATGAAATTATCTATTACCCAATTTTCCAGGTTTTAGAACAATGTTTTTTACCTGCAATTCTTGCTCAATTATGAGATTCGCAACGTCCAAATGAAGACGAATTATGTCGCTTGGCTTATATAATGGTTCTGGAGTAAAATAGTACTTTACGAACAAACCAAATCCGAGAATGAATAGAAACCCAAAAAATAATTGGGTTTTCGTCAGCTTTTTCAAGTAGCTGAATTTGGTACTCGATTCTGACGCTACTGTTTTTCTGGATGGTTTTTTAACTTTTTGCTTTACTCCCATTTCAATTAATTGAATGTTTTGCAATTAATAATGTACAATAAAATTTGTTCTCGCGAAACGATTGCTTTAATCCAGCCGGTAAATAACCGGTGTTGATTCAACGTGTTGGTGGAAGGCGAATTGGAATCGCCGGAGGCATTGCTGATCTTTTGTTGGATATAAAGACAATGCAACCTTTGCATGTTAAAAGTTAGCTCCTCAGTGTTACGTGGGATCGGTTAATCTCGTAGTTAGAGTTATGTAATATGTATAATTGTGTATGTATCATTTGTAAGATTTTGCATGCTCGAGAGCATTGGTTGTTTGTGGTGTATACATGTAACTGCATATTTGCTTATGCTGTTTTGTAAGATGTTTAAATAATATCAGCAGCTTCGTATTATTTATCATGGACGAAATGCTAAAGTGTATAAATAAGTGAACAAAGCCATGCACCTGTTCTCTTTTTGCTTGCCATTTTATGATGTTAAAGTCCACATTACACATGTATTTAGCTGGACGACAATAATCAATTTATTAATCATATCTAATTACACTCTAACGAGTATGACATACGACAATGAGATCACTAATTTGTTAAAACCTTGATAAAATTCTCAGAAAAATTGGATAAGAAAGATTGGAGAAAATTCGACGCAAGTTTATTTGATATATCTACAGTTTGACCTTTTGAGCTACATGTGTCGCATACGAAGTAGCCAGTATAAGCCCAAACAAATGTAGCATGCTAATCAAGTGTCAAGTGACAAGATTATTTCGGCTCATTTGTACTTATCATAATTGATACAGGATTCATTAACTCAATTTCGCAATTAAAAGCATGTTGTTGGTAAGATTAAAGTGTACGTACATCGGATGATTGCTACAGACGATTGATTACACGAACGACCGTGTAATCAGGTATTCCTTGTAAATAATAAGCACTTCAAAAATTAGCATAAAAATGGACATCTTCTCGGACTTTCATCACACTTAACTTTCAACCTTCAGAGAATATCAGTCATCATTATGGGTTGCTTAATTCAGATCGGACTCTTGCTCACCTTATCGGTTTTAGCCTGCCAGGCCAACCCCCATCCATTTCTCATACCCCCACGACTCCGTAGGTGTCAACTATCAATATAGGCTAAATCTCTATACATATTTTTTCATATTTCATTAATAATTTTCAGAAACATACAACGTTGATCCAAACTCTCTCACCGTTTCTGGAATTTCGTCCGGCGGTGCATTTGCAACGCAGTACCACTTCATCTACTCCAGCGAGGTCAAGGGGGCCGGAATCTTTGCGGGGGGCCCGTATTTGTGTGGTTACGGCGGTCCTATAGATGCTGCGGCGTGCATGTTGACACCTTCCCTCATCAGCGTCCCCTGGCTCATCTCGGAAGCCAACATTCTAGCTGCAGCCAATCAAATCCAACCCGTTCGTCACCTTGCAGACTCAAAAGTCTACATTTTCCACGGGTTTCTCGATACTGTTGTTGATCCCTTGGGTGGACGTAAAATTGAGACAATGTACAAGCATTATGGAGCCAACATCGCGCATGAATTCGACATTGGAGCAGGTCATGGGCAGCCCGTCGATGGTAATGGATTTGGCGGGCCGTGTGGACAGCTGAATATTTTGCACGGTTTTGTCAATGAATGTGGCTACAATGGCGCCTATGAAATGTTTCGGCACATGTATGGCGAAGATATTGTCCGACCTGAACCCGGGTTTGTGGCCGACGGAGAACTTTTGGACTTCAATCAGGGCGAATTTTTTGCCATTGATCCAATCGTAGCTTCCATGGCGTACAAGGGACTAATCTACGTTCCTAAGGCATGCAAAGACTGGAGCAAAAGATGTCGATTTCACGTAGCCTTTCACGGCTGCATGGCGAACGAGTAAGGGCAAGCAAAATTTTGTACATTAATTTCTAGTTGGGATTAGTCTTGATTCTTTGTCAGGCTTCCTGATTTCTGTCATTTATTACAAGCGTATTTTTATGCTAACAGACACATTGTTGGAGAAGGATTTGCCACAAAGACGCAATACAACGATGTAGCAGAAGTCAACGATATTATTGTCATGTATCCACAAACCACGTCCACCCTGATCAGTCCAGTTGGATGCTGGGTATGTCCATGACGATGAAGGATATTTCAGAAAATATGAAATTATGTTTTTATTTTTCCTTTCCAGGATTGGTTTGGCTACACTGGATTGGCTTCCTTTGGTGAGACTTTTATAAGTTACATATACTAAATAAATATGTAACGTACAAAATTACAATTACGGATAATTGAACTTGTTTGTAGCAACGAAATGGGGAAATCAACCAGCAGCAGTTCACAAGATGACGAAGAGGGTTATGGGGATAAATTAATTAATCTATTTAACTATCAAACTAGAGTCGAATAAATAATCTCTTCTTGAAAGCATATATGTACATATCAGTGACCGTGAGATGGATACTTTTTTTAAGAACAATGCATGGATTCTGAGGACATGGTATGGTATTTATTGTAAACATGACACCGGCTTTCGGAATGCTTATTACGAAAGATAATTTAGTTTTCCATATTTTAGTCTAATTTCCTACGTAAATATTTGCAATGGTTGTAGTGCTTAGGCGCCGTCCATAAATTACGTAACGCTTGCTAGCATGGGCAAGATAGGATTTTTTCCCTATCCTGCTCATGTCAGCCAGCGTTACGTAATTTATGGACGGCGCCTTAGCATCTTGCATTATGATGCACTTTTGATGTATGAAGCGGATGTGATCTTAATATCCATCCTCCTGGAGATTGATATCAACCAGTATTCTTGCACGAAAATCGATCTCCATTGCAGTAAACAAACTCTAGTTAGAGCTACTATCAATTAAGGACAATTTTCATGAATTGACAAATGATACTCATTAGTTTAATTTAGTTACAGGTTTGATAGATTGGTTTATTCAAAGACTGGTGTGGCCCTTACAATCATGCGATTTGATTTTATACAAAGATTCGTACAAAAATTCAGATGATATTCATTAATTAAATACACAACGCTACATTTATGTGGGAATGTAGTTGCATACTTCAAATGATAAACAACTTTTCCAGGGGGATTCCATGATTTATTCCAGAACAGTGCACATTGTGTGATTCAAAGTTCATACCGTACGCATTTCAAATTTTATTCCTACATATGTACGTGGACCGAACCTGCCTGTAATTCGTTCCTCCAAAAAGTATTTAAAAAAAGTGGAGCTAATTAAAGATATGACGTCGCACACAGGTATGTAAAGCGATCATCAATGATGAATTGAGTTGTTTGTCGATGTTGATTTTTATGAGTTTAATTTGGGCATATACATAGACACGTATATTGACGTCATTAGTGCATACACACCCATGACAATGAACTTAATATATTTAATCGATGTTGATTTTTATGAGTTTAATTTGGGCATATACATAGACACGTATATTGACGTCATTAGTGCATACACACCCATGACAATGAACTTAATATATTTAATCGATGTTGATTTTTATGAGTTTAATTTGGGCATATACATAGACACGTATATTGACGTCATTAGTGCATACACACCCATGACAATGAACTTAATATATTTAATTAATATTTAAGTAAGTACATATATCACCATACACCAACACCGTAAGAATTTGCTCATCAAAAACAACGACATCGAAATCGAAAACAACATTGTCAACAACAACTATCATGCTTATCATCTTCCCCCGTGAATTGATTAAACAAAACAAGATTGGTCATCTTGAATTAATTATTATGCCGAAAGATTCATATTGGGCGTACTCACGACAACTTCTTATTTCGCATCGCAACTCATTTAGCAAACTTGCGAAGATCAAAATATTTCTGTCGTGAGGGGATTCGCAAAAATATGACTTCGCAAATCTCTCTAATCTCGCAAATCTACTGAAAAACACCCATTTTGGTATTGTTTCCATGGATTTCTTTAATTTCTCCTGCTGGAGATGGTGAGATGAGTTTGCGAAATAATTTTGCGAAATAAGAACATGCCCAATTGCTGGATAAATTTGCGAATAAAATCCTATGGTTATCTAGCAAAATTTTTGCGAAATCTCGCATATCTCGTAAAACTTCGCAAGTTATGTTGCTATGCTCAATTTGCGAGATATGCGAGATATGCGAAGGTTGACGTGAGTACGCTCATTATTCATTTATTTAATTTAAGTACGATGAGGGTATTCACCATTGTCTTTGTGTCCTTAATATCGTAAAATAGCTCACAAAGAAAAAGTTAGGGGTTAAAGCTTCGTAAAATCGTAAACTTAGTAATGTGATTTTTTATTACAGAATCTTACGAATCTTACAAAATGTCGTAGCCGTCGTAACCTATCGAATAAAAAAGAATACCACGGAATAATGAATACCCTCAATATATGTATACGGGTAATTATTACCATGATTCACTGATTTGACACATGTTTAATTAAATTTAATCTCGAGTACCACAAAAATAATTGTCACTTGGTTGTATAAAATGGATAAATTTGATTCATGCCGCTTTGACTTTGGTCAGTCGTTGGTACAAATAATTCTAGTACTTTTTAGCTACTTGAGTGAATAATGCATTTTCGAGCAGCTAAACTACTGTCATTTGTCTGCGCCATTTTAGTCGGCAATTCCCATGGAGGCGTTTTAGTGGAAAATTCAAGTCGCGCAATAACGGCCACGGAAATATTTCGAACCGACTTTGGTCAGCCGACACTCTCAGCTGCCTTCGGTGGGGCACGTATCAAGTACGGAGGGAACAATGCAATTCTGTGGGCGTCTGGAGGAGGAATTGATGTCGTCTACCCGGCAGGAAGCTATTCTCCGGAAGGACCAATAGTTGGCGGCTTTGGAGTTTGGACTAATCATCACATCGCAAATACTGCTATACTCCAGTTCGGCGTTTTCTTTCCGGCCGATTTCAATTTTGTCCATGGTGGTAAACTTCCCGGATTGTATGGTGGAAAACAGTCATGTGCTGGTGGAGATCCGGCGGTGGATTGCTGGTCGGTTCGGGTTAGTATTACATATGTAAAATTTAGTAACTAAATACATATTCAGCTGAGCTTGATTTTCAAAACTATGCACGTTTAGGTCATGTGGCGTGAAAATGGGGATGGTGAGCTGTACCTATATGCAAACAGAGAGGCACAAGATCCTGAAATTTGTAACACGCCCGGAAATTATTGCAATCCTGATTTTGGCTGGTCACTTAGCACTGGAGCCTTCCGATTTCGTCGAGGAGAATGGAGTAATGTTGAAGTCAGGGTGACAATGAATTCTATCGGACAGAGAAATGGGATTTGTGTGATTAAGGTCAACGGGGCTGAGGTTATTCGGTACAATAACTTTGTCTACAGAATTCCGCAGTATCCTCAGCTGGCAGTGGATGGAATTGCGGTGGATACTTTTTTCGGTGGGGGTAGCGACTACTGGGCGACGCCGACTCGTCAAGTTACAAAGTTTAGAGAGTTCATTCTCTCATATGAATAAGTTGTTAACAAATCATAATGGTTTCATGTTTTCCATAATATTGCAGCAACAATAAATGCATACAAAATTAATCCACATAACGAGTAAATAATTACGTGCATACATATGTTTATTCAAGAATTGCTATCATATTTTTCATGCTATGAAAGAAATACAACTAAACTGTGTAAAATAAAAATATCTAATCATATCTGGGTTTTTGTCAAATTATTAATCTCAGGCTGCAAGTCAAAATATTTATGGGAACAAAAAAAACTTGCGAATGCATACTTTCTTTATCAATGATTAATTCTTATAAGATGAATGAAATGCTTTAAATGCCTTAGTTCCTTCAGTAAATAAACTTAAGCATATTTATTCAAGTGGAAAATAAGAAAGGGTTCAACTTGAAATATGTATGCATTAAAAAAAGCAAGGGAGACTCCTTTAATCGACATTAACACATTTAACCAATGCCCATTAAAATATACTGTACTGTTACTCAAGCATAGCGTTTACCTTAAATAAAAGCCACGACAAAGGTATAATTATAGTTCAAAAATATGCTCGTCCCTTAAAAACGCAAGCTTTCCTATCTCACATCCTTTAACATGATTCGGCGTAAAACCTAAAAAGTACCTTTTAACTGCTTTTCAGAACCATTGTCAAAATACTTATGCATGCTTTTTTGGTTGGCCATTTACCCAAATCAACACTTAGCATATTGAACATGCTGCATTACTGCTGGATATAATATTAAAAATGTTAGTTTCACAGGTAAAAAATACTACGATCCCTTAAGTATTGAAATATTTGTCTTCTCAACATCCGAACTAAAAATAAATCCAACATACATACGCCTTGAGTATGCACATACATAGTTACAAAGATGGCCACATTCTGAACTGTCCGCTCGTCAAAATCTGAAATTATCTCATTTCATTTGGCCAGATCATTTTTTAAAAGCATTTTATAGTTAAATAGAAGTTCAATAAACTCAATATGCGTCCAGTTACACTTATAATCCTCATATTTTCAAATTTATTAGGTAAGTATTACGTTACTGCAATTTCTTTAAATGAGATCTGCGTGTCCATAGAATATGCAAATCAACAATTTATATACCTTTTCAGCAATTTCCACGGCATCCACGTGGCCAATACTCCCACATAACTTTACGACTCCATCAAAGCAGTGGAATGCTGGCGATGGGAACAAAATCGTTGGAGGACAGGAGACCGATATCGAAAAATATCCATATCAAGTTGCAATCTTAAACGATGGACGACTTTTTTGCGGTGGATCTCTGTTATCAGAGGATCGTGTACTTACTGCTGCGTAATCCCCTATATAATAATATTAAGATTTAATTATTTTACTAAAATACTTACTTATGCGTATATACATATCCAGGCATTGCACTGATGGTAGAACTGCCTCTGACATGTCAGTTAGAGCTGGATCTTCGTTCCACGATAAGGATGGCACCATTGTAAACGTAATTGGTATTAGACAACATCCCAACTACACTGAATCAACGGTGGATAATGACATCTCAATTTTGGTGGTAATGCGCATTTCCTATTTAGTTTGTTATCTATTTCTTTGTATTTAAGAATAACTAATCTTTTCAGTTAGAAAGTGGAGTTCTGCATCCCGGTCCTACAATCGACTTTGTAACATATCCAACTTTAGGATTGGGAAATGACCCCACAACTGGGGCAGACTGTATTATTACGGGATGGGGTTTGTCCGACTTTTTTGCCAAATTGTATATACAGATATGTATAAAGTTGGCACAATCCATAATATCGTATCTTCTATGTAGGGACAACTACGGAGGGTGGAAGTATTTCAGAGAAATTGCAAGTTGCTAAAGTTCCAATTGTTAGTCGGAGCGATTGCGAGGCTGCCTATGGTAGTTCAGAGATTACGAAAAATATGATTTGTGCTGGAATACCAAAAGTTGGTGGCATTGATACCTGTCAGGTTAGCGCATTTTTGAAGTGATGGTAAAGTTGACAATAGTAAAGTTTTTATTATTTCGATTCCATAGGGAGATTCCGGGGGCGGTATGTTACTAAAGGAAAGTCTGGTCAAAAATCACCAGATTGGCATTGTCAGTTGGGGCTATGGCTGTGCAAGACCAGGTAAAAAATCAGAGCAGATCTATAAATATTTTATGTAGTCCATGGGAAAATATCGTTATATTTTATTCTCATCTTTAGAATATCCAGGGGTGTACACAAAAGTTGCCAACTACAAAGATTTCATCGAAGAAAATATAAAGTAAAAGGTGTCAAGAATTATATTTACTTAGGACTTAATTAATTTTTTTATAACATTTTAATAATAATTTATGTTTCCATTTCTTCTACATTTTATTTGCGAAATAACGATGCAAAGGTCAACCTTGAAAAAATTGGCCGAAAAATTTTGCATGAATAAACCTACCACAACAAATAAGCTGTCATTCGCATGCTCGATAATTTATTTGTGCATATTTAATCCGCGTCCTGTCCAGTTCGCATGATCGAGTATGCGATTGATGACTGTGCACTTTAAATCGTATTTCTCTCATGCATTCAACTAGGATTTCTGGAATATGTAGATTTCTCATGTCACATGCAGAGAATAAAGATACATAATTACACCCCTCTTGATCAAGTAAAAAATCACTGCAGTGGTGGTAATAAAGTGACAATGGCAGTAATTTCGTCCTTCCGTCCCTTCCCATTTTACCATTGTCATCATTAATCATCCTGCATTTTGTCGGGGGTCAGATATTTACGTCCACAACTCAACGTATTACGTAGCATGATTCGAAATCTGCAATTTCATTTAAATGAGGGGCTCAATTATGGCGTCTACAGCATTCTGTCATTATTACGCTAAGTGTGTTATACAATCCTCGTCGAATTCAAAGCGTAACTGAATCACATGCATAATAATGCATAAGTATTTTTAGTTGAGGAGCAATCTCAGTCAGTGGTAATAACAATCACACTGACAGAACTGCCTCTCACTTTTTCCACCAACAAAATCGAATCTATTCATCCACAAATAAAAAGCTTGCTTTATTCTACAACGACCGCATCAGCATCAGCACTCTCTAATCTTGCATATACATAGATACACGCAGTCCTATGCAGATGATAACTTTGGTTTGCGTTGCGTGATTTCGTTCTTCAGTGGTGCTGCCAATTGGTGAGGTCCAACTCATGGCAATGAGACTTTAAAAGTATACGAAGGAAGAGAGAGTTAGCGAGTTGGTGTCATTATTTTATTACTTTACTCATTTTTTGCATGGCTATGTAATAGCACTGATCGTAATCTTAAACTGGTCGAAGTGGAGTACGCACAACTCCTCCCACACTTGGAATGAACAGGAAACAGTGCAAAAATATTGTTTAGTTGCCTGTGATATATTTTTATTTGTGGGTGGGGTGGTGGTGATAAGTACAAAGTGTAATTAATATTAAGGGCCCTACAGATCTACTTATTTGTGTAGGAGGAGTGCCTTTTTTCTCTACACTTTATTTTTTAAACCAGGTTTTCAACAATTAATAATATCTCGCATATCTTATTCTCCGTCAACTTTAATCATGTTCATGGACAAGAATCCGTGCTGCTGCATCCCTCTGAGGAAGGGGGTCTTGTTGATTGCAATTATTGATATTGTACGTAAATGACGATTTACTTAGCATAGCATGAAATCCACGTGGTTTATGTAACTATCAGTAATTGTCTACATTTGACATCAGGTTATCGGAGCGTTGGGAGCGGGTTTAGGGATATTTGCAATCTTCGCCATAGCATTTGCTGCTCCACCCACGGCACGTCCAACAACGGAAATAACAGCACCAACCAAGTCTAATTCATCGACCAGTGGCGAGGAGAAGCCGTCCAGTGAGTGAATTACATACCATTTTATATTATTTTATTTAACGTCTACATAATTAAGTGCAAAAATACTTATGGAACGATAGTGACGTATATTGGATTACTTCTTGCACTCTTTATTGTCTACTGCATCTTCCAAATTGCGTTTGGAGGGTTGCTCATCTGGGGACTTACGAAGGTATGGATCGCAGGTTCTTGTGCTACAATTAATTGTTTCAGTTGAACATTTGTGCTCATTTTGTCATCCAGGAAAGGGTGTTCCTTCTCAAGGCCTGGTTAGGCTTTCGAGCATCCGGTGCACTTTTCACGCTTGGAACATTGGTCGCATTTGTCGTTCTTGGATCTGAAGCTACCATCCAGCCCGGACTAGTGGATGGAGTGAGCCTCATCTTTTCGGTGTACTGTCTCCTCGCCGTGTACATTTTTGCGACACAACTCCAACCCCCATCAATCAAAAATTTGAAACCGTTCAACGGTCACCCTCCGCAAGTTTGATAATAGGGAGATACATAATAATAGCTCAAATAACAAGAGAATCATGAAGCATTATCTCGTTACGTATGAATTGCGGAGTAAAATAATATTTACTTGGTGGTTTCTAAATACTTTCTTAATCGTGATATACACGTGAAGCCAAAGTAAAGTCAGTCTCTTAATCCTTCTAGCGTCTTATGTTTACCAAGTCCACACCAGTATTATTGTGACACCTCGCTACCAACCGACCTCAACACTATCACAAAAAGTACCAAGAAAGACTTAGCTAAAGTTGAAGTTTAAATAGTTCGTTGAAATGAATCCCTTCTCTTTTTTTGCAAAATATGCTATTTGTACGAGTTGTCCTTCTAGTATTCTCTATTCTGCAAATTCTGTAGATGTATTTTCGTTGGCTACCTACATATTTTTCAGAAATACGATCTATCGTTACAGTTGTGAAGCACACAGCCAGATGCCAACGCATTTCTAGCCGGCAAGATCACACTTAACTTTCGATGACGTCCAGAAATTTTATACACAAAAGAAACTTGTGAAAATTCATTTTTTGTTACATGCTAAAACAAATATTTTCGGAATGAGAAGTCGATGATTTTTCAGCGATCACATATTTACATGGTGGTCGCGAAAAAATTCGTGGGATGCTTTATGTGGCGTAGGGTTATTTTCTTAGTTATAATTTACGATATTGATGTTATTGGGTATTAAAATTAGGCAAGGATAAATAATAAATAAGTTGTTTTTATTCGAAATTTTTATTTTTATTTTTCTTGCTAGACAGCTACAGGCATTTATCTACCTATATACGTAACAGAACGTTCAATTTATATTTATTACATGTATACAAGTACATATGCACATGCATACATGCGTTTCCATCTCAATTAGACGTCAGAAATTACATGCAATTATACATATAATACATGTGTAGCGCACATTTCGTGTCGGAATGGTTTAATCGATAACCAATATGTTTAATTTGCTCTTTCTGGTGCTCTCATGATTGTCAGCTTTGGTTATATATGGTAAATTATTCTATCAATTTTGATAATTGAAAAATTAGTGAAGGTCAGAAAAATTAAATCGCCATTTAATGCAACTTGATCAGTCGTCAGCTTTCCTTGTTGAGCATAAAATCATAAATAATAGCATAAAACAGGAAACTGGAAAATGTTTTTATTCTTTCTCTTAATATTTGCTCCACCACTGATATTTGCTGATCAACCTTCGCACCACCCCGTTCTGGATATTCTGAACGGACCCCACTATTCCAAAGACATTCGCCCCCTACCAATAACGCCCAACAACCCCACAGAATCAAACTCTACCGGAAACGCCACAGTGATTAAGGTCAACATTTCAGTTAAAAAAATAGATCGAATCGACGAACTGAAAATGGAGTTTGCTGCGCAACTCGTATTTCGTCAGATGTGGCAAGATCAGCGTCTAATGTATAACGGTACACAGTCAGATTATTTCACATTAATTGACGACGTAGCTGAGAAAATATGTAAGCATTTTACAATGAAAAAATGTTACCCGATAACAAACATTATAATATTTTTCGTTTTATAGGGTCACCAGATCTCTTCTTCACCAATGAAGGAGCCTCCTCTATTCACAATACGTTTAAATTGAACACTTTCAAAAGAGTCTACCCTAACGGCCAAGTGATATGGAGCTCCCGGATCACGGTCACATTCGGCTGCCAAATGGATCTCACCTATTTCCCATTCGATTCCCAAATTTGTTCCATGGAAATATCTGAATATTCTGAAACCATTGGACACATCCTGCTCGTATGGGACGGTGACGACCCTGTCGAATTGGTCGAGTCGAGAAATAGCCGCCTGTCCCAATTTACCTTGACAGATATTAAAACATCTGGCCGATCGTCTGGGCGATTGGGGGTGTGGAGAATGGGGGATTTTAGCAAAATCTCGGCCGACTTTTATCTTCGCCGACACTCCACGGTCTACATGTTGCTGATTTACCTTCCTTCCACGCTGATTGTAACGCTGACCTGGATTAGTTTCTGGCTTGGTCCATCGATAAGTGCGAGGTTATCGCTAACCCTGACTCTTCTTTTAACGATGACTGCACAAATTCAAGGTGCGAATCAAAATCTGCCAAAAGTTTCGTACGTTAAAGCTGTTGACGTTTGGACCGGATTTTGTACGACTATTGCAGTTTTGGCAATTATGGAAACTGCCACGGTGGCATTTTTACTTCAAAGGAATAAGATATTTTTTACTCCTGTGGGTGATGAGGAGGATAATTTGAAGGATGATAAGCAGGAAAGAATTTCGAGGTATAATTCCTTTGCGAGGAAGATGGATAAGCTGTGCAGCATCCTGTTTCCTTTTACGTTTGCTACATTTACGATGTGCTATGTGTTTGTGTATGTTGTCTAATGGAATATGTACATATGCATATCACATTAATTTACTGATGAACTTTGATTTAAGTCCGGAGATCAATTGCAGCTATTATTTAAATACAGCATGGTCTTAAAATACGTTTAAGTTACATTGGATTGGATGCAAGTTGTACGACTAACTGCTTTGATTCATCCATAAATTAAATCTTATACATAAATCTCTCGATTTAATGGAAAAAATGACGGTCATTATATTATCGTTAATAAATACAATCAAATCGTTTTGCATCGTGAATTTTTAAGCTAATGGTAATTTACAAAATACATGACGTCGTTTACTGCTGAAAAATTTATTAGGCCTTCATCATCTGCTCACATTTAAAAATAATATTCAATCTCGTTTACATATGTACCATGATGTCTGAAGTGTCATGAAATTGCAATTTTGGCGACTCTCCAGTAGCAATTATTGAGTCAATTTAATTGTTTATTTTATATTTTATTTATTCCTTGAATTAAAATAATGACATTTTTGCAAACCAATTTGATGTCCCGAATATATATGCTCACCAGTATAATTTCATAGATTTAATTTATTTTCAGTTTAATTGACTTGTTTGAGTGCATACTCCATATCCCGTTGTAGCGTGATCATTGGATCTTCAACAATTTGTTTCAAATTCGGAAGATACTTCTCGACCTTGTTGCTATGATAGTAAGAAGTCTTATTAGCCCTCCATCCGTCCAACATTTTCATTTCACTCTTCAGTTTTGGATATCTTTGGGGGTCAGTGTAGAAATGCTTTAATGCGCCGAGGAGACAGGTCTTATCCTCCTTCATGTGTTTCGCCCATTGGTCGTAATCAACCTGCTTTATCGGATGCCCCAACTTTGCTCCGAGCCTGACCAGCTCCACTTCCGAAGGGACGGAAGGATTCACAATGTTGTACACGTCGGATGGAGCTTTATCCGAGAAAAATACAGCCAACGAGATCGCAGCGCAATGATCCACGGGAAGAAGTGGGATGGGAATGTCGTCCTTTGGCATGAGGCCGGATTTGAAGTAGTACAAATATTTCATGAAAAAATTGTTCTTCAAGACTTCCTGTTGTCCTGATGTCGAACAACCGCACACGAGTGGGAACCTGAACACCTTGACGGGTAGTTTTATCTCACGAAGCACTCCTTCGATTACCTTCTCACCCACGAATTTTGACACAATATACCCGAAATTGGGTGCATTGTCAAATTCCTGATTAGGGGTCCATCCCTCCTGCAATATGTCTGATCCGGACGCACTTTTAGCCGAGTTCATCACGGTGGCCAAGGAGGAAGCATGGAAAATGTATTTTGACTTTGTTGTAGTTGCGAAAGTAACCACTTCTCGCACTCCGAGGACGTTGACTTGACGAAGTGAATTTGTCTCAGTTTCACCTCGGCGAGGATAAGATTCAACGTGAGATGTGGCAGCAGCAATGTTGAATACGGCGTCGACTGAGGACGCAAGGGATGAATATGCTGAATTGGAGAGGCCGAAACTGCTTCGAGATAGAGTCCCAGCAATAATGGTGACTTTCGACATGTCGATTTTATCCAAAACTTGCAAATGAGAGAGATGTTTAACGGCGCGTTGTGTAGCGGCGTCGTCATTTTCGGCTTGAACGAGACATGTGACTCGAGTAATTGTTGGGCGTTGTGTTAACTGTTGCAGAACGTACGGACCAAGATTCCCTGTTATTCCGGTCAAAAGGCAAGTCTGGATTTGCGAGGCAGGTTTATCCGGTGTTGTGTTTGGTGGCGTTGGTGTGCCCGTAATGGCAGTGACCGCTAAATCAACCTCTTCCTTTACAACGGTAGCAAAAGACTCGTTAGATTTGTCGATAGTGGTTTGACTTCCCTGTTTCCCTTTAGTGAGCTCCACAATTGTTGCTGTTAATTCGTCCAGATTGGCGCAGGATGATAATGTACTTGGAACGGTGACGGTTGGACCAACCAAAAACTGGAGAGAATTGCGCAGTTCGATATTCATAAGGGAATCGAGGCCAAGTTCTTGGTCGTTGGCGATATCCTCGGGCGGTTGGTCCAAGAGGGAGGCAAGGACGCATCGAATTTGATTGGAAACAACCAATGAGACCGCGTCGTCAGTAGGCGCCTCGGACATTTCTCGCCAAAATGTGTCGGGACCACCTTTCTCAATCTGAATTTTTATAAAATACATATGAATAAGTGGATAATATTCTCAAAAATGGTGTATTGGATAGAAATTATAAGATATAAATAAAAAGCGTACCTTTTTGGATGGTCCCGCTGCTTTTGTGGCATCGTAAAGAGGTTTAAAGTACGCCTCCGTCCATGGAAATAGACTTTTCCACACGGCATGATTTCCATCTAGTGCAATCACGTGGGGTAAATGTGTCGTCATCACGGTTTGAAGAGAAGCTAAACAAGCGGACGTGGGCATAGGCGTGTATCCGTGAATCTTATGGCCTACAACCACACCGGCTTCACCCCACTGTCCCCAATTTATGGAGGTCGCAGGAAGTCCTGAATTATGTCGGAATGCGGCCAAAGCATCTTCGAAGGAATTAGCGGCAGCATGATTGCTCTGTCCTGGTGTTCCCACCACGGCAGCGAAGGACGAAAATAGAACAAAATGCTCCAGTGGCAGATTCCTCGTTAGCAGGTGAAGATTCCAAGAACCATCCACTTTAGATTGAAGAACTACATTGTACTTTCCTTCAGTTTGTTCCAAGATCGGGCCGTCGCTAAGTGCACCTGCGAGATTCATGACTCCTCGAAGAATGGGTAGGTTTGGTCGAGCCGCTAGTTTCTGGAGAAGACTGGATACTTCCTGGTAGCTGGAAACATCTAGTTTTTCAGAAAATACATTAGCTCCTTGAGTAGAGTTAAGCTTCTCCATGGTCATCGTAGCCTCTTGAGACGGTGCACTCCTGCTCGTCAGAACAATATGCTTGGCACCGTGGGAAACCATCCACTCCGCCACCTTGAGACCGATGCCTCCCAAACCTCCAGCCAATAAGTACAAGCTTCTCTCGTTAAATAATGGCGATTCCTTTGCTCCATCGGTGATAGGGAAGCTGCACACAATTTTCCCAACGTGTTTTGCCTTCTGCAGGAAAGTTAGCGCATCTCGAACATATTCCGCTTGAAAATGCGTAATTGGCATCGGTTTAACATTTTTGTTTGAAATCGTCTTATTCAACTCGGCAAGAATAGTTCCCCAAATCTCGGACAAATAGGCCGACTCACTGAGATCCAGTTTGAAGTAGGTCACATCAGGTCTCAACTCCTTTACTTCTTCATTCGTCCAGACATTCATAACACTGAGTTCTACAAATTTGGCAGATTTTCTACAAACAGCAAGTGACGCCTCCTTGAAACCAGGTCCCGTCACGGAGTTGAGGACAATATCGATTATTGGGGAACCTTTGCCGAGAGCTAGAATTTTTTGTTCGAACGAGGTGTCTCGAGAATTGAAAATGTGATCTGATGGGATCCCAATATTCTTAAGATAAGCGCGCTTTCTACGACTTCCAGCAGTTGCATAAACGTTGGCTCCCTTTTCATTGGCAAGAGCAATTGCTCGAAGGCCGACAGCTCCAGTGGCAGTGTGGATGAGAACGTTGTCGCCCTTTTTCATTCCAGCGAGCATCACGAGGCCGTAGTACGCAGAGGAGAAAGCGACCGGATAAGTGACGGCTTCCTCAAATGTCACGTGATCTGGAATATGCAGCAGTTCGTCTTCTCGCATCGTCGCAATGCTTGGGAAAGGTGTTTGTGAACTCCTCGCTCCAAACACGGCGTCACCGACTTTCACTTTTGTAACCGCGTTTCCAACTTTTGTTACCACACCGGCAACATCGCTTCCAAGAGCGACCGATTTTTGATCGAATGCTCGGAAAACTAGGAACACATCTCTGAAGTTGAGACCAATGGCACGTATCTTGACTTCGACCTCGTCACCTTGAAGGGCTGCGGGATTGAAAGATTTGAATTTGAGATCGGAAATTGAATTGGTTTTTGGCATGTCGAGACAGAACGCGGTTTGTTTTGGAAGTGAAAGTTTGGAGAAAGTGTGGCCTTTTCTCAGTTGCCGAAGTCGGCCGTAGTGTAGCAGGTTGCCTCGGACTGCGACAAGTGCTTCTTTTCCTGATCCTTTGATGGGTGACCAAATTTGTGAAGTTAGAATGTCAGCTGTGTTGCTTATGCTGTTCATCGCGTCACCATCCAAGTCGATGACTTTGGCAGAAAAGTGTGGATATTCGGTGAGAAATGATCTCGTGATTCCTGAAAGTGTGGCAGCAGCTGGGAATACTGGCGTTTGGTCAGTGACGTGAAACAAGCCACGGGTGATCACGGCAAGTTTTGGGGCGTCGTGAGGAAACTTTGACGCCAGTTGTTGAATCGTGAAGAGATAGGATCGCCAAATATCGGCAATGTCAAGGCGGTCGAGCAAGCCCCACATGTAAATCACGCCCTCCAGCTTGTTCGCTTGAGTAAATACCTGCAATTAATGAAATAAAGAACGTAATGACTAAACGTCACGTATAAAATTATCCGCATTTATATGATGAAGCACCTTCTTAATGTCTTCTCTGTCCCCGGGTTTAATTTGGATTGAAGTAGCGTCCACATCGGCATAACTTGATCCACTCAGAACTGTAATGGGAGTTCTTCCCTGGAATTTTAACCTGTTTGAAATATCCTTCGCCAATTCTGACCCATCCGAGAATACAATCCATTTCGATATCTGAGATGTTTCTACGATTCGACTCTCCTCGTTTGCCTCTGCACAGATGACTCCCAATCCCCCATTGTACACTGCAGTTGATGTAACAACCCGGAAGTTGGTTTTATCCAGCGTTTTATGCCACGTGTTTTCCGTAACGGTGCAATGATTTGGTCGAAGATCGATATCCTTGTAACGCCAATAACCATCCAAGTGACCCACCGTGATGTCGTAATGTCTTTGAGGCGTGAACGTTTCAGCGAGGACGAGCAAACCCCACTTCCTGAGAAGTTGTCTCGTGTGCGTCATAGTTTGTGTGAGGTCAACCGTGGCGTGAAGTACGTTGGATGCTACCACGAGATGGTAATAGTTTGGAGGGAAGCCTTGCGCTTCTGGGGGCTCTTCAACGTTAAAGGTTTTAAAAATGAGGGACTCCTTCCAGCGAGCAAACTTTGCGTCCGCTTTGAGAAAGTAGGCGGAAGAGATATCCGTGTAGGTGTAGGTGAAAGGAATTTCAAATTTCGTCAGTAGAGGGAGCACAACGGATGTCGCACTTCCGGTACCAGCACCGATTTCTAAAATGTGGATTTCTTTCTGATGCGATGAATCCCATGCGGATGAGGCCTTTTCAAACAGCGCGGTGAACGTGGCATGAAGCGTGGCGTTAATTTGTTTCGAGGATTCCTACAACATAGATTTATTTGTAAACTTTAAATCATTCTAATCAAGAATACATTTAAATATATAAAAAAATATAAGAAATTACAGCTTCCACGTAAAACGTTTCGGCAGAAGTATTGGATCCCGCCGCGGGAAAGAGAAGCTCCAAAGCGTTGACTTTCCCTTTTAGAATGGGAACTAAATTTGCCAAGTACAGATCGCTCAATTCCCATTCTTTCAAGAGGTTGTGGCTTGTTTTTCGGCAAGAGTCGATATCCTTGAGCAGTGATTCTACAGAAGGTAGGGCTTTCAGAATTTTGAAAAAATTTCCATGGGCTTGAAGATATCCTTCTTCCGTTAGAATTTCCATCAAGCGATGAACAATTTTGTGCGATGGTGATGCCGTAATCAGGCCAAATTGCTGGATGACAATATCTGCGTCAATGGTAGCTCCAACCTTTAAAGAATCCCACCCTAATCCCTTCAGGGATGACATGATTCCTTTTCCAATTCCTTGATTCAAGGCTAAAATTTCTGCCGTGTCAGTCACCCGTTCAGGTCGAATGATGTCGTCCTGCTTCACCAGTGATGAGAATTGCTTCAAGGATGACGCCGTTGTGGGGGCAGAAATCCATTGTTCTTCAAACAGAGGTGTGGTTTTCACTTCAGATCCACCATCAAGCGCTTTTTGAATGTTTTCAAACGTTGAACGCATCGTTTCCATGCCTCGCATGACAGCTACCACGCCGAGTTTAGAGTCCAGAAGGTAAACCACGCTAGGGGTAATGTGAACATATTTCAAGGGTCCCTCCGGACTTGAGAGGATTTCGAAGTGAGCAATGGCAGAAGGCAGATGAAGAGAGTTGAAGTCGTCGGTGCATGTAACGACAAAGGATTGCATTACGGCATCAATGACGATCGGATGACAAATGTGACCGTCCTTATCCGATACTGGCACTTCGATTTCAATCAGAAATTCTCCATTAGCCCCTTCTGAGACTTTTTGAATGGTTTGAAATTGAGTGTCAAAGTTATAGCCCAAGGTCTTGAGGCGATCGTACAACGTGGTCTTATTGTCTCTCGCCTGTATGTTGTCGAAAATGGAAGATGATGACTGTTTCGGTACGGCAGGTGGCAGCTCTGCACTTAATTCGGCTTCAGCATGGCAGACCCAAGCGGCCATGTTGGAAGGACGACAGAATATTTGCGCTTTCCCAGTTTCTCGGCATATGATGGTGTGCGTCTCCTGGGCACCTTCTTCACTTAGGACAAGCGGTGCTCGGAACCGGATGTTACGCACGACAGCCGGAAATCCCAGTTTGGTTGCGGCCTCGAAGAACATTTCGACGTATGCGGCTCCCGGGTAGACGGCATGTTCACCAACCTAACAAGTTCATAATTTTCAAAAAAATCATTACAATTTTCCAAACAAATTCATCGCATCGCATCTTGTTTAAAATACCTTGTGATCCGCAACGTATGGCACTGTCTTAAGACTGAGGGAATTGATGTAAATGACTGTGTCCAAAGGTGTCTGAATGTTCCAGCCAATCAAAGGAAATTCCTTCTTGCCCCCTCTCGCCGACGTGTTTGAGGATCCTTCATCTTCAACATTGAACCAATACTTTTTCCGTTGGAATGGATAATGCGGCAGTGCAACTTTCTCTCCGGGTAGAAAACTATGAAAATCTGTCCAGTTCACGTCCACTCCCAGCGTGTATAAAGTAGCTAAAGAAGTTGTCAAAGTGTCCCAAGGTGGAGATGTTCGATTGATGGATGGAAGACATTTCGGTTTTGGGGTTTGGGCAACGTTTGTTTGCAGAAGTGGGATTAGAATCGGATGTGCACCCACGTCAATGAAAACATCTCCACATTCTGCAAACGGTGAGCAGCATTTCTTAAATTGCACCGAGTTTCGGGTTTGATTAACCCAATAGGAAGCACCAAAGTCGGTGTGCTCCTGCCCGGTCGAGGAAGAAATAAAAGTGCACGTTGGTTTCGAGTACGTTACGGTGTCAGCAATCGCTTTGAACTTGGCTAGAATTGGTTCCAAGCATCGAGAATGGAAAGCCACGGTGGAATTAAGCTTGATGGCAGTGATGTTCAAGGCTTTCACGTGGGTAATGAAGTCATTGATATCCTTGTCGCTTCCCGACACGACGGTTTGTGTGTTTGAGTTAACAGCTGCAATGTCCAGTTGGTGTCCTGAAGAGGACTGAAAGCTCTTAAGGAGGTCCACTGTCGTATTTTCGTCCTTTCCAACAACGGCCATGCCACCCTGCGGCAAAGAATCGACTAAACGGCATCGATTTACTACCAATTTTAGAGAATCTTCTAAAGTCATGACTCCAGCAATGACGGCAGCGACAAATTCCCCTAAACTGTGTCCCACCACAACGTCCGGTTTGACACCCCATGCCGCCCAGAGTTGACACATTGCGTATTCAAAGACGAATATGGCGACTTGAGAAACGATGGCAGGGTCTAAGTTTGGTGTTGTCCAGATTGCAGATTTCAGATCAAAATTATGCTCTTGTTTTAGAACTTTAGTACAGTGATCAAAATGATGGCGGAAAATAGGTGATAATTTGCATAATTCTTGACCCATCCCGGCGTACTGGGTGCCTTGACCTGGGAACATGAAACCTATTCTTGTAACCTTGTTAGAATTCCAATTTATTGGCGACTCCAGGTAAGATTTTTTTGTGATAGCGGCAGAAATTGAGCCAGCGTCCGGAACAATCAAGGCCACTCGGTGCTTGTAGTGTGATCTTCCAATGTTGAGCGTGTACGCGACGTCGTCCAAAGTCAGAGACGGATTGGAATGAAGAGTAGCTTCGAGACGTTCGAGGCATGTATTGAGAGCTTCTTTCGTTTTCGCAGAAAGAGTAACAATATTTTTGGACGGGCTCGAGAAACTGAAAATACTTCGTTTCGGTGGGATTGCTGGTGGTTCCTCCAAAATCATATGGGTGTCGCCTCCAGAAATGCCAAAGTTTGAAATTCCCGCGATTCGTTTCCGGTTTGAAGATTTTTTCCATGGGGTCGGTTTAAGCGGGACAGTGGCTGGGATGCGGGTAAAGTCAATGTTTGGATTAAAAGTGGTCACATTCCGGTGGGGTGGAAGCATCTCATGCTTGAAGGCCAGAAGGGTTTTGATGATGGACGCCATTCCTGCGGCTGCCTCTGCATGTCCGATATTAGTTTTCACTGCCCCAATTAAAAGCGGGTTCTGCCGAGGTTGTGCGTACGCTTTGGTGATGGCGTTAACCTCAATAGGATCTCCTACGACCTGAAATGTGTGTAATAAGAAAATTCATTTATGCATAATAATATTGTCTCAAATGCGAGCAAACAATTTTTTGTGAGTTTTACCGTTCCAGTCCCATGAGCCTCAACATAGTCAACTTCGGCCGGGGCAACGTGCGCCTCTTCAAGTGCGAGTGACATGGCTAAAGCTTCAGTATCGACTGTTGGGGTGCCCATGCTGGAACTGGTTCCTTCTTGTGTCATGCCCATGCCCCGAATGAGACCATAAACGCGATCCCCTGACCTCACTGCGTCCGACAAGCGTTTGAGTACCAAACTGGCCACGCCCTCCGCTCTAGCAAACCCGTTTGCTGTGGAGTCAAAGGTTTTACAGCGGAAATCTGGTGAAACTACGGCCTTCATGTCCTCATGCTTAAACGGATGCAATATCAAGTTGACGGCAGAGGCAATGCAAATCTCTGCTTCCCCCGATCGTAAAGCATTTGTTGCCTCTCTGATAGCAGCGAAGGATGCCGAACATCCAGACTCCGTAGCAATATTTGGGCCAGTTACGCCGAGTACGTGCGACAAGCGGGCAGATGTTGAAGAGTACGCGTTGCCCATGTACGTCCTGAAGAATTCAGTTCCCTTGAAGCCACTTTCAATCATGAGTTCTTTATAATCGTCCTTCCAGCTTCCGGTAAAAACTCCGATTCGGCGGTTGTGCAATTCGTTCACGCTGATCCCTGCATCTTCCAACGCCTCATGTGCCACTTCCAAGAGGAGTCGTTGTTGAGGATCTGTATATTTTAATTCCATGGGATTAAATCCAAAAAACGATGCATCAACTTCGTCAATGGGGCATTTTAAGAATCCACATTGCATTTCCGGATCTTCAACGTTGCATCCTTGCTCAACGGTCCATCGGTTGGTGGGACATTTCTTGATGCCGTTCCCCCCTTCAATCAAAAGTTCCCAGAATTCATCCATCGAGTTTGCCTCAGGGAAACGACATGATATCCCGACAACTGCAACCGGTTCAGGACCTTGTGCTCGCGCTCTCTGTTGTTTATGTACATACAAGATGTTTACATATTTGCAATTTAAGGTTACATAAATAAATAAGTAATTTACCGGAGTTTCGTGAGCGTTGCTGGATGCGAAGGTATGCTTAACATTGTCCTCCAAAATTTTTCGGTATTGCAGAATGTCCTAAAATTTGAACTTGGAAATTGGAAAATACAATTAAATACTCCGAAAATATGGAGAGACGAACCTTGATAATACTGTTGTCTTCTGAAGCTTTCATGATGTCAGAGTCACGGATGATGGCAATGGAAGGAAGGCTTATTTCTCTTTGAGGTAAAATGAGCTTCAAAATCTATTCCCAATATTTATCAGCATGCTGAAGGTTTGTAGAAACTCACCCAATTGATTTTGACTCTTTTTCACCTAGCTCGAATCCATATTTTGCATCTAATTCTGAACAGTTTGGTAATTTGCTCAAATATTGACTAAACCATTGACTCGCGTCGCCTGTGACATAATTTTTATTATCCACTGACTCATCCTCAGTATCACATTAATTAATTAAGATGTAATTACCGGATTTAAAGGAACTTTTCAGATCGGTGGTGAGACGTTGGTAGAATTGAAATGAAGGCTCCAAAACCAGTATTGAGCTTTCATTTCCAGCAGAGTTGTTCTTCGAGAGGACAACTCGGCCAGATTTTGTCTCGGTGTACAAATTGTCAACATTTTGAAGGACCTATTTTAAACCCGAGATTTTTTGACTAATCACATTTCTGGATGGCAAAACGATATCTTAGAAAACTTACGACACAGCTAGCATCCAGAAAAATGAGTTTTGAAAACCCAGGTAAACTCCAGCACTGAATCCGAGCCGCGACATCGGGCGAGATAGCTAATTCCGTTAGAGAGTGTAGTTGGATAACATCATCAGCGTAATGACTTATGCGACCTCTATAAATATTTATGCATATGTATGAATTTTATTACCCAAAATGCTTGCCAAAGTTTAATCGATACGCAATGAACGCACAATTGTCACTAAATTTCTTACATGTTTTCTGGAGAGATGGATTTCCCCAAAATCACCACGATTTTCTCCGATGTATGACACGCTCTCAATGAGTTGAGCAGTACCAAGGCCTTCGGGACCGCCTCATTGTCGACCACAAATGTGACCCAACCTGTGAATCGTGGTAATTACGCATTAGTAAAAGTACACGAGTAACTTGAAATGTAATATTTTTCCAGGAAAACTGAAAGCTTACCGAAAAGCATGATGAAATTATTTGTTCCAGTTCTTTACTGATAAAGGACCAATTGCGAAAGAAGGAATATGATTCTGTAGCAAAAAGGTATATATATAGATTTTTGTTTCTTGAACAATCTTATTCCCGATGTGAGGCCGAGATCATTCAATTTATTTAATACCTATGAAACTGCCTTCAGGGAAAATTACCGACTGCAATTTACTTGTTAAATCACACATCAACTTTAAACATTATGAGTCCAAGGTTTCCTTGCAACTTACACATTTGAACTTGTTTCCTTTACATGACAGCAGGATTACGTATTCATCGAAATGGAATGGTACCCCACGCTTTTTTTGGATCATGCACGTTCGCGAAGCATTGAAACTGGGTGGTGATGCTAAATTTAATACTCATTGCAAGCTATTTGTTGGTCAATAAGGAAAGCTATATTTTCTGAACATATTTCCCCATTTTTCGCTACTGTTTGTGACGTGGATTTATACGAGATATTACAAATTAATGGAACAAATAGAACATGGTCTGATCGCGTAGACGGTTTATCCTATAATTAAATTTTAAATCTGCAATAATCCGAGTAGAATATCGATGCGTGAGTTATGTGATTCATTAATCATGCAAAAGTTGAAATGTTTGTCCTTTATGGCGAGGCGACAGCATTCGAGTGATTATTTGCGGACCTTGTTTAGCTGGACAAATCAAATGTTGAGATGCACGCCTGATGAAATTTATCATGAGCTAAGTAAATGTTGAAAAGCATAAAAACTAAAGATTTAGTATTTCTTGAGGGACGATAAAAACCGTATGTTATTTAAATTTGCAACTAGTAAATCTTTTTACTGTGTGCATAAAATGACGAGGTGAGAATTAAGTATGTATGTAAAAACTTGGAAAATATATAAAGTAAAATAATATGTAAGTATGATCAAAACAATTTCATTCATGTTCGAAATTAAGATTTAAGATTTATGCATTAATATTACGAATGATAAACTCATTGTTAAGATCATGGTATAATTTGAATTATTTAAATATACAGAACATGCGCAGTTTCTTTATTACACACATATTTTCACCAAGCTTCACATGAGTTTGGCGTAATTTAGTAGTGCATATGATGGTCTATGACGTTATCATATTTTCTATCCAACTTCTAAGTACTTACACTACACAATTTGCGTGGGGCCAACTGTATTACATACATAAACCGTTATTTTTACAATACTCATTTGTTATTACTGATGTATTATTGGATTAGATAATTTGCTTTCCCACAATATTTGGGATTGCGGTGATCAGTAAATTTTCTACATACATTTGCGAATGTCCGCTGGAGTAAAAATTTATCCTGCGCATCCTGACGTGAATAAATAAATCCATATTACTACAAAATTTTGTACGTAGGAGGGGCTCTTTAGGATGGCTGGGTTCGGCCCTTTCCTTGTGTAATCTGATATAATCAGCTCGTCTTACTTAATTAAGTATCACGTAATTAAGTCATTTACTTAATTAAGACATGTCTACGGAATGAGGAAAGTGGAACTGTGCGATAGCAGTCGAATAACATAGATATTTTGCTTAATTGTAAGAGTTTCTCCTTAATTTGCAAACTGTGCAATTAATTAATTGTGCACACAACAGCACTTGAATTACTTTATAATGATAAACCATACCATGTTCTATCTAATTCATAGAAAAACGATTTCGTTTCTGCCTAAGATATTTGACGGAATCATGCAAAATTGTAAGGAATGTAAAATAACCGATTTCCAGCGTAGTCTGCCCTGCCAATATATCTTGCAACCTGGATGCATAAGTATTGTCGTTTGTCTTTCCAACAAAGGTGATCCTACTTTGGTTCACATCTGAAATAAAGTTTTGTTTTAGATCTTTAGACTTCTAACACATACGTATGTAAATAAATGCATGCATATTTGCATACTAAAATTGGTAAGCCTACCTGCACTCTCAGGATCGAAATGATAATCTGCATCCTTCGGATCATAACCAAATCCAAGTAAATTTCGTAAGTAATTAGTACATCCGGAGTCGCTCAGGTGAATAAATATTGCTGGGAAAGTTTCGCCAGACTTGGGTGCTTCCACTTTACCAATGCATCTCACTGGTATGGCGCAGGTAACTGGTATACTACCTGAATAAAGTGATTTATTTATTTAGAATTAGTTTGAGGCATAGGAGGTTTTCTATAATTCGTACATAGTTTGGAGTGTGGTATGACAAATGAGATCACATTTGTCGAAAAAGTCGCCACAGGTTGCAATCGGTCCCTTTGATTGTAAGTGTTGCGAGCAAAGTAATATGTTCCAATTTGGATGGCTTGTAAGTTTATGGTCGATGAGGACATGGGGTGATCAGTCTCCGTTCTCAGAGGGGGTCGAGGTCGTGGTACCACAGCAACAGCATTTGTCTCAGTAGGTTGATACGCCGCAGTTGTAGAGGGATTGACCGAGATTACACGGTTCTGCAAATTTCGAACCTAGGAAATGACTCATAATTGTGTAATGCAATGTACTTATATTAAAAATAATTGTTATGCTAATAGCTAGATATTGAACAGAAGCACTTACCAACTCACTAGACTGAGTTTGCAGAGGTGGGTTTGAGTGTGGTGCTGATGTAAAATTACCAATGGTATTGGTATTAATGTCCAATGAGATTCCCTCAGGATACATTGTTGAAATGTCATGATTTTCAACCCGGACGATTGGTATTGGAGAATTGTAGTAGTTGTCAAGTTCGAATAACGCATCCCAGAGAGATTGTTCCCTGTATTCAGGAGGAACTACGGACTCGTCGTAATTGTTTTGAGCTCGATCATGGCCATTTCTATTGGTATTCAACATAATACTGATACATGAATAAATATCTCAGAGATGAACATTGATTAATCAATGAATATAAAAATATGCGAATAATAATGCTTTTACTACAAATACAAACCTGGTGTTTCCTGTTGTACGGTTAATCGTCTTGTAAGCCTGTGGGTTTTTGTCTCCATTTTCAGAGATTCGTTCAACATTTGTATTATTAAATTCTTGTACGAATGTGCTGGGAATATCGAACACTGGATCTATTTCCATATTACTTCATGTATGAAATTGTTGTCATAAATAATTACTTCAATGTAACACTATCTATATTCGATTTATTTATCGTTTCGCTTAATTCAGGACCTGATCGATGACTTTAGTAATAAAATCTCGTGTTTAGTTTAGGCTAGTGTTGAAGTGCACACAAATATGTACCATCTGGCCTTAGAAAATCCTTACCCTTATTCCATACAGATGCAAATAAGGACCCTTTATACATACCCCTATTCCAGCATGGGTGCGTACATGTGTACATACTTATATACATACATATGTATGTACATATATATGTACATACATAATATTGTATCATACATACATACATACCTACATACCTACATACATATTGCAATAGAACTCATTTACTCATATACTGAAGTCAGTCACTTAAATGCAAATCAGTGGAATATACATACGTATCTAGTAGCCAAATGATTATAATTATTATAAGTTTATGTAGATCAAAAAATTGTCACATGACTCAATTTTATTTAATTCAATTACTTGTCTAAATTATAGCTATTTATTAGTGCATGAAATTCAAAATTGAGACCCATTGACCTGACGCCCATTAAGTAATTTCGTTTAATTCATCCCTCCCATTTTTTTCAATTAAATAGGGCGTCAAAAACTGGGTGTTCCGATTATGTACAACCGTTTAAACACCGGTTTTCGATTTGTTGCTCTGATGAATGACACGCGAGATGAGCGAGATTGGTCTGCCCGGAAAAACCCATTGGACTCTTTGTCTCGCTCGCGTCGCGAGATTCCCGGTAGAAGTAGAATACAGATCCTCCAAAATAACTATTGCCCATTTGACGACTTGGTGGCAATTAGTTTGTTGACGACATTACATTACGGAGTATTTCATTAAGTCGCAATTTCTAAAGATACGGGGGTCGAATTTAGGAAAGCCAGTATTAAAGTTTAATATTTATTCCTATCTCAAAAAATCCAAAAAATTCAAACTTCTCTATAATAATTTTTGTCATACGCATATCACCATTTATTACTTGGTTACTAGTTTCTGCAGCTGAATGCAATACATACAACCCATTACACATTGAATACTATTTTAATCAAGCTTAGGTTTCATCCGTTCCAAAGCGAGTTCGTACATGTTGTTAAGTTCTTGATGAATGCAATCGGCCAAGTGATACACATGCTCCCTTCTGGGAAAAAATATTTTCTCCGCAGTTACAGATATTCGAAGGTGCCCATTGCTGCTACAACTGCCCCACGCCAATGCTAACGTGGTGTATGTAAAATAATTTTCAGAAAATAACAATACACAAGTTTATAAAAATATATTTCCACTCACTCGCAATATTTTCCCGATGTATAGGCATAAAATGGTACACGTCCTCCACCGTTTGCCCAAAGACTTGTGGCACATTTTTAGCCGTTGCTGTGATCGAGCTAATTAACGTCATCCCGCAAAAACTTAGAATGTCGTCGATTCGAGAAAAGACGGGAAATAGTTCAATCAGGCGAAGAATCAGAGTACCGAATTCGGAGGCGGTCGAAACTTTCCAGGACTCGAGGAGGGTATGCATGTCTTTTAGGGTGGATATCGTGTCCCTCCCATTGCCGATTGGGAGATCCAGAATCATGGGACGCCTACATGATGATGATACGTAAATCTACATATATTGCTACAATTATTTAAGACATTTACTAAATATTACCAATGATTACATAACGTCCCATCAGGATGGTTCGATTTGGCCATGGCCAACAGTGTGGTCACAATATCCGGCAAGTCAGCATCCTCCCAACCTTGTCCTCTCGCAAATTCCCTGAGTCCACCCACAACGGCTGACACGACGACCCCATAAAACGACGTGTTGAACGCTTTTCTTGCCACCGTGACCTTTTCCAAGGGAAATTGCGGCGTGATGGCACAATTCCAATACCCCGTCACCTCTTCGGCCACCCCGACGACGAGTGGACCTCGGCGAAAAATGTTGTTTTGTGGGAGTGAGTTCCACACCCGGACGTAAACAGTGAGCCCTTCCGTGAGGAGTCTTTTCGAATGGGCGAGCCAGTTGAGGAGGGAGAATTTAACTGGAGTGGTTTTATCCTGGGGGACGTCGGGAGGCAAAGAGTCGAACCCAGCGAGGCGGAAGAACAGTTTCATCATGGAATATCCGTCCGCCATGGCGTGCGAGAAACGGATAATTAGCAAGGAACCCGGCCCATCTAGATAATTGGGGGCGACGATGAAGTCAAGCCAGGGTTGGCAGGGGAGGACACGGTGACGGAGTAAGTGTTCCATGAGACGGTTGACATCCTGAGGAGTTGAGAGTTTCCAGTCTTGAAGAAAAGTGACCTAACGAATAAATATTGTCTTGTGTATAGCCAAACTAAGCAATAAATCTTGATAAGTACGTAAGTAGATTACCTGATTTTCTATGTCAAAATTGTCGACCTCCTTGTTCACCCAGTACCCCATCCATTCCTTCGGATAAGTCCCCAGTTTCCAGAAGCATCTTTTTCCATCCTTGTCCCGAGTGTCGTAAACTCGTCTGAGGTCAGCCACGACTCTGTCCTGCGTAGACAAAAACATGTATTCAATCTTCATAGAACTAGTTGTGTTTGATGACAAACCACATTTGATTATTTTGTGTGATTGTGTCGGTCACACCATTCGTTGATTCATGAGTATCTCAATTATATGAACGAAAAGAACAACAAGAGTAGGAAAAAAATTTTAGATGCATAAAAAACAAGTCTGACAAACCTTCGTAGGAGTGCCGGATAACACTTGGATCATCAGAATGACAGAGTGAGGTTGGTGTGGCGTGTCCGTGATGAACATGAGGTCTAGGCCGGACACGGGGTGGAGAAATTCCCCCCTCCATGCCCCCCATTTGAGCACGAACCACCTCCAAACCCACCCAAGCAGGAGGAGGACAATAATCCCCGGAGAAAAGAGTATGAGGCCTGCTTGAATCAAGGCCACTTGGACTTTTACCTTCTTGTCCAGTGTCGTCATCATGCGTTTTTCCCCTTGAAACTTAACAGCTTTCTGAAAGTATCTCCACAAAAATCGACCTCGATCGTAAATTTAACTTGAAATAAGGAAAGTGATAAAAGTATTTTGTAATCATAATCAAATACAAACAGCAGGGCATTTTTAAATAAGGAAAGTCAGTTTATATGCTAATTTCTTATCCTTCAAATGGGTGCAAATAAATACAATTAAACGTGGTCTTGGTCGGATCACCCGTCATCATATTTAATGAAAATTTAGTTAAATTCATGTTTTCCAATTACATTTACAAATAACTTTCATTACGTTTGATAAATAAATAAAATATATAGTTTGTTGTTGCATTAATTGAGTGGGCACATACAAATTTTTTGGACATGTGCATATATACGTACATACACTACATATTACTTTTATTAGGTTATGGTAAAATGATAACTCTCTCACACATCAGGGTGGTGATGTTTAGCTAATTACAAGAAATTTCGTAGAGTTACAATGAAAATTAGCATCTAAACCGTCATGCAAGTAAAATTTGTATATGTAGTATGTCCGCTGTGTTGCCATGTATACGGATATGCTTACTGTTAACAATAATGTAGGACATATATATATATTGAAGAGTTTGTATGATTATATTATACGAACATGTCGAATAAATATTTGTATTGTATTGTTGTATATTATAAAATTGACGTCAAAAAAGCTAACTCCAAAGGAGTCGTACATTTGAATCCCTAACCTCTAAACCCCTAACCTTATGCAAATGTCGTAGTATACATACACATGCACAAAGTTACTGTGTGCTGTACATTGAATAAGCGTCATTTAATATCTATCTATGTAGTAATATGTATTGTGCACAAGTCAATTAATTCATATAAATCTATCCAAACTTTAAAATTATAATTCAATCATAAATTTAATATCATTCACAAGAAAATTCATAAATAAATATGAAGTATCTTAAAATGTAACAACCGACCGACTTCAGATTGGGCGAATCAAAGTTTTATGCAGAAGTATAGTTTGCAAAAGTCATCACAGATTGTTGTCACCAGATGATTCTCTTAATTTTCCGTATGTTCAAAGAACATGAAATCCTAAACACAAAATTGTATAATAGTTAATTGTTATTATTTAATTATCAAAATTTAACAAATGATAACTTACAATGAGGAACAAGGCTCCAAGCATAACAGCTTTCATCTTGACGTCTAAATCCATGGGGAAAGTGATCCCAAAGTTGTCAGCATCGGTAAAGGCTTCCTTCAATAGACCACTCCACTTCTTCGAGATCCTTCCAACCTCAATATCCCCAGAAACAGACAAGATTTTGAAGTCAACATCTGCACAGCAAGCGCATGTGCAGCAAGGTCCCTCTATTTTGAGGACGACTTCGCCGTTTCCATTCTTCACTAAATATTTGGGAATCCAAAATGTCCAAACTTGCTCAATCGTGCCCAATAGTTCACCATTTCCGGCGAAAATTTGGATGGACTAGGGTCATAATTTTTAAAGATAATAGTATTTAAAAAGTGAAAGCTATGCCAAATTATGTATACATAATCGCATAAAAGCAACTCACTTGCAGGCAGCAGGGGAAGCAACAACTTCCACATGCCAAAGGACGGGTAAGATGAATCACTTCCTGTCCGCTGAAGTCCTTGATAAGCAAGTCAAAAGGACGAATATTTCCGCAACATTGGCGCGTGCAGAAATCCGTGCTCTCCTTCGCCGTGAACATATCCCGACCGGCGGCATCCTTCACAATGTACTTGTTATTTGTCTCGCAACCCAGAATTACTACAAAAAATATGAAATGCCACTTTATTTATCAGTGATATATAAATTACCACAACAATTCTATGAAATTGAAATTGAGCTCACCTTCCAGTGCCTCAATCTTCTGTTTGACAAATATTTGGTCAAGATGTGCCAAATACTCGAGCCCATATGGAACATTCAGTGGTACAGCAGAAAATTGTTGGGCAGTAGGTTGCATTTGGATGGGCATTTGCATATGCATCTGCTGGTTGTAGTAGGGGTCATGTTGTACCTTTGACATTTCGAGTCTGCTTTGCTGTAAATTTATAATCTGCACTTAAAGTTACAAGTAATTAGTTTACACTTGTACGATAATGATTTAAACATACAAATACTTAAATGCTTACCTTGTTAAAATTGTCACAGTCAATTAATTGAACGAAATCTGTGAGCTCAGATGGCGAGGAGTTGGGTTGCAAATTCAGTGCTTGATGCTGCTCTCGTTGGTCCGAAGAGGAGATTTTTTTTATGAAGTCGGAGATTGTGGCTGGGCTCGTGGGATAGCTTAACTATTGGTATAACGTTTCTATAATCAGTCAACGTTACTATATTGGTAAGTCAGTAATAAAATGAACAAATAAACTCACTACAGTTACAGTTGACAGAAAAGAGATTATTGCTTGAAAATGATGAGGTTTTATCTCAACTGATATTTCCACAGTTTGTCAGCCTGGCTTAAAATCCTGTAATATTTAACGCATATTTAACTCACTAAGCCTTGAATATTACGACGGGATCTGCCCCACTAATACAATAATTGACATTCTCTCTTAGTGCTCTGAGGTTTGTGTAGCCAGTTTGCAACTGCATTGTTCGTTGACAGGGGTGGAAGCATCAAATATTTTAAATGAAATCTAACTAAAATATGCTAAATAAATTGATTTGAATGACAATATGCATTTATACGTACATGCACGTATTAAAGACAGTGTTATGCATATTGGTTTGATGTGGCACTTGTTTATGCAGCCAGAACATTAAAACTCACCATTAGTAGTGATTGGTATATATATGTACATATGTATGTACATTATGTTCTAGTACTTAGTTGAGGAGCTTGAGATCCAGAGTGTTTGCGTTTCTTTCAGTGGATTTCACGTCTTTTCATAATATTAATGCGTCACATTCTTGGAAGTGTTTTCATTCAAGAGTCGATTATGGGACTAATGTAAAACATAAAACAGTTATTAAAGGCACAAATGGCTACAAGTGACAAGTAGAAGTATCAAAGTGCAAATGTCTCGAACAAGGGCAGGTGCATTCCGTATCTGCTACTTTTTTTATACCGTGTCGATTCCATTTTTTCAAAAGTATGTGTTATGCATTTTAACAAAGTTACAAAAAATGTCCACTTGCCCCTTCTGATATTTACACGACTTCCATCAGCCATTAAAACAGTTCCAACTTGACCCCCTTTGCATATTTACGTAATACGCTATTCTATTCATATAATAATATGAATAGTATGAATCATACATACTACTGGATATTATTGAGGGATGATGAGTGACTCAAACAACAGGCGTACATAAGTTTGAGCCATCATTTTCGTAAGTAAATGACAAATCAATAAGAACCAATTTGTTCAATGCAATGCCATCGATGTGGAGGAAAAAATATGATTAGGAAAATGCATTATAATAATTTCAATAAGATTGATATAAACACATACCTATGCAGATTATGGTACCCAACAATGCGAATATATGTACTACATACTGTGGATGAAGTTCTAACCCTGCAGACTTATTACACCGCTTTGTAGCATTAATTTCACGACGTCACCGGTCAAAAAAATTTTTTCCTCCAAACTGGTCCAAAATAAAAGTGTAGCATGGGAATAGTATAGAAAAATTATTTTTAGCGTTCTATGACCCCTGGGTCATGAATTAAGGGCCCCTGAAGGGTCAAATAGCGTTCCCTGATAACCCCATGCAAATGGGGTATCAAATTAATCCCCTGGACCAGGGGAACCAGAAAAATATTTTTATAAATTTTTATGACCCTTGAGTCGTGAACTAGGAGCCCTTGAAGGGTTAAATATCATTCCCTCACAACTAAAGGCAAGTGGGGTATCAAATTAATCCCCTGGACAAGGGGAACCCAAAAAATATTTTTCTGGATTTTTTTGACCCTCAGGTCAAGAGTTAAGGGCCCCCGAAGGGTCAAAATAGTAACCATGGTAACCCCATGCAAGTGGGGTATCAAATTAATCCCCTGGCAAAGGGCAAGCATAAAAATATTTTCCTGAATTTTTTTGACCTATAGGTCAAGAGTTAAGGGTCCCTGAAGGGTCAACATAGTAACCATGGTAACCAGGCTTCATATCCTGTCTCAGGCAGCATACTTATGTTTGTATAAACTGGTCCCTTTCTCATATACATATCTTTATGCACCATCTTGTTTGGGGAAGGATTGGGTTAATGGTTGGGGTGATGAATATCCCCTAAAAACTGATGCATTATAAATATATGAGGTGATGGGAGACCCCTTATCCTTGCTGGCTTCTCCAGTCGACATTTTGAAATTTAAGTTTTGGAGTTTGTACTTACTGGTATCCGCTCAATTATTAATTTTTAAAATTGAAGATGACGTTGCATAACTTAATTTATGGAACACTGTATGTGTTATATATAGTTCATTGTGTTTGTGGTAAAAGTTGCGCGAATGTCGATAAAATAGAAATAGATAAACAGGTTAAAGTTGTGTGTGATGAGACGGATAACCTGGGTGGATTGGTTATCTGGTTCAAGGAGACATTACCATCCAATTGCAGTGGATTTCTGATATGTAATCAAACGATGTGTATGGAAATTAATGAAACTGTTATGTTCTTCAGTGACACTATCAAAATTGAAGAAGTAGAGTATGAAAATAAAAAGATACGGATATGGGGAAGTGAAAGCTATGTAACTTTTTATTTTAAAAGTTTCGTGGATGCCAGCCGTTATCTACTAAATAACATCACAATTTCAAACGCCAACCACACATTTCCATCCAATAAACTATCCGACTTAACTCAGGAAAAAATTAGTGACACTTATTGTAATATAGCGGCTGAAACGAAGAAGTGTACCACCAAGCAAGCAGTAACTAAAGCTATTCAAGGCACTACTCCTCTTCCTTCTGCATGCACAGTTCTAATTCTGTGCAACCAAATATCATGCATCAGGTTCAACTACACAAGTCTCCTGCATTCAGCCTTCTTTGCCAGAAAGCACACGTTTATTCCTACCAACGAAGGTAAATTGCCATCTTGCTTTCATCTTCGTCAAGATGCATTTTTCCATCCTGGATCTCTCCGACGCCCACGTGGTATTATACTTTCCTTGGAGAAAGCTAAAGTTAAAAAGGCGCCAAGCGGATTACCTTTCAATCTCCCTGGATATAGGTAATTGGTTATTTTGGATGAGTTTTTTTATTTTTGAAGTTGCGATTGGAATCTTTATGAAATGATTCTTTATTAACATAATTTTATTATTGGTATTAATTAAGATATTGCGGGCCTGCCACCGATATTGAGAAGCAGGATGATCTCGGTGGCCCAATAAATGCTGTTGGTAATTGTTGCCCAATTTATGCTCATACACTAACCAAGTCAAATTTGTGAAAATTAATTTTATAATTTTTGTGTTGATATTATTCACAGATGCAGCATGCCGCAAACATGACGTCGATTATTTGCTAGGGGTTCTACCATCAGAGGCAGACGAGGCACTTCTAACTACTGTGCAATTACATCGAAAAGATCTGTTCCCACTTTTTGCGGCCGCAATGAGTGCCAAAAAATATTTCGAAAGTCAAATTGGAGGGTCCTATACATCCTTCTTATATTTCTACCCAGCAGGATTTTATCCCAGTTTAACTTTGCATTTTGCACATGAAACGGTGTACGATAAAACTTCAGTAGGAACACTAACAACTGCTCGTGCCATCTGGGAAGGCCAAGCTCAGGAGTCAAAGTGGATAAGTATTCTGCAAAATATTTGGCTAGGGAGCTGCTACACGGTGGATCCAGAAACTAATGTAAATCCACCGCATATCGATGTAAGATTATATTTTTGCACTATTAATGCTAGCTCAGATTCATCGATTTATTGTCTGAGAGCACAGACGCATTTCATACAAGTTTATCACTTTTAGCAAAAACAGTCTGACATGAATTCCCTCGTCATGCCATGCTCAAATGTGGATGAAATGGACACCAATGCAGACGCACTTGTGAGAAATATTGCAACATATTTATAAATAGCAGCGACCGCGGATGTTGTGGGGGACATCGTGAAATTGTTATTGTAGTAACAAGCTCATGTACGTTTTTGTTCTGATCAATACAGGAGGATGGTGATGGAGATGATGAACGTGGGCACTGTGGACAACGTGAAGAGTTAGGGGAAGGGTCAGCTCCTGGCGGTGAATCACCAATGGACACTTCAAATACAGAGTATGCATCCAAGAGTACAGAAGGTGAAGATACATGTGTGGGAACAGACATTTACCCAACGGCCCCTTACAAAGGGGGATGTAGGATGATTTTGAACGAATTTGCAACCAAGAATGATGATAACCAGATTTCGTTTATTGAACATGTTCATGCCCAAAAGGCGCTCGTCCTCCAAAAACTAATTCACTTAACGGATTCGTTGAAATAATCCTTGTGGGCGGGATGACTATCCACCAAGTAATGTACGCATCTTTCCAGAACAAGATCTTCTCAATCATACAAGAGAAACAAACTACGCAACGCAAAATAAAAAAATTTCTACTTTGTCCTCGGATCGAAACAAGTTGCACCAGATATGTTGTTTTCTGACAGCCAGATTACTAGTGACCATCTCGAAGGAATCTTACCTGCCGAGTCATTGACGTACTGCATAATTTTACTTCACTTCGGACACAATCAAGGGCAATTTCATCAAGCAGTTCAATCTTTTTCACTAATCCAAAATGTTCCACCCGGCAGTGACACGGTAGGCTATCTCCCAACCCCCATAAACGACGAAAAGATGAACCTTATAAACGAGTTCATTCAAGATGTCCTAATTGTTGGTCCTCCTTGTCCGGATTCTGAGTGTGGATATTTCTATTCCCTTCTCAGAGCTAAAGAACAGGTATTGGGGGAAGGTGAAATGCGAATTCCTTTATCTGATGTTCCTAGACGGAATGATGGAACCAAACCTTACCTTAGTCTTTCGAGGTGCAGTCCTACGAGTTTTCCTATGCAACAATTAGCCTTTGAAATTGAGAAAGCAACACCGAAAGCGAAAAACGACTGTAAACAACCAAATACTAAACTCCCATTCCAACTACTTGGTGTTTCACTACAGGCGACAGCTCAAAAGTTAATTGTCAACGCCAAAGTATTCTTTGACAGTAACCAGGTACAGTGTGAAATACTAACAGGAAACTCTGTCACCAAAACTAGCCAGATTCTAGGAATTGGAGAGAGAACAGTTTATCAGACAATGGAGAATTACAAAACGAATAGTATAAAAACACCTGGTAAGAAACGTATTAGACCAACGCCAGTGATGGATCAGTTTGACGACTTCCGAACTGAGCACGTTAAACGAATCATTCATCAATTCTATGCTAATAATCAAGCACCAACAATGCATAACGTATACACAAAACTGATGGAGGAAGTCAAGGAAGAAGAAGATGGTCGGATAGCCCGAGGAGAAACTCTTACAGCGTTCAAATGTTCCAAGTGGACGTTAAGAAAACTCATTAAGCAATTAGGATTTAGATTCAAAACTGTTGATAAGCGAGCAGTTATCCTCATGAGATCAGACATCGTGCAGAAGCGATATGAATATCTGTCGTAATGATTAAAAATCGTCAGTCCGAGAACCCAAAATGTGTTGTCTACACAGGTTTGGCTGATTAAATATCAAAAATGTTTTAATTTAATTTAATATAATTATTAATGCATTATATTTATTCAGATGAAACGTGGGTCGATAGTTATGCTAGAACTGGAAAAGGCTGGGTTATTAAGTCATTTCATGAAGCGGCTTTATACTCCTTCCAAAACCCGAAAATTTCTAGAGGACCACGTATCATTGTGATGCATGCAGGTGCAGTTCAACTATCCACATTAAATAGGAAATTATTTCAAAATAATAATTATCTTCACAGGTGGAGAGGATGGATTCGTACCTGGCGCTATGAAGGTATATCCAGTATCAAAGAAGAAAGTCCTGATGGATTACCACGCAAACGTTAACGGTGTCGCTTACATGGCTTGGTGGAAGGATCTTAATCAAAAGATAAAAGATAATTATGGTCCATGCATAATTGTTATTGATAACGGTAATATCATCCAATAATTTGTATTTGTAAATTCCATTTTAATTTAAATTTCATTTATTTAAATTTGTCAGCTCCGTATCACAGCACCAAGGAAGCTCCAAAATCTACATCCCGAAAACAAGAGCTATACGACTGGCTGAATGATAATTTAGAGGGCCCTGAAAAGCTGAAACTAAAACCTGTAAAGCAAATGAGACGACCTGAATTATGGAAAATGGTTCAAGACCTTAAAAACGGAAATGAATATTACATTGTGGATAAGGAGGCATTGAAATATGGAAACACTGTTGTCCGGTAAAGTTATTTTCTATTCATGGGTAATTTACTAATAATTTGTAATATTTATTTAAACACTGTATTTACGTATTTTCCAGATTACCCCCATATAACTGGTAAGAACTGGTAATCATAGGTAACGGTAATAAGAATATTCATGTAATAACTATTTTTAGCGACTTGAACCCAATTGAGTACGTGTGGAAAGACATCAAGCACGCAGTTAGGGCTGCAAACACACAGGGGACCGCTGAGTTTGCACAAGCTGAGGCTGAGAGAATTATGACAACATACACAAAGGAACAATGGCAGAAACACATCAAACATGTGCACCGGTTCGTAAAACCAAGATTCGCTATTATGGGAATAATTCGCAATTTCTACATTATTATTGTAAATAGATTGGAGGACGAGTATTGGAAAAATGATGGACATTTTGATGACTTCCTTGATGACTTCCAAACACGTGTAGCTTCAGCCAACCCCATTCGAGTGAGTTCTTGGTGACAGTAAACTATTAGTAAAAAAATACATAACTTATACATAATATACAGATTACAGCAGCAGATGATGTGTCTGACGACGAAGATGAGGACCCTGACGATGTTGACGAAGTAGTTGATAGATTCCGAATGCAAATACACAATGATATTGAATACTCACAGGCTGGGGAAGAAGAAGACTTGCCTGAAGAAGAATGTGCAACTTCTAGGAGGAGATTAACCTTCCCACCAGAATCAACCTAGATTTTAACTTCAATGGATTCAATACATAATAAATATTATAAATAGTGAATCCGATTTGTACATAGTGTTAAGAATTATTATTCATTAAATTTGTACGAAATTTTCAAAAATATGCCTACCCCTCTCTACTTAACATTCTTGCAAAACTGAAAACTTTAAAATAATGTCCCGTTTAGTAAAATACAATAAGTTATTATTTGACCCTTCAGGGGCCCTTAACTCTTGACCTATACGTCACAAAAACCAAAAAATATTTTTCTGATTCCCCTGGTCCAGGGGATTAATTTGATACCCCATTCACCTTAGTTACCATGGTTACTATGTTGACCCTTCAGGGACCCTTAACTGTTGCCCGATAGGTCAAAAAAATTCAGGAAAATATTTTTATGCTTGCCCTTTGCCAGGGGATTAATTTGATACCCCACTTGCATGGGGTTACCATGGTTACTATTTTGACCCTTCGGGGGCCCTTAACTCTTGACCTGAGGGTCAAAAAAATCCAGAAAAATATTTTTTGGGTTCCCCTTGTCCAGGGGATTAATTTGATACCCCACTTGCCTTTAGTTGTGAGGGAATGATATTTAACCCTTCAAGGGCTCCTAGTTCACGACTCAAGGGTCATAAAAATTTATAAAAATATTTTTCTGGTTCCCCTGGTCCAGGGGATTAATTTGATACCCCATTTGCATGGGGTTATCAGGGAACGCTATTTGACCCTTCAGGGGCCCTTAATTCATGACCCAGGGGTCATAGAACGCTAAAAATAATTTTTCTATACTATTCCCATGCTAGACTTTTATTTTGGACCAGTTTGGAGGAAAAAATTTTTTTGACCGGTGACGTCGTGAAATTAATGCTACAAAGCGGTGTAATAAGTCTGCAGGGTTAGAACTTCATCCACAGTATTCAGGGTTTGACAAAAGCATTCATTACCACAAGTAGATTTTAACGAAATTTTGAGTATGCAGATAAATATGTATGTGCCATATTATTATCCATGTGCAGATGTGTATGTAATATATTTTCTGCCCTTGCATTTATACTTGCAAAGTTTTATATTAAATCTCGCTATATCTTGCCATCTATTACGTACATATGTATGTCTACGTAGCAACTCTAGATGAATAATTTCTGGGATATTACACTCGATAATCAATTCTATTTGAATCAATGCTTTGTCAGACGTACGTTTCTTTTCTTCATTTAATAAGTATGTAGCATCTAGTATCGCTCCATTTTTAACAACCTAACTTGATTTCTCGAAGTTGTCAGATTTGCAATAATTTTATTTGGTAATATCGGGTTGATGTTACATTAACTCCATTTTTGTATAACAATAATTTTCTATAAGATGCAGTACCATCGTACAATTAAATTTATACAACTGCTCATCTGTCTCGTTTAAGAATTATATCCAAAGTTTCAGAAAAGTACAGAGCAGGAATTGAATCGGGCAGATTGGAAATTTTTTCCATGATTGACTTATAGCACTGCATTTCATAACGTTTGTAGTGGTCTACCAGGTTGAGGGCACGAAATATTTTCATTACTTTGTTAGCACTGTCAGTTCCTGGTTGTCCGTAATGTTCCTAAGATGCGTACATAGAAATTAAGAAGGTTAATTTTTATATCGTAATCATTTCCCGTGATTCTTTACTTACTTTCAATATTTTTTCTTGTTCTGGACTAGCCATACTTAATGCCTTTATTATGAACCATGTGCACGCATTTCCCTGTATTTTCGTAGCGAATCGTCCCGTTATTTCCGGATCACCAAAGCAATCTAGAAAATCATCCTGCGTCATGAAAAGCTGACCCATGTCGACAGCAATATCTTCAATTAGCCTCATTTCAGTAGGGTCGATGTCACCACAATCGGACTGTGAAGAGGAAAATTTATAACAGTTACATATTGCACACTAATAAATTTAAATAGGCAAGAAAAGTTTATGTACGTACCATAATTTTCCTAATTTAATTTTTGGATTTAATGTTAATTGTTCAATTAAATGGTTAAAATTTTCCTAATTTCTCAAATTACGTAAATATTTATATATATGATTCCTTACCCAATTGCAAGGGGCAAGTAAAAGGAAAAATATCCAGTCTTGTATTTTGAGACACGGTTATAGTTCTCAAACGTAAATCTAGAAGTAGATGGTTTGATTTTTTTTACATAATTAAGTAAAAGAAGATTTCGAACATAGTTCTGTTTTACATTTTTCTGCATAATTGGATAAATTATTTTAGTGTGGCAATTATATATTTCTGAAGACATACTCGCTAATGTCCTTCATCCGCCCAATCCGAGCATCCAAATTCTGTCCCAGGGAGGTGTTAAAGTAACACTTGTGAAACAACTGGACTAAAGGCTTGTGACACGGTTGACCAGAAAAATGCTTATCAATGATGAAATACATGATGTCTTGCAGAAGAATTGAATCACTGATGGCAGATTTTCCAACATCTTTTACCAAATGCCAGCACAATTGATTTCGTCTCTTTACAGATCGACGAATAATGTCTTCCGCGATGAAGAATGATGCCGCTAGCTGCGTGATGAGATTTATTAAAATCAGATTGGCAACTTATTGTAATTACTTATTTAATACATCACATCATACCAATTCCACGCACCATCCGAGAACAAAGATCGGCTTCAAGTCTTCCTTTGTCGTTAATCCACGAAAAGACTTGAAGGCAGAAATTACCCCACGACCCCTGAGTAAATAATGCATACACAGATATGAATATTCTCTAATACTTGTTAAAATTGGAATTCCTTACCTCAACTGCTTCCCCCTGTAAAACAATATCAACAGAAGAATTAGCTAAAGCAATTTCTGTGAATAAAAATTGGAACGAGCACTTACAAAGGAACCGTATAATCAACCATTTTTAACAGCCATGTTTCCACTTCGGTATCACCAAGTGTGGGATGCCAAATTATTTCCTCGATAAGTTCGTCAATAACGATTTTAAAAGCATCTTCTTCTTGAAGGCTCACAGATTGTCGTCGCTTCGCCATGGTTGAAAGAGCAGATGTGATTTTGAAGAGTGAAAGAGTAAAGGAAAAGATGAGAAGGCACTGTCAGATTTATGGATGTATGTATGTATTAAGTTAGAAATCTTATTGACGCTCGAATTTGATGGCGTATGTCCATATTTACGTATATAATATTTATTAAGGCCAAGACTTTCGTCATAACATTCGATTCGATTGCAATACTCGCTGCGAGGAGTAGACGAATTTTACATCATTATTTCACCGACAGAGGAGTAATAACTTCAATTTATTTTGCACAATGATACAAAATGAGGTATCAATTGCAAGCCGGTCTCACCTTGCGTGTGAGATCGGCTTTTAATTTATACTAAATTGTTGACACCATGAAAAGTTTAGATTTGAACAATAATATTATCTGTAGAACTGGATTAAGTAAGTCAACACTGGTAATTGTGCGTCTGAAGCCTGGGTAGACATCTGATGCCTGATAATTTCCAATGCTAAATATGTATACAATTTTGTACACTTACATACTTGATTTAAGTAGTAATTTCTGAGCAAGTTGAAGAAATCGTAATGATGAATTTATGAATTTGTTATTTTTATGCAATTTTTTATTGGAAGGTATTTTTATGCCAAAACTTTATTTAGCATACAGATACAATTTTACGATTACATGGCTTATTAATTTTGTACCTTGAACACAACGAAATTCATAAACTCTATCATTAGGTTAAATACATATGTACATAAACTAACACTGAAAACAAGTTATAAATTTATCGTTTCATCTGGTAGTTCCCTATTTTACTAGTATCCACATATTCTTAAATATTCGCATGTCACAACCTATTTATTCCTTCTATAAATTATTTCCGCAGTTTCGGCGAAAATTGATGTAGGAATGCGATTACCAAGTTTTCCAATTCTGTCACAAATGGATGCATACGTTGCGTCCTCAAACTTTCGATAATCATGCAAAAGCCCGAGATCTTTATAGATATTCAATACCGTCCTTTCATTTTTCACAGAACTCTGTTTCCCAAGACCGTAGTTGGCCTGCGAGATGGAAACAAATTAATTATGTAAATATTTACGTGGCTGGTCATAAAGAAAAAATTTGTGTTCAGAATTATGTACATACTAAAAGTAGCTCTTTCTGTTCCGAATTCGCTTTCTCGAATGCTTTCACGATTAACCACGAGTATTTATTTTCTGCAATGTCAGTACCGAATCGTCCAGTTAGTCTAGGGTCGCCAAAACAATCGAGAAAGTCATCCTGCGCTTGGAACAATAATCCCATTTCCAAGACCAGCTCTTCAATTTCTTTGTAATCGTCTTCATTTGTTTTATTTGCCTAGGTGAATATGCAAATTTATCCAGTGAGAGTGTGCTCGAGAGCTGCTACAGTGTGATAATTGTTACTTTATTATACTAGGATCATACTACAGGAAACCGGTAGAAAGAACGAATTATAGCCTGTTTTGTACTTGACAATTTTACTGTATCGTTCCATGGAATACCTAAATATTTATACAGTAGACATGAAATCGTTAATATTTCAAATTATTTCACGCTGGACAAAACATTACCCTTCAGAACCACCCGTTTTACTTGATTGTGTATCCATGCATAGTCCAAGGCAGGTTGTGAGATGAATGTTGTGGAATAACTTTATCAAGTCTGGATAATATGGCTTGTCATAAAAGTAACGGTCCAGAACGATATTAACGACACCCGACATCAAATGAGCGTCACTAATGGCGATGTCTCCAATGTTGTCAAGTAAATACCAGCACAATTTTCCTCGTCGATTTTCAGAATTTTCGATTAAATCGTTGATGACAAGGAAGCAGGTTTGAAACTTTTATACACGAGAAGAATGACAAAATATGTAGGAGAAATATTTAAATATGTGCAAAATTCATAGGTTACATGTGTACACTCACAATTTCAATGCACCATCCTAAAATATATGTTTCCTTGATGGTGTCATAGTTGGGTTCGTCAACCAAAGCACGATACGCTGCGACCACGCCACGTCCTCTGGAAATTTAAAATATTTTCCAAGTACACAATTTAAATTTCAGATTTTAAATCTTGGATTTATTTTTCTCACCTAATTTGTTTCCCACCCGGAACATTGTAACAAACTGCTCTTCTCAGCATGGCCAAGGACTCCTGCATATCATCCTGGTACTCGGGTAGCGTTTCTATTTCGTCGATAAGTTCCTCAAAGGTGAGCACGAATGCGTCCTCCTCCGCTATAGTCATGGATTTTCTTCGGAACGCCATAGTTGCAGGAATTATTGTTGAGTGAAATGAATAAGAATTTCCGATAAATGGTAGCGCTGAAGCTGCTTAATCCTTCCTTGAGTGAAATAACACTAGTCGTGCAGTAATATCAACGGGAGGATGATGGGTATGACGTTAGGAAAGATTTAGTAATTCCAATACGTCGATGTGTATTCAATACCGTGTTTGCAATTTGTAACTGTGGTAAAGTTCATGTGGAATTAAGTGCGTATGTAAACGTGCATGTGTGCTGCAATATTAAGCCAATGCAATGTTTGATGTGAAAATGTATGTAGGCACATTCGTACATGTATGGATCAGGTAAGAAAATTAAAATAGCATTGAATTTTGTTGATTAATTTGATAAATAATGCGAAATGAGATGTATATATAAATGGTAAATTGTGGAAAATTAATTATTGAAAGCTATGTTTTTAAAGATTGATATTGATGATATTTACTCCATTTATGAACATATTGCCCTTATCCGAAACCTCTTCGCAATTATTATTGCTCACCGCTTATGTACCAATTATAAAATTTATTTAGTGACTCTGATGCTAATTAAGTAGATGACACTGACATAAAATACAATAAAATCTATGAGTATTGTATTCAACATTTGGCCCATATTTATGGCAGATCGAGAAAATCTTCCCCTGCCTCATATGTAAGACCACAGTGCAGAACAGGTACAATCCGATGTAAGTACTTTCTCATAGCAGCGTTGGGACACTCTTTGATGTATCCCATTGACCACTATTTTGCAAAATGGCTTTATAATGTGCCTAAATTATCACCAAATCACTTACATATTTACTTTCAGTGTTCAATGTTCCAATGTTCGACTTAGATACTTCAAAAACCAGAAGGGGTTACTCTGACGAAGTGTTGTCGAAAAATTTAGTTTTTATTTTGTCAATTTCGTCTGCTTTGTGCATCTTTTTTATCAAATTTATGATTTAATTTATCAAATTGGCGAGTTACTGCAACTCCCAAAATTACCCCCCTCCCCCCCCGCCGGTAAACCTTGGTAGTGGACCTCTAGTAAAATCTTTGAACTCGGACAAGGTCTCATCGAGAAATATATTTTAAGACCAGGTCGATTAAGTAAAGATGACAGATCTAGTGCAGACATACTAATAAAATGCCGGATCCATGAGCACTACCTAGGTCTGTATATCCATAAAAACTCAAATGCGACGTACATCGTTATTGTTATTTTGTACATTGTTATTTTAGCTAGGTAGAATTGGTTCTGTACACGCTCAGTATGAGACGCATGAAACCCATTAGTGTCATTGTAATAAACTAACGATAGCCTTATTTTTACTGTAAAAAGAACAATTTCAGCACTTTACACTCCTTTTGAAGATACCGATTGACTCAAACAACAGACACAACTTCTACGAGATGGTACATTCTACAAACTCTCTTGGACCACAAAAGCCATTCTTGGCACAAGTTAGCAGAGAAAAGTGTTCAAAATACATAATGAGCAGCTACTTGGAGTTATTTCTCGGCCCAATTAAGGTTTTAGCCTGGCTAATTCTGCATTTTATATGGAAAATTAAAAAGTTTGAATTTCAAACTTTATTTCGGAAATCATGGGAACCTTCGATTTACACTGAGATAAAAACTCTGGCCCAGATCTCCAAAGAGGACTTTCGCAAACTGCCTCAGCATTTGGCACTCGTGTTTCATAATTTTGAGGAAGAACAACTTTTGAAGGCAATAATTTTAAAAAATGTGAAAATAACATATACAAATTAAGGTCAATCAAAAATATCACAGGTCGCCAGGATTATAACTTGGGCGTGGATGATGGACATCCACATTATCTCGGTGTATGATGAAAAGGGTAACATTTCCTCGAAAATAAAAAAAACTTTACGGATATAGTATAAACTTGTGAACCTTCAATTAACAGGAATTATTAAGACGAATGCATCACGAATGCACAAATTTATCACAACCCTCCTCGAGGAAGTGCAGGCTGCCCAGAGTGCAAAGAACTTGAAGATTAAAGATTTACCGTCACTGAAATTTTGCAATTTCACATTCAACAACAAATTCGAGGGGAATTATACCTTGAAAATTGTCCTGCTCGGAGAGGATGATGGGAAACAAGGGATTGTATCAGTTACAAAGGATTTGTTCCAGAAAGGTCTAAATTACAGGCCGACGAATGGACTCTCGGAAGCGTTTAATAATAAAGCATTGGATTTTGTGACCTGGGAGGTACAAAACTGCCACCATGTTTACTCAATGAATAAATATGTATAAAAGGTTGATTTTTTTTCGGAGACGGCAATTAACAAAAATGTTGGATTGGATTGGTGTGACACGGAGCCAGAGCTGATGATGGTTTTCGGAAATGTTAATTCGACGTTGGGTTTTCTACCGTGGCATATTCGACTCACGGAAATTCAGTATGAAAATTTTGTACTTAAATGAGTTTTAATTATTTTAGCTAATTGATGGTATAATATATCGTTCTTCCGTTTAGCTGGCTCCCTACTTTGTACGCGTCAACTTGCGCGAGTTTTTTGGAATCATTGCAAAAGTTTAGTAGTTGTGAGAGGAGAGTTGGTGCATAGTTTTGAAGGAAAAAGTGGCATATTCTGCATAATGCTGGTGTTCACACTGTTTAATAAAAATTGAAATAAAATATGAAATTAGTACAATAGCATCTATATGGAAGGATTATTTTTTAAAGCATAAAATTTCGTGGCTCTGGATCCATAATTCGAATGCAAATGTTATATTTGAAATGTCATAATCGTTGTAACGAATTCACACAATAAATACATGTGTTCATGACCTTATGATTCACAAAAGTTGGATATTTAACGAGCGTAATAATAATTAAACTGCTTGGTCCCATTCTTGCAATTTTATCATAATTTTAGCACAATTTTTACCGATTTTGATAAATCTTGTGCAAGTAAATTTTTGTGCGTTAGTTTGGTATAAATTGTATGTCTTTTGACGTCAGTTCTGAGAGGGCAGGAATATTCAGGAAAATAATTTTTAGTGATGATTGACCTCAAATTCATCTTTAGATTAGAGGTACAATACGACGTACAAACGCATATGTACATATTACATATTATGCATTTAATCTGCTTTCTTTCCACATTTTGAGACAATGACTGCACGAGATGTTTACGTAGATATGTACAACGTGATGTAACTATCTGCGTAATGTCGAAAGCACAAATCAAGAAGTGAAAACGTCAAAATAAATTAACAGTAATACACCTCCTTCAATCCTTTACCTGGAGGAAGTGTAAGATACAAATTATTTTCACTATTTCCGGCACGCAACTCCTTTTATTGACGTTGTTTGAGTCATACATATATAACTTGAGATCCACTAAAATGTCAAGAGTCTAAACTTGAACACAGTTTCCACAAATTTATCTGGTAATTCATCCATCTACTAAAATGAAGAGTAAGTTGCAACAAAAATTTAGCACTTTGATAGGGTGGGTTACAAACCGATTTGTTTCAGGGCGTGTTCGAAATTCGGGTAAAATATATTAGATTGAAATATGCGCATACATAATTTTTGTTAAAGTTGAACCATTTTGTTTCAAGTCCTAATAATAATACGTTAATACTTATTTAATGAGAACGTCTAGCAACGCACAATGAACATGAACAAATCTCGAGATTAATTTAGCCCATTAAATATTTCAGACACTAACACAAATCATGACGACTCAGCCCCCTTTAAGCACTGGGTCAAGTTCGACATGGAACCCATGGACCACCCCATTTTCGGAAGGACCCACATAAAATCCAAGTTTCCACGAATCCCTGCCAAAGCCCAACGACCCCTCATATCCGACAAAGATTTCCAGCACTTTCTCGACCATGGGAACAAATGGTGCGCCAAATTCTGGGACACTCGAGGCAGAGAAGACCAGTTTCAACGCACGGTGGACGGCTGCTGCTGGTTTGCCATCTACACGGATCCATTCTCCGACTTGTTTTCGAAGGGAATGGAACTCTATGTTGAATACAATATTTGGGTCTTTCTCGTAGATGACGCCTTGGAACAATCGCTTATTGAAGGGATTGACCCCCTCGACCTGCAAAAATTCGTGCAACAATCTATGGACATTTTTACGGGAAAGTATGACACGCCCGGGAGACGACCACAATACGTCGAAATAGTTGGCTTCCCCTACTTTAAAAGCTGTTTTGACGCCATGCTCGACATTCATAGGAAATGCCTGATACACTTCCCGTGGTACAGGATGAGCATTCCAAGCTTCGCCCTGATCAATCAGCGCTATTTTGACATGTTTATCTGGTGCAGTTACGACAAACCTCAGTCGAATTATTCAGACCACATTTTTCAAAGGTGGAGAGGCGTCGAGTGTGCGAATTCTCTTTGTGTGGAATTTGTCATGATGTTGAATGCGGTTGTAATTCCGAAACGTATCCAAGAACACCCGTGTTTTAAAAAGGTGGAGGATGTCCAAGGCTGCGCTGGATTTCTGAATGATATTCTCGGAATCAGAAAGTCATGGTTGGAGCCGGATCTTAATAGTTTGGTAGGGTTTTATGTTGCAAAGGATAATCAGAGTGTAGAAAGTGCAGTGCAGAAAGTCTGTGACCTATTGGAGCGAGAATTTAGGGATTATTTAAGGCTAAAGAATGTTTTGTTACAACAGTTTAAGGATGAAAAGTGTCTCGTAGACTATTTTGATGTCCTGGAAGGGAACTTGGACGGAAATTGGCCAATGTATATGTACTCTACGAGATATTATGCAGTCTCAAATTGTCTCACTATTGTCTAGTCCGTGCAGATTGTTACAAATACTACATAGATATGTTAAGCATCGTAATAATGACAATAATTACCGATAATTAGTTAAGTGGCAAAGCATAGTAATAATAAGTCAAATTTTATTCCGTTTTTGCAACAATTTAGGTAGGTATGTAGTTTCGAGTCGTGTTATTTTAGCCTGCTTTTTATTAAAGTTGAATAAAAACCTCTTCTCAGCTCACTTTAAGTTCAATGCTTGTTTCATTTGTTTCCAGAGTTTTGCATATGCATCGCGAAAATCTTTACGAAAGAGTCCATAAATAAATGGATTTACGATGGAGGCTGAGAGCTGCAGAAAAGTGGTGAAAGTGGTGAAAATATTGGGAATATATTTTACTGGTCCATCTTTCCCACCAATGACTTTGAGGATCTTGATAAGTGCGGATGGGAATGTGAGCGTGAAAAAAGATAAGATGACGATTATCATGGCCTTCAAAACCTTCGAGTTTGCCTTTGACTTTGCATCCTGCTTTCCATCCGAACCCGCGGTGGCAGCATGACCTTTCTCCTTTGAGAATTGAATGATCAGAAGGTTGCAAGCGAGAATGATGGCGGAGGGAATAAACACGTAGATGAAGGCGCAGACAATCGCGAAATAGAATTCGCGTGGAAAGTCCGGTCCGAAATTGGCCCATGTCACGTCACACACGCCAGCCCAGAAATCATAGCCGTACTAGGATTATTTTGAAAAATTAGTAGTTTTTTTGCAATTATTGAATGGGTAATTAATTTCCTGAAAAACTTACCTCTGTAGAAACCCACACGACAGAGACGGCCAGACACATAACCCAAACGTAACCGCATCCCGCCGCTATTCTGTTGTAGGTTACCATTTGCGGATAATGTAACGACCATCCGACAGCCTGGAACGAGTAACGATAGTTGAAATGTGATTTTTCAAAATAAACTCTACTTAGCGACCCACAATGAATCTGTCAACGCTGATCACGGCCAAGATGCCAATTGTGGTAATTAGCCCGAGGAGATTGACGTATGCCCAAATTCCACAAACTATTTTTCCAAAGGGATACTCATCATAAACAATGGATGCAGCTCCGAGCATGGAGCATATCCCTGTCGTTATCAAGTCAATGTAGGCCAAGCTCAAAATGGGCATGTTCGACAACTGGGTTTTTATTTGTAGTGTAAAGTCCGTAAATATTGTGTAGATGACCTGAAGGATTATTCATTTATTTCATTTTCAAAATTCTGTTGATATGCATATTAAGTTACAACTGACCAAGGAATTTCCCACCACGCCGGTAGCTGTCAAAGAGAAGAAGCAAATAAACCCGACAATCTTGGCCAACATAGAACGTTCCTGGACGCCAGGATCGAATGATGCCATTGTTGTGTTTGTGACATGGGATTCTAAATAAAAAATAATAATTATCATCTAGCTTTATGCATTTACCTGAGTAATCACAATATGAACACTAGTTACCAGTACTGTCTTCAATCATGGAGGATGGCGTTGTTTGAACCACGGTGGAATTATTTAGCATTATGGGGAACAGGATATTCACCAGAGCTGAAATTCTGTGATATAATACAGCCCACATGTTGGATGTCGTTTATGTCGTTGCACTTATCAGTGTTTCCGTACTTTTTGGTGGGATACCGATTGATCACTAATTGTGCTATGTCATGTCTCAGCCCTTTTTATAAATGTGAAGCATCTCAAGTACAATATGAGTAAGAAAATCAGTTATGTATTAGGGTCGTCTATGGGCTAATTGAGAGAATTTACTGTCGAGCATGGAAAATTGATCGATTATTAGTTCTGTCTGGTTGCATTGCCTACTTAAATTTATTAGAATGGAAGTAGGCAAATCATTCAGAAGGTGCCTAGAACTAAATGGGGCGAATTTCCGGAACATCAATTCGTAAGTGATTTTAACTATAACCTAGCACAAACTATTTAGTAGGGAACAATTTTAAGTTAGGTTGGATGGTTTTCTTATGTATATGCATATATCAAATATCTGAGGAGCTACGTAAATGCATACATACATAAGTAATGCACGACCAGAGAAATTTCGAGTAAGCATCAGTAATTAAAACCTTTGTGACCCATATCAAAATTCGGTATGCTATGTCTTGGAAATAGCAATAGATGTGCTTAATCAAATTGGACTACTATTTTTATGCTGCCAAAAATACGTTTGTTTTAGTGACAGGTCATAATCCTAAAATGTCATTATGGACGAATAGACGACTTGGTGGAAACATAATGTATATTTGTATGCATATAAATAAGTAAATATATTTGTGTGGGTGCCTTTATTTTGGAAATATCATCACAAGATTATTCTCTTTGACCACCACATCACGAAATGGCCATTATTTTTTCTATTTAATGCTTAACGTCACATGAAATTAAGAGGAAATGTCTTCTTGAAAACTTGTGATAGAAGCAAACCATTCGATACAAATCTCTGACACATTCGAATTATTGTAACCCATGATTTTTAGGTACTCTGTTGGGTCTACCGGTTGAAAGACAAATCCTTGTTAATGGACTAGACTGGTTATTGATTTTATTTATGTACTAACTGGCATCACATTAATTAAATGTATGGTTCCATTAAAATAAGTTAAATATATTTCAGTATACAAATAATTGTGACAATAAATCTAACAAGGGAACCTTAGGTACTGTCACATCTCGGTTTCCTTTCGGATGGTCTTAATTGATAGATAATATTTAGTGTAACTAAAACTTTGTCATAGAACATACGATGCAAAATCACGTTTTTGCGAAATATTTGGCGAAGCCTGCACGAAAACGTATAATTTAGAATATTTAGCTAACAGCCCTCAGAATAATGAAATGAAGTTTATAAATTATATACCTGTCCGTAATTTCATGCTGATTATCAATATGAAAAACACATGCAAGCATTGGCCATTTTTTCCAAATTGCGAAAATCTGCAAAATTTTCTAAATTTGAATTTCGTCGTTTCTTGATACTTTAACAAAATTTACTTTTTTATTTAAGCGTTGAAAAAAAGTTTTCAAAAGAGATTTTTTTCTCATTGCAATAAAATTAGCAAAAATTTTCTAAAATTCGAACTCACAATTTTTCATGAAAAAAGATAGAATGACCAATGCTAGTCTATTTTACATATTTTTCAAAATTATTGGCTATGTATATTTTTGCAAGTTGCGAAAAATTTTGGAAATTTGTATTGTCAGCTTTTCAGCAAACTAACTTTTCCACACCTCGTTCGAGAGTTTAAGCTTCTTAGAAAACTGGAAAAATTTCAACTCGGAGGGACCCTATGGGGTCCCTCCACTAATGGCATTTATAGGACGGCATAAATATAGCTATAAACTCTCGAACGAGGTGTGGAAAAGTTAGTTTGCTGAAAAGCTGACAATACAAATTTCCAAAATTTTTCGCAACTTGCAAAAATATACATAGCCAATAATTTTGAAAAATATGTAAAATAGACTAGCATTGGTCATTCTATCTTTTTTCATGAAAAATTGTGAGTTCGAATTTTAGAAAATTTTTGCTAATTTTATTGCAATGAGAAAAAAATCTCTTTTGAAAACTTTTTTTCAACGCTTAAATAAAAAAGTAAATTTTGTTAAAGTATCAAGAAACGACGAAATTCAAATTTAGAAAATTTTGCAGATTTTCGCAATTTGGAAAAAATGGCCAATGCTTGCATGTGTTTTTCATATTGATAATCAGCATGAAATTACGGACAGGTATATAATTTATAAACTTCATTTCATTATTCTGAGGGCTGTTAGCTAAATATTCTAAATTATACGTTTTCGTGCAGGCTTCGCCAAATATTTCGCAAAAACGTGATTTTGCATCGTATGTTCTATGACAAAGTTTTAGTTACACTAAATATTATCTATCAATTAAGACCATCCGAAAGGAAACCGAGATGTGACAGTACTTAAGGTTCCCTAGTAAGTGCATATTTAAGAAAAGGGGGGGGGGATTGGTTGATATATGTAAGTAGACCGCAGAGAGCTGGGAAAGATTAGAAATAAAAAAATAAACTAGCCAAGCACACTTTCCCAGAATAAATAGACGAAGGCAGATGCAAATAAGTACGCATATTCAAACAAAATTTTGCCTGCAATAATTTTTAACCTAATTTTTGGCAGGATTGAGAATGACAACATTAGATGTGGAATATCTAATTAGTGCAAATAATTGAAATTGGGAATTTATAAATCTGTTATTCAATTTGGCAAAAAATTGAAAGTAAACATACGTATTACATATTATGCGTTACATTCACTAGAGTTGATTTTTAGATATTTTTTTTATTTGCGTGTGAATAAATAGAATACAATTTGCACGTGCCGATTTGTGTATAAATATTTCTAATTTTCCTTGAAATGACAGTGCATGTGAATTACATGCACGTATGTATGTATGTACATACCTATGTCTGTAGCAAACGGCAATACGAGTAATATTTCTATACGATTATGTTTTTTATGACATTGATTTTGATTTTTTACATGCTGAACAATATGAGGAAAATAAAGCTTAATATGTGTAAGATATTTTAACGATAAAAAACTAGCCATGCCGTCTAGAAAATTGCAAATTTCAAATTATTGACACTGAAATAAAACTAAAAAATGGGATTCGCTAAATTGACATTATTATTTCCAAATCACCACGCAAACTTTTCCGTAACAGTTGACAGTGGAGGATAACTCCTTTGTATGAAGGCTTTGCACCCTTGAATGGCTATAAGCAAACATTATGTAAGCACACGTATGTAAATACGCATTTGACAATGTTGGGATAGAAAAATACATGCAAGCAAATCCAGCAAAGGTGCAACTTGACTAATTATTTTTAATTATTTTCATCAATCTATTCCTTTCACTCTGATGATGACTAATTTTATGCATTCCCAGGTTTCTTTTGGGATCAAATTGTATAAATATTTTTTTGTTCACACATCTTAAATGGAAAGCCTCGATGCGAAATTTCACAATTGAAATTTCGTCTCAATCTTCCTCATTTTATTCAAGTATCTCATTCATTTCAAAAACTTTTAATAAAATCCTTTTGCAAGCATCATTTTAACTTTTTATTATCGGCACTTTATAAAATAGTTGCTCTCATACACACAATTTCTAGTGTAATATTTATATTCAATTAACTATTTTCCTATTTGCTACTAAAGTCAACTTTTGATTCAAATGGTTACAACATTATGTATGCATATATTCACTTTTCTCGTTTTAATATCAAATCCAATGTTTCCGAAAAGTAGAGGGCAGGAATAGATTCAGGAAGCTTGGTGATTTTCTTCATGATTGCTTTATAGCATTTGATCTCATACTGACGATACTCTTCCACCAGGTCCAAATCTCTGAACACTTTAATTACTCGATGCACCCTCTCGCTCCCAGGCTTTCCATAATGTTCCTTAACACATAACGACCCGTTTAATATTTGACCTCTTAAGATAATGTGTATGACATAAATAACACTTTCCAACCTTTAAAACTCGTTCCTGCTCACAATCCATCTTTTTCAAGGCCATGATGATAAACCAGGATGAACAGTTTCCTTGAATTGTAGTTCCATACCGACCAGTGACGTTGGGATTGCCAAAACAATCCAAGTAATCGTCCTGCACTTGAAAGAGGTGACCCATTTCCAGTGCGATCTCCTCGATGAGCTTCAGCTCTTCCTCCTTTGGAGTCCCATCGGCCTGCATGACAATAAAAATGTACAGTAATTCCACTCGTTTTATTTGTGAAAAAATTGTCCAACCTGAAGGATCCAGCTACTTGCAATGGGAAGATAAAAACTAAAATATCCCACTTTGTATTTCGAAATTCGGTAGTAATTTTCCATTGTAAACCTGAAGTATTAATTGAAGGCAAAATATATGTAAATCTTTTTTGAAAAGTTACATATTTTCGCTACTTATTTATTTGCGTACTCTTTGAATCCTTGTGCCTTTCCTATCCTTGAATCCATATTTTGTCCCAGCGTTGTGTTAAAGAAGCATTTGTGGAATAGTTTAGTCAAATATTTGTGACAAGCTTTTCCCTTAAAGTGCAAATCCAGAATAAAGTACATGACGGATTGGAGGAGAAAGGCGTCGTTTACTGCAGCCTTTCCCACCTCGTCGACCAAATGCCAACACAACTGGCCTGAAAATCAATCAAAATTTATAAACGAATAAATACTTCTATTAAATCAAAAGCATAAATCTGTATGAATTTATTATTTTTTATCAAATTTCTTAACCGACTTAGGAACTCTTAGCCTTAGCAACTCTGGTAACTTGGTTTTTCATAGTTTTTACCAGATTCTTCTGATCCTTACTTTCCTTACTTAAATTATCATGAAAATTTCTATAAATATTTGACCTCGTCGTGTTACTGAGCCTCGAATTATGTCCTCTGGGATATAGAAACTGGCAGCAAACTGGGAATTTTATGATATATTATGTAAACTTTGTAAAATTTTTATCAATAAATAATGACAAATACACGCATGCATTATTATATATGCCATACTAGTTCGACACACCATCCAAGTATGTACACAGGTTTCAAATCATGCTTGGTCACGTTGCCCACAAATGATTTGTAAGCAGATATAACGCCTCGGCCTCTATAAATTCACATTGCAAGTTAGTTATCATTTTTGGGATGTGCTCAAAAATTGTTGAATTATACTTAGGAAGAGAGGTTGTGTAATATCAACTCCCGGATATCGATGTCCTTTGGATGTGTTATAGTGTCCCATGAATGAACAAGAACCCCCAAGTGGTTTGATGCCATGGCCACACCCACTCCAAAGTGCCCAAAAAACGGAGAAAGTAGCGCTTTCACTCATTCAAATTCACGCTAAAAATCCAATTTTAGTCGGATTTTGAAATTTCTTTCACCATTATACTCCCAGATGGTTGTTTTCTTATATTCAGCATCAAATTACACTTTTTGGAATTAGTAGTACCTTTAAAATTTAAAATTCTGTATGAACATTGCTGTACTAATAAACAAAGAAAATTATTTCGGCGAAATAATAATCAAAAAAGTTGAGTTATATGTTGGATATAAGAAAGTAACTATCTGAGAGTATAATGGTGTACGGAATTTTGAAATCCGAATAAAATTGGATTTTTGGGTGGATTTGAATGAGTGAAAGCGCTGCTTTCTCCGTTTTTGGGCAACTTTGAGTGGGTGTGGCGGGCGCAAGTGGGGCCATGGAGGTAAACCACTTGGGGGTTCTTGTTGATTCATGGGAGACTACAACATAAACAAATGCCATCGAGATCTGTGCCTCTTCTCATAAGTAATAACATACCTTAACTGTTTCCCCCTGTAAAATTAAGTGAAATTGAATATTATTTTACTTTTATTTGTAATTAAAACTTTAATTATGTAAGACTGTGTCTTTCCTTGGTACATTGTAGTCGACCATTTTAAGCAGCCAGGTAGCAACATCTACGTCTTCGTGGGTGGGATGCCAAACAATTTCCTCCATTAATTCGTCAATCACAAGTTTGAAAGCATCCTCTTCCTGAATACTCACGGATTGTCGGCGTTTGGCCATTTTTGTGGAGAAATTTTCGATTTACTCTCAGAAATATTGTATAGATTGAAATTTTATTCCTAGGACTATGGAGAAAATAACAAGTATGTTTCCATTAGTTCTTGATCTGGATAGACTGGATTTGTGTATGGAATTCGATTATTGTTGGCTGGATTAAAATGCGTTTGCGTGATGAGATCCAAATAATGATGGGATTCATGAATGTGGAAAACATAAATAATCAGTCGGTATCTCTTTGTTATTTTTTAAACTGTCATGTTGGGTTAGTTTGAAGAAATCATTGACGTGCTACAAGATCTTCAATTTCTCGCTAATTGGCATTTACTGAATTTAAACAACATCGTATCATAAAAAAACATAAGTATTTTAGCGAATTTAACATAGCGATGATGTGTTGAAATGAGAATACTACCTTTAAAATTTATTATAAATTGTGCTCTTGTGAAAATATTGTGACAATTATGAAAGTCCAATTAACTTGATATCACTGAATTTGCTTTATTCTTCTGCCGATCAGACGGCTTTCGTCAATCAAAGATTTAAATTGCTCTATTTTGCGTCTATTAAGACATTGAGTGTTATATTGGACATGAACAGAACGCCTGGTGGTGACGCCAACAGAAGTCAGCAATACATACTTCTAACAAGTAGCTTGTTATTATTGACGACTACGAATTGCATTGAAAGCTTAGGTGTAATGCTATGGAGAAACTGAAATATCCTCATTTTACTTGTACTCGTTTGACGTCATTAGAGATCATATTTCCTGCGAAGATGTGAAATGGGGTTCGAGTTTTGATTTGTTTATCTATCTCATGAACAAGTGAGACAATTTCATTCTACGGTTCAATTCTATCCAACCGAGTCTTGACTCCAAAAATTTTCTTAATTTTGACCCAGAAACTTGCATCAGTCAAAACCTTTTTGAAATGGCAACTCGAAGAAAGTCCATGAGCATTGCGGAAGAGGATGCCTTTCTCCACACGTTTGACGAGCTCATGGAAGAAATCGCAGAGTTTTCCACCTACAAAGACATGGAGGAAACGATCGAATGGTTGCGACGGGCCGTTAATTACAATGTCCCAGGTACGCAACTTTTATTAAATTCCTAATAAAATTTCAATTATTATATCAAATTTAATATAAAGAAGTTAATTTACAGGAGGAAAGCAGATTCGGTAATTTTTTAATCCTGACGTTGTTCAGGTTAAAGATATTATAATTATGAATTTGTTACAGGGGTCGTGGCGTTGTCGCGGCGTATCGTGCCTTAGTCGACGAACCAGACACAGAGGCTTTAAAGGAGTGTTACATTTTGGGATGGTGCATAGAAATTGTAAGCAATGAGGCGCATCAACTTGCATTTAAGAAGAATTATCTAATTTAAGCTATTTGTCCCAGTTTCATGCATGTTTCCTAATTTCGAGCGATATCATCGACAACTCTGAAACGAGGAGAGGAAGAGCATGCTGGTACCTCGTTGACAAAATTGGAGACTTGGCCATAAATGACGCTTTCCTTCTGTCAAGTGTCATGGATATTTTTCTGGATCGCTACTTTATCAGCAAACCGTATTATTCTGATTTGATTAAGCTTTTCCACGATGTCCATCTCAAAACTTCGTTTGGACAATGCATGGACATTCAATGTAGCAAAAAGCAGAGTTTGGGAGAGTAAGTGACAATTAGGAATTTATAGTGTTTTAAAACTTTTGCATACTCAATTTATGCTAATTTTGTTAGATTTACGATGGACCAATATCGAAAAATCGTTAAGTACAAGACGTGCTACTTATCTTTCTTTCTACCCGTGGCATCAGCCATGATTCTGGTGAGTAAACGATGGTTGTATATAATTTGCAAGGAAAATTAGACAAATATTTTGCCTTATTAGGCAGGAAAAACGGAGAAAGATGACTGGAAATCGATGGAAGCGGTGGTTATCGAGCTGGGATTGTTGTTTCAAATCCAAGATGATTTTCTCGATTGCTTCGGTAATGCAAAAGTCACTGGAAAAATTGGGACGGATATTACCGAAAATAAATGCTCCTGGCTGATCGTGAAAGCATTTGAGCAGGCGAATGAGAATCAGAAATCAATTTTAAAAGTAACTTGAAAAAGTCTTATGCACTTTGATGAAAAAAAATAAATGACACTAACAATTATTGTATAGGAAAATTATGGCCGAGGGAAGGAAAGCTCGCCAGCAAACGAGAAGAGATGCAGGGAAATTTATGAATCATTGTCGCTCCCGAATGAATACAATAAGCTCGAGGAAGCTTGCTACAAATCCATTTGCGACAAAATTTCCAAACTGTCGCCCAAGATTCCGAGCATAATATTTTCTGAAACGGCGGACGTTATCTATCACAGAAATAAATAAAGTGGAAACGGAGCTGTAGTTAGTTGGAATGCACAAATAGCAATAAGAATTAATTTGAATTATTTAGTAATAATAGTTTGAAAATGTGATTCTTTGAGATAAAAATATGGAAATAAATTAAATAAAGTTATAAGTAAATATTGTATTTAATATATCAAAATCTGGATTTTATTTAAAAATTTGTTTCTAATATTCAAGACAAGGGAAAAAATTACAGTATATCTAAATAATGCGCATGTAAACGTCAACTTTATGATTGCATACAATAAAATTGGTGTGTACTGTGCATACATTTTTTTAGTACTTTCATTAAATTATTAACAATGGTTTCTGTGTATTTTCAATAGATAGTTCTTTATTGTAATAATTCTACATTTATTATGCTAAGCGACGACAATACAGTGCTATTTACTTGACTACTTTGTTCTCAGGAGCACGTTTCGCCTCCATCATAATTTCTGCCCAAAGTTTTTGTCTCGTTTGTTTGAGAAATTTGTCCACACGCTCTTTCGACTCGTCAGATTCATTGCGTCGAATCGGGGGCTAAACAAGTATTTCGATAAGGATTATTTAATGCGTTGCATGAATAAATTTCATTTTTAAATACCCACCACGGGAACCCGTTTTCGGTGAACTTGATAGTTCAGGATGGCACGGACTAAATCCATGAAACAAAGTTGGGGCCATTGCACATCGACGAAATCAAGGAAAGCATGGGTCGCCTCCCACATCAAAAAGTCAGAAAGTCGCGTTTCTCCCGAAGTGCGGAGCAAAATGTCAACCGGAAGTCCTGGAATCAGTTGCCACGCTTCTTGCAGCAGGTACTCGGACATGTCGTAAGGATGGAGCTGTTTTGAGGAAAAGGCTGATCGTAACGTGTCAACACCGCGAGCAATGTCGTTGCGACCTGGACATAATTCGTTCAAATTTTGTGGAAAAAATAGCCTTTGATTGCTACATCGTTTGCGTTTATGTACCTGTGTAAGCTAACGCAACATTAATACGAAATCGTTTTCCGTGTCGAGTATCCTGCATTAGTTTTGCCATGGTTGGCTTCATGTATTGAAAGGAAATAAATATATGATTAGCACGTAGTAATAATGCATAATAATGTATTTCATTTTAGTATTTGGGACTTATATATTCTGGAACCATTGACCAGTCGCCGGGGAAATGTATGCAGGTGCCGTCACTGGTAGCTTTGTCACTAGATTTTATAGAAAAATTAGTTTCGTGCTTGATAAGAACAACTATTTAATTTTAAAAAAACATGGCTTACAGTTTATGCAACATGAGTGTTACTCTTGACAAGATAAACTTCATAATATTTGCCACCTCTTGCGGAGAGCGTTTAAAGTTTTCAATGGAGAAAGCATAAATTGTGACCTCTTTCACCCCAAGGGCAGAACACCAGCAGAAGACTTCGTCCATTTTAATGTAACTATGCAAAATAATTAAAGCAATTAATTTGCAATTAGATATGTTAAAAGTTTCGGTTAATTAACTTACCCTCTGTGGTGACCCTCTTTGGTAGGAAGTCCACGGTCCTTGGCGAATCGGCGGTTCCTAAATAAATATAATCACTAACTAATTAATAGTGCTAAAGTATGCAAATATGTTGCATAACTATGTTAAAATTTGGCAATGTTACCCGTCCATTATAAGTGCAATATGTTTCGGGATTTCGCCCACTTTGAGAATTTCTGTGATGCAACGTTCCACCCATGTTCTCGTATCTTTATGAACCCACGACATTTCTGACAAAAAATTGAGACACACTTGAAGAACGAGGGTGAGTGAAAATATAACTACATAGAAGCAAGAGCAGATGAGAGAAGGATGTGGATCGTGATTTATCGTCATTATTGAAAATCATTTGCAGGATTGCGTGTTGCAAACGTAGAATGTTTGAGACGCGTCATTCTAAAGTGCGTCATATTGACTGTTATCCACCTCAATCTTGCGTTCGGTTTATTTATCCGCGTTTATATCCACTTATTTGAAAAATACCTTAACGCATATGTACTTATACATACATGTGCTAAGTATTTAATCAAAGGATACTTTTTTGTTTACAACGTTAATGCTTAAATTATTCTTCAAAGTGATTAGATCTCTAAATGCTTAGAGTAGTAATTATTTCGCCTTTACTGATATTGTTGTGACCAAAACAACCTGAAAAACATCAAAATAAATTAATATCCATTAAACACTGTAATCCATAATCTCCATTGCACATCTTCCCAAGCGCCACGATAACGTGCTACTCATTAAATAATGTGAGCAAATGAGTGTACATATATGGTTTCATCAGTATTTAATGATTGGTATATATAATTTAAATTTAGGACATGTGACAAACACTGAACAAGTTAACACGCGCAAGTGTTTATCAAATAGTACTTATGTACATAAATATATGCACATACATACATATGCGTAAATGTGTGATAGGCGCAACTTATTCGCATAAGTTATACATGCTGGCTGGCTAAAATTTAAACACATATTCACTTAATTAAGTATCTCCATGGTAGAAAGCTCTCATAGAAAGAGGAGTCTTTCTATTTGAATTAGCTGTCATCAGGTCCAGGCCCTAAGCTGTATTTTCTCCGGGTTGCCTTCGAATATCCGCCATATCGGTAGGGCAGGACGATGGGGTCGATGTGACGCCTCACGGCTTTCACCCAATTTTTGCGACCCTTTGGAAAAGGTTTCAGTTTTTGGATAGAATTCCGCATGAAGGGACGAACTATGCTCAGCCAGACTTCAACCATTATGTCCGCTGTTGAACGATAAATTTGTAAAACTAAAATTCATTGATCGTATTATGATTAGATAAACGTTACTTTACCATTTATCAAGAGAACACGACTGACTACCTGCGATGAGAAACCAAAAATCATGTAAACCCTAATATTCTGGGTAAAACTATGTAATAAATTCAGCTTACACCAGGGTAATAATTTTCGAAACTGTAAGCCATCAAGTACAGGTATTGTAAAGCTGAAAGATAACAATTAATTATATACATATGCATACTTGACTAATATATAGAATTGCAATGAAAATATTATGTACTTCTGAAGCTTGCCAGTTGTCGGAGTTGCAAATTTTCTACGTCACATATAATGATATATTGCACGGAGGTGGTTCTTCTTGGATTTTGGGACCAATTCATCTCTACTTGTTCCACAGCTTGCAAACCATGCTCCCACATTTGTCCCTGGTACTGGTCAAATTTATGCTTATCTCCACTCTTTTCGATGTAAGTGCGGATATCCCAATTGCCGAATGACATCAGCATTACTGTAAACGATACAGTAGTGTTAAGCTTATTGTCAGTTGGTCATTTTCAAAAAAGAGTATTTAAAAACGCTGAATAGCGTTTTCGAATTTTCTTACCCGGGTCTCCATTTCTAGCAAATCCTGAAACATTGTACCAAAATTTTTGTAAAAACTTTGGGTTTGGAGGATGCATTCTTAATTGATCCATTTGAGTTTCTTTCCTCCATTTGACGTGCTACGATTTTATTTAAAAATAATTAGCAATTGCATACATATACTCGCATTTAGATACTAAATGTGGATTTTTAGATATAGTTTACTGCTTTGATTCCTTTCTCAGCTGAAGTAACATTCATGTTATGAAATCGTAGCCATCTTAGCATTGTTGTGGGTCCTTTGGCATGTTCATTCCACATTATATTACTGACACGAGATTGCAACTGTATTTAAAAAATTAATAATAACAATTGACTATAATTATTCGTACATAGAATTAAACTGATTAATATTGAGCATACTCGTGACACCTTCGTAAATTTGGGAAAATTAGGCCTATCGACATACATTAATTGACAAATTAGTGAGATTTTCGTAAAAAAGTTTGGGATTTTTGTTCTCGATTTTGTCCAACAAATAGGAATGTTTTAATTTTTTAAGCTTGTCTTGCAAACTTTTGCTAAATGAGTTGTGATTCGTCGCGAGTATGCCCATTGTGAAACATTTAGATATTAATTTATTTTTGCATGCGTTTTCACCTCTCTCACTGCACCCACTTCATTTTTAGTCGGTCCTGGAAATAGAATTTGACTAGATTTCGTGACACTTACGTCTCCAAAACTTTGTAAGATAGAATAAATTGCTATGCCAGTTAATATCATGTTTTTCGATATTCTGAATTAAAGCACTCGGCAGTTATGGACGACGTTCTTTATTTTTTAATGAATGAGTACAAGCACTTTTAAATTTATTACTTAGAAATATTTAACTGCATTTAAGCAAGTAAAATTCTTCTTAATATCAAAATTAATCCAGTATTTCTTGTGATTGAGGAGTGAAATTTGGTAATTGAATGAATGACCAACTTCATTAATAAGTAAGGATGCGAGGAGAATAGACCAAAGTAGCATCTAATGTATTCATGTTTCATGTACTTACTCAAGCCGAAAACTTCTGTTTTCAACTTTGCTCAATCAACGCAAGAAGATTATTACCATTACCTTGAATTAATAAACTACAATATTGGACAATATTCCTTAGGAAACTTTGTACTCATTCATAAATACCTATCTATTTGTACCCTGCTTTAGTTATGTCCTCGTAAAAATAAATATGTACATGGCTACGATTTGCTGAATTGAATTGTAATAGAATTTTGTTTGTTATTTAAATACACAATAAGATTCCTCTACTTAAATAAATCCTCTTTTCAGTCTTAATTAGAGTTTTAGTGTATTTCTATTATTTTTGTTTAATCTGTCTCAAAAGGGAGAATTTAGCATTGAATACCTCTTTGATTAACATTATTTACATTTGATATGTACAAGAAAAATGCAGATGTATTTAATATTGAATACGTCTGACAATGAGTATTGCATCATGCATACACTGAAGGTAATGTTATTTAACACTCTCGCACCTTAATAACTTTAATGAAATGCAATTTTGACATGAAATTTCTATTTACCCGATATCACATTGGGGGATAAAATAAGACTAAATATTCTTAATAAATAGTCCTCAGTTCAGTGGTCAATTAGACATAGTGACCGATTTAAAAATATGGCATAATATACAAAAATAATTTAGATTAAGTTCATGAACATTATGCGTAAATGTTGATAAGTTATTATTACAGAAATACTCTAAACTCTGTACAAATAAGGGTACGTAGTGTAGAATGGCTATTTAGACTATTTTTTAAATTGAAATTTCATCTAATTTTAAGCAAAGCTAAATCAGATACGTGCAAATAAAATTTTCTACATAAATGCAAACGTTCATAAACGTTACATGCTTTTCCGCAATCATAATTTCGTCCCCTTTATTTAAATTCCTACAATTTAACCCATTTAAATTGGTCGTTTATAAAAAATTGAAGCTATTTGATTTTGTTATTTGATAAAGCATAGCTAATATTTATCTACAATTTCTTGCCAACCGTTAAATCAATGGTCCTTGGCTTAACCAGATTATTCTGCATTAGTAACATATGTGTAGTCAAACTTTAAAAAATGTTAATGACCCGACTTTGGCCGAGTTGCAATTAATAATCGAACAATTCCCCTTGCAATCGAAATCATGTACCTTAACAGTGTTTTTGGCTTAACTGCGTAAAATATTCCAAACATTATGCCGATTGGCTTACAAGATTTAACAACCCTTTTAAAATACTCTTCATTAACACCACTCATTTCCTTCGTCCAATGTCGATGTCGCCAAGACTTGTGAATACATTTTCTCGAAATAAACTGCACATTCCCAAACGTGAGGAGAAGGGAACACATGACAAAGTTCATGACACTCATGGTCCCCGACATTCCGAACTGAATGACGGGATGGATCACTGTGTGGTAGCGAATGAGAATGAACACGGTCCCAATGATGACTCTCGTAATGAGGAACTGCATTGGGAGAAAGTAATGTCCTGTTGCTTGCTGAAATTGCGTTTGCAAAATTTGTATGCATCGAAAGTGCAGGATTAAGTTACGACCTGTCCTCAGTCTCGGAGACGTCCATGGTTTCTTAAGATTTAAGCTGTTGGAATGAAGTTTTTTGATATTTTAGCTGTCATATTAAACTCTGCATACTTCACTCCTTGCTAACTTACGCCATAGTTAAGTTATAACATTGGCGCAAGTTACCAATGAATGAAGTATACGTAAACACACCTTAAGGTTTAGGACTTACAATAATTGGCCATGAATCCTCCCAAGTACGACAGGAATATATAGTGTGGCTAAAATGTAGAATTTTGCGCTCTCCCAAGATTTTGAGACAATTAAGTAATAGAAAATTGCACTCAATATCGACGTAACGAGACGAACGGTGGGGCTACTGGTAAGAAAATGTGACGCTGGTGATGGAGCAACTGCAGGATTAAGGACAGCCATCACTGCCGTGAGAATAGGTAACACACGCCCAGTTTTGACCATGAGGGTTAATGAAAGCCGAGTATGTTTGGATAACTGGAGTTCTTTCATCACCCCGAAGGTCCTTATTCGATCGGTGAAGAAGTCGTCTGCCGCATAGCTCGGAAATGTCACTGTCGATAAAAATAATATCAATAAATGTGCATGTGTAATAAATTTATTTGAAAAATAGACCGACGCTATTTGACAATTACCAGAAATGTGTTCCACATAGTTTATGAAGGAGTTCACCACGGCTGGGATTTCGTACATTCCGAGGACGGTAAGAACGTGCAGCAACATTTCAGCAGCTGCAGTAAATCCAACGGTAACACACAAATTGAAATCGAGTATCTGTTTGAACGGAGTGGTCCCATCATTGTGCATGTGATGATACAACCAGAGTCCTTTCACCAGCA